CTCGAAATCTTGAATAAAAATTTTAACATTCCTGTTAAAAAAATAATTCTTTGATAAATGACTCGTAAATTTTTCATTCCATGACAATCGCACGTCTCGCCATCAAAAAAAAAAAAATTACAAAAGTCCTCGTCTTATTTATCGATAAACTTTAGCGCATTTTTGACGCAGCGATCAGTATTTGATAAGTATCAAAATGTGAATGAATAAGCAAACAGCTCTAAAATTTTGCCTTTATCAAAGCATATTCGTTGTATTTCAAAAAATATCAAACATTACGTACAGCAAAAAGTTTTTTGTTCTTAACGGTTTTTAAAATTCAAATATTTTAACGGTAAAAATAAATTTGAATTTCTGAACTAAGGGTATGTTCTGACATCTTTTAAAGCGGCATAAAAAAATCAAATTTTTAAACGTACTCATCACGTGGTTTTGTTTATGAAATAAAAAAAACATTAATTATAGCATAAATACACGGTTTGAAGAAGTTAACCATTCGATGGGCCGATAAATCGATAATAAAGGAGCTTATAAAACAAACCCGAGCTTTGTACGATGTCTGATTAAAAAGTTTTTCTGGAGACGAACGAACGAACAAACGAACAAAGTGAATTATTAAGCTCCCTTTTCGAAACAAGTTTCAAAAATGAGATAAAAAAGTGTAAAAAGAAATCACAAAAGATTTTCCGCGCACTTAATGGTCCTATTGTGCGATAAAAAATAATGAATTCACCATAAGTTCGTCGTCTTCCTTACAACATGTCCCACTCCATCATAAATTCACACTTTTATGGAGTTGATGAAAAGAGAGAATAAGTTTTAAGGAAGCATTCAAATGGAAGAGGTCATTTTCATTAAATTTATGTTCAGTAAATCCATAAAGAAATGGAAACTTCATTAAAAACTTTTTTTTAAATCGATAATCATAGTCACAAAGATGTCATGGAAATTGAGGGGGGGAAGTACAGCATGAGCAGCAAAAAAAGGGTTCAAAAGGAATACCACATGTTAATTTATTTATAATCAAATTAGAACTTTCTTATTTTTCAGCTCTTCTTTGTGGCTTTTTAAAATCTATAAACACAAAAATATTTATTTTTTTTTGTAGAGTCATCAATTAGATTGAAGAAAGGACTCTCTTTTGTGGATTGGTACACAAATTAAATAGAAGGGAATAGACAAGGATTACTCAGCATTAATATACTGATTGATTGTTGTTTATAAACTTTTGGACACACAAGAATTTTGTGGATGGAATGTTTCAATTTTCGAAATAATTAAGAGCATGAAGGATGAATAGTTTTTGGAAAATCAGAGGAGGCGTATCTGATCAAGTTGTAAGCGATTGTTTGATTTTGTGAGATTGTTCGTTACAAGTTTTGGACATAAAGAGGCATTTGGTGCAACATTGTTAGAGAAAATAAAGAAGCCATCAAATTTTTTTGAGGTTAAATGAAAATATTTAAAGCTTTTCTAAAATGATTGAGCAGAAGAATAATACAAGGAATCAGTTGAACACTAATTTCTCTGGGAAAACGTCTAACATTAAGATATTTCAATGTTTTTTCAGATTTTATAGTTTTTTAGGTGTTCTAGAAGGTTCTACTAGGTATACATTAGATCTTACACAATATACACACGAAGATTTACAATCTTAAAAACGAGCAATCATGGAACAAGTGAGAGAAAAATAATTTTTATTAAAAAGTTGGATGTCATAAACTTATTGACCCCTCTCCCCCCATAAATGTTGGACGTCATAAGTGAATGACCCCTAATATGTTTGGCAAAAAAACAAAAACAGCAAAAAGTCAACAGGACGTAGCGTTCCCAAGCGGTCACCCATCTAAGTACCTTCCAGTTTAGTCTATATACTCGTTTTTTTTAAAGAGATAGAGGAACGAGATAGAAATTGGAACATACAGACGGTTCCTTTATCGCCAACGACCACACAACATTGAAAACGCCGGTTCTTGTTTGATTACTAAATTATCTTGATTTCGTAACTGGTTAGATTTGAATTTTTGGAACTAATCTTTAATAAACACTAAGATAGATCTTTTGATGAGATAGCAGTGAAAATTCTAATTTAAGGAAGCTCTATTACTATTCTTCCCAAGTAGATATTCAATATAATTGAGATTTTATAAATATTGACGAAATTTTAAATTGTTTCAATTTTTTTAATATGACAAACTTAGTAGGATTGCTTAATCTCCTATAAATAGAATGTTTGTAACAAACTTTTAAAGAATTTTCATGAATTTATGCAAATCAATTCCCAGCAAAATCACTCAACACATGAACAAAATAAAACTTTTTCAATTACAAATTGTTCATTTAATTCCAATCATATGGAAGATTTACAGCCTTAGGATACAAAAAGAAAATTGATCTACTCGTTTCCAGAGGTCGAAGCCGACATGAGTTCGCTCCGGTTCGCTAAAAAACCGATTCAAAATTGAATAGAATTTTTTTTGCTGCCACTTGTGAAGTATAACATTCTATACAAATTTACCGGTTATCGAATCGGTTTTTTAGCGAACCGGAGCGAACTTATGTCGGCTTCGACCTCTGCTCGTTTCTGCTGAATTTGTGCGAATTTTGCATTTTAATAAGAGTTTATAAGTTGATTTGATGAATTTAAATCGAAATGTAAACAAAATGATTACTTACCGCTTTGAATTGGTTGATTTGGATATGTTTTACTGGCAACTTTTTAGATATTCAGTTGGATTAAGACTTACATTTGATGTTCTTTCGAGTTTTTCCAAAAAAAACTTAAAAATTTCCCTACAAATTTTAAAATTTGAAGATTCATTAACTTGATGAGGATTGATACAAGCTAATCTTACTTCAAATGATATGTTGAAGCTAAGCTAACAATAATAAACTACAAATCATATTTCAAGCACTTCAAAACCTAGAAAAAATCAATAATTAAGGTTAAAACAAAAGTAAACAAACAATTTCAAATATTACTTAGATAATGAAATTTAAGATCATACTAAACATGCAAATATAGTAATTGAATTTAAGAATCTATTCCTTTAATTATCCTCAGCATCTCCAACCTTTCCCTCAAGTTCATAAAAATGAAATCCCAAAAGTAAGAATCAATTAAACAAGATGACCACTCGAAAAATTGTGTAAAGTCTATGAGAAGCTGTTGGGGTGAAGAATCTACACAGAAAAATAATGAAATTATCCTCAAGGAAGCTGCAAAAAGACCAATAAACAATAAACAAACACTTCTTTTTATTCCTTTATAATATGAATTCTTCTTTAATTTGATTCATTCCGTCTACGATTCAACTTTTCACAGATTTATTTTCTCTTGTTTTTTTCATTCATTCATTTCTTGTATTATAAAATACAGTTAAAGGATTTACTCTATGCGAATTTGTTTTTTTTTTTTTCATTAAATCAAAATCTTATAATCATAATGCAAAATAAAAATTGTTTAATTTCATCTCATTTCTTTTTAACAAAAAAAATTTGAGAGTGCATATTTAAATTAATAATATTAATCATTACTTTTTTTTTATTATTACTCTTTATTATCATGCATAACTTGTGTTTTGTTGTTTAGTACTATCCATTAATTAGTTTAATAATTTTTTTTTGTCCACAACATTCGATGTTGGTAAATACCAACGAGTTCAATGATTTTTATTTTTTGTGGTCAATCTGATTATGTTTTTTAGGACGAAAAGAACCTTACAACAGTTATATTGAATGATGGATTTTTATTGTTTTGAAGAAAAATAATTTGTAAGGTTTTGAAACATTTGAAAATAATTTAAATGATTTTAAAATAATTTGTAAGGTTTTGAAACATTTGTGATGTTTTAAAACACTTGTAATGTTTAAGAACATTTGTAAGGTTTTGAACTTAATTGTAAGGTTTTGAAACATTTAAAGGTTCTATTCAAACCACTAATACAGCAATTAAGATCGGTTCATTAAACCTCACAAAAGTTAAAATCAATTAAACTGTTCAACAGTTTGCTTTAAAACTTTACAATATTGCAGAACCATACAACAGCTTTCTGTTGCAGAACTTTGCATCAATTTAAAATTCAAAACTCTTCAACAGTTCAAAACTCTTCAACAGTTCAATGTTTCAAAAACCCCACAACAGTTAATTTACTTAAAACCTTTTAACAGTCAAATTTATTGTATAACCCTCTTTAGAGCTCTACAACAGCAGTTTATTCTCAAAACCTTACAACAGCAACGGAAATTAGCTGAATAACGCTAAATTGATGGAATTCAAAAATAATTTTTCCGTTAATTATGAAAGTTTTGCTGAATTACTCAAAACTGTTAAAATTCAAATTTTAAATGACAGTTAAATATTCAAACCAAGAATTTCAAGATTTCGTCCATAAATACATAAACAAATCGACCTTAGCAGTTATAGAAATCCATCAATTTTCATTATTCTACAATTTTTTAATAGTACAGATGAAATCATCGCTCATTACTGGAAGAGTTACAATACTGCAACTTCCAATTTTACTCTTTTCAGCATAGAGATTTCCCTGTAGAAAATATTAAACCTTTTGTTAAATCCATAATTTCACAAATTTTCTTGTTGCATCTTCCATTGTTTAAATCTTTTTATAGAGATTTTTATTCAGTGTATTTTTTTTTTATTCTTGTTGCTACAATCTTCATCATTTTCTTTCTTTTTTTTGTCATTTTCAGTTATTTAATGTTTCTATTATTTTTTTTTACAAAATGTTCTTTTTATGACTTCCTTGTAAAATTCATAATCATCATTTGCTGCACTCATTTCTTCGCAATTTAATCTAAATCATCCTTATCGTAATCAATCAAATAATTAGAAACAAGACATTATTTTTTTCTGTTGTGTTTGTGTATGTATGTGTGTGAGGGGGTCTGGGAGGGGGCTTGTGTGTAGGTTTTGTGAAAAGAACAAATCTTTCTTGAGATAAAGGAAAAAAAGGATGAGCATCCAGTGTTCTTTATGCTTAATCTTCCCACCAATCTGGTCCGGAGCTTGCATGATTGTTTCCAAAATTGTTGTAATTTCCACCATAATTGCCACCACCTCCTCCTCCATTGCGATATCCACCGTCGCTATTTCCTAATAATTAAAAATAAAAGTTTTCGTTAATTAATCAAATTGGAATGTTCGAGTTTGTGAGGTAATTAGTGCATTTTTTTCCGCAACGATCAGCGTAAATTGTGTCAAGTTTAATGTTACTAAGCTAGTTTTTAAGCACGTGATTTGAGTAAATGTGTTGCTTGAATTCAATTTTTTAAAATTAATAAAAGGATTTAATATTTGGTTTAAGTAAGATGTAGGAGACATCCTGGCACTTCAAAAAAGATTTACAACTTGTTGGGGATTAGATTAAAGTTGGACTTAAGATAAATCTCTAGGTTACAAATTAATCTTGGAATCTAAATTTAAGCTTAAGATTTATAGTGACTTTATAAATTTAGACCGATTTGGGACATCTAGTCACACTCCAGAAATGCAATTTAGCGAGATAAATCAGTCTTAATACTCAAACCCCACCATAAACACACAAAATCCACAAAAAGACCTAAAATGACCCTAAATTCCTCAAAAAATGCATCTAATGTTCATAAACTAGCCAGTCAACTTACCATATCCACTTGATCGATTATTTCCACCACCATAACGTGGATTACCGCCTGCATTTCCACTAGCACTGGCTCCTGCTGCATTACTGTTATTTCCATAACGTTGATTTCCACCTTGTGATTGACGATAATCGCGTGATCCAAATCCACTTCCACCCCCACCTCCATAACGATTTCCACCCCCACGCGAATTATTACTACGTCTTGGACCTCCATAACGATCATTAGCCATTTCTTCTAAGAAAGTCGGCAACTCTTGATTCGTCTCAATCAATAATTCAACCAAATCTGAGACAATATTACGATTCTTCTCGTTAAAGAAACTTGTTGCAATCCCCAAATTTCCCATACGACCTGTACGTCCAATTCTGTGAACATACTCTTCAACATCCGATGGCAAATCATAATTAATGACATGCTTTACATGGGGAATATCAAGTCCACGAGCAGCAACAGCTGTAGCTACAAGAATAGGACAATCACCAGAACGGAAGCATTTTAAAGCATCTTCACGTTCACGTTGACTACGATCGCCATGAATTGATGTAACAGGATGTTTATTCTGATACAAGAATTCTTCGAGTGCATCAGCACCTTTCTTTGTTTCAACAAAGATCAATGTTAAACTATCGGGAGAATAGTCTGGTGATCCTTCGCGTAATCGACTTAACAAGTCTAATAAATATGAGCGCTTCTCATTCTCATTGACCCACAAAATTGTCTGTGTAATGTTTTCTGATGTCGATCCCACACGTCCGACAGCCAAGAAAATATAATTTGACAGGAAATCACTTGCCAGTTCTTGGATGTTTTTCGGAAATGTGGCCGAGAACATCAATGTTTGACGTTGTCCAGTTGCTGGCATGTCTCGATTCTCAATGATGTGACGAATTTGAGGCTCGAAACCCATGTCCAACATGCGATCTGCTTCATCCTGAAATGTGTGTGATATTGGTAGTAATTAGTAACGAGATTTTTTTTCTATACTTTTTGTTGCTGTGTGGGAATGTATTTATATCTTTTACTTTATGTACACAGCGTTCTAATGCAGATTTTTCTGTTTTAGATTATTCAGTTATTATTTAATAAGGTGCATAACACTGTAATAATTTAATTAACATTTTTTAATTTGATTTGTTCAGCTGAACTGGTCTTTTAAAAAACGGTTACAATTCAAAAATCAGCTGAATAAAAAATATTCAAAATCTAAAAGTTCGTTAAAAATGATCAAAAATTCAAACTTTGCTGAATTCAAACATTCAAATTCAAAAAATCCGGTGACAATTTAAAAGACTGCTGAATTGCGCTTAATCAAAAATTATTCAAATTTCAAAAGTCCGTTAAAAATATAATAATCTCAAAATTCAAAGTAAAGCCGATTCACACACAGAACCTAGTCAGTACACTCAAAAATAACACTTACCAAAACGAGGAAACGTAAATTCTCCAATCCAATTTTGCCACGATTAATAATGTCATCAAGACGCCCAGGTGTTGCAACAATCAAATGACATCCTCGGTCAAGTTCACGCATCTGCTCACTAGTATTATTGCCGCCATACAAAACAGCAGGACGCATGCGTGAACGATAAGAAAACTTTTTCGCTTCTTCATAAATTTGTGTAGCCAACTCGCGCGTCTAAATATTATAACGTGACGTAATATGAAAGAATGAATGAGAAGATGTGAAATAGTGAGACGATTAATCAACGTGCTATATGTATATGAGATATGAAAATAACTTACAGGTGCAAGAACCAAGCCTAATGGATATTGCTTACGACGCTGATAAGGACGATTTGATGCAGGATTTATGCTAGCTCCTTGTTCTAACATTCGATTCAATATCGGAACGAGAAATGCAGCTGTTTTGCTAAAATATGAGAAGTAAATTTTTAACGGTTATTTTGGATTTAAATTTTAACTGTTTTCAAAAATTTGAATGAACTGAACAGAAATGAACTTTGGATTACTGAACGAATTTATGCCTTAAATGCCATAAATACCTCGTAAAGTATGTAATAAGACGATAAACTATCAAACCTGTTATCAATGAACTTGAAAAAGATAATTTTGAGTGAAAATCAAATATCAATCGGTTAATAAAAATTCATCAATTAAGGAAATTCGTTAAAAAATTTGTAAATAAGAAAAACATCTGCACAGCACAGCAGACAGATTCCCGAGAAGCAACAGACAAAAGTTCATAGTCCGCAGTTCACTTAGAAACAGCTAAAAATAGAAATATAAAGAAAATCGCCTACCCAGAGCCAGTTTGAGCGCATGACATGAGATCACGTCCAGAAATTATGATTGGTATGGCATATTTTTGTACCGGAGTCGGTTTGTCATATCTTGCCATCTTTATATTCGTGCGTATAATTTCCGTCAGCTTAATGTCATCAAAAGACGAAATGTGTTCAGGAACTTGCTGTCCCGTCGCCTCCACGGGAATGTCTTCGTATTTGCTAAAATTGATACCCGTATTCGCGGTACCAAACAACTCCAGTTCAATACGTTCATCACGTGGTAACGGTACAGTGTAATCAACATCTGGACCACGTTGACTCCATTTTCCACCAAATCCACCTCCATTATTGTTTGATCTTCCGAAACGATCATCTTGTTGCTGTTGAGGAGGTTCTTGCCAGCGTGTATTAACGGGTTCATCTTGACTATCTGGTTGATCAGCTTGATCAAGCTGAGGTGGTGCTTGTTGCAAGTTTGGTGGCGGCCCACTAAAACGTGAATCAGCTCCTTGAGAGCGATTAAACGTACGTGAACCTCCACGACCACCCCAATTATTTGATCCTCCTCGTTCTCCTCCTTCACCGTTCTGATAACGATTATTATTATAGTTGTTGCTGTAATTCGAGTTATTATTAAAGCCGCCTTCTCTTTCTCCTCCTTGACGTGGATAATTGTCTCGTTGATTGAAATTGTTACCGTTATTGTTGTTGTAGCGACGATTATTATTATTTCTAAAGATAGAAAAGCGAGATGAAAATCATTAAATTGCATTCTATTGATAAAGAATTTTATTTATTTTATGAATAGTCTTATAAGATTTACATCAATGTTGCAAATGGAGATGTCTACACTAGGTTAAAAATGTAGATTCTTCAATAGTTTTTGTCTAGCTAAGAAACTTTCTTCATAAAGATCGATTCTACATGTAGATTCGATGTAGATGTCTACAATTCTACATTTTTTTTCCAGGTCTCGTTATAAGCTTCGTTATAAGCTAGTAGCTTAGAAGAATAAAAAAGTTATTATTTTGGCTCACTAGTAGCTTAGTAACAAGTAGTAGCTTAGTAAAGAAATTGAACTTCAATGAGAATTTTGAATTTTTTAAACTTAATTAAAGAAATTGCTATCTTCTCGATTTTATTTCATTGACAATGTCATAAGACATTGAAACTCATACTTAGAAAGTTGAAAAAGATTAATTAAACTATATTTTTGGTAGTAGCTTAGTAAAGATTACAAAAAAATTTCAAGTTCAAAAAAACTTTACTAAGCTAGTAGCTTAGTAACGAGTAGTAGCTTATAACGAAAAAACAAGGTAGACAAAATCTACATGCAGATGGTTTTTCTTTTATCTACATGTATAATCGAAGAAATTTTCTGTTTCAGAATTTATCTGATCCAGACCAATGGCCAGAATGCAACACTGATTTACATTTCTATAAGGATTCTTGAAATTTTTAACGGATAAAAAATGTTTGAAATTTGTTCGAACAATTTTTGAATGTCAAAAAGGCCGTTAATTTATAGGAAGTTTATATATTAAAAACCGTTATTTTATAGGAAGTTTAAATATTAAAAACCCTTATTTTATAGGAAATTTAAACTGTCAAAAAAAATTAAATTTTGAATGTGAAACTGCCGTTAGTTTTAATTTGAGTAATTTTACAGGATTTTGACCTTTAAAACATAGAATAACGGCACTTATCAGACATTTCTCGTCCAAAAACACTCAAACTAGTGTCACAATCTTACTTTAAATGTCACAGAAAGAAAAGGGAGATTATATAAACTAGAATAGAATTATCATGTAGAAAAGAAGTGAAAAAACAACAGAGTTGTGAGCAGTAAGATGAAAATGCATGCTACAAAACATGAAAACACACTTTATATAGAGCTGTGCATAGTCATGAAAAAATAGGTCAATAACAAAAAAAAATTAAATAATACAGTGAAGAGGAAAATGATGAGAATCATGACTCATTTTAACATTAACAGCTAATTTCACACATTAATTAATGCCTAGCTTAGCTAGTAGCTACTTACCGATTATTAAAATCGCGTTCACCTCCACTACGATTGTTGAAATTCTCCCTGAAGTTTTCTCCTTGAGTAGTATCGTTAGACGTGACCGATACCGATTCAGAAATTTCGCCTCTTAAATGAGGAGGAATATACTTTGTTGAACCTTTTCGTTCATTCAAGTCCAGACCAGCAACCTTAATTAAAGCAAAGAAAATGAGACAAGAACAAAAACGGAAGTTGATAAGAAAAAAATTGTTTAATTAAAGCACAATGCATCCGGAACAGAATCTATTTTCGCGGCATATCACGAATTACATGAATATTTGCAATCACACACAGACTGCCATATTTGATTTTTTTTTTCTTCTCAGTCACTACTTTACATGCACTTCAAGTGTGAACAGTCGATGACACATTTTATCACACTTTTTTGGACCTTATTCAATGTCTAATGATTTTTACCTGCTGTTCTAGACCCGTGCCATTTTCGTTTGCATAATTATTCATATTATTTTCCAATGCTTGATAGTTTTTTTGCACTTTTTCTTAGCCTTCACAAAAAAATGAACCAAAAAAATTAAACTTTATAAAATATATTTTTTTCTTTTTCAATTTTTTCGTATTTAAATAGTTTTAATGTCTGTATTGTTTTGTTATTTGCATTCACAATGTCTTTATAAATAATGATAAAACACTTTAATCACTCTGTGTTCAGAATATCCTTATTTTTTTAATGTTTTAATATTTTTTTCACTAACAAAAGAAATAGCGGGCCGCTCACTTTTTATGTTATGAATTAACCAGCTATACCCTTCTTTTTGAATATTATTTTAACGGTTATCAGCTCAAATGCTTTGAGCTGCTGGTGTCTCACAGTAAACAGGCAGAAATGCTGCATAATGAGACATCCAATAGCTGTTGTCGTTCCTTAAAGTATCCTTTTATGAGTTTAAAGGTAAGATTTGATTTAATTCGATGAGATTGTTATAAATCATGCAGAATGTGAAAACCAAGAGTTAAATAAGAAGGAACTGGAAGGTATTAGAAAGACGCAAATGTTATGTAATCTAGTAGTGAAGCTGGGAAGCTAAGAGGAAAGTAAGGTTTGATTCTTACGACCAAAGTTTGATCTCAGGGAAATTCTAGTATGAATTGGGTTTCTACAGCTACTCGAGGCATCACTACCTTTGTCAAAGTCAGTTTTGAATCACCAATTTTTTTAATGGGAGGAGTGGGGGGGGGGGGGGGGGGGGGGTATCAAAATTTTCATGAAATTAATACCAACAATAACTACTCTAAAGTAATCAAAGCTTATGACAATTACTACAAATTCTGTATGTTCTACCAAATTAAGTCAAGAATCGACATGAATTGATCGTTGTAAGAAATTTGAATTGTTTCCAATCGTTTAAATTTTGAAGTTTTATTTGAATTTTTCTTTTGCCGAAACTTTTTCTGAATCGCATTAATTTGGCATACTTGTTTACTGTCTTGAACAAAAAAATGTTACAATGTCGCTATCGAAAATCCAATTTTTTTGAGCTTAATGAAGAATATGGAAAGGTTTTTGCTCCAATTTTGACGAATTACTGTTAAATACAACTGAACCGCTAAATATTTTAACATCAATTGATAGAATACAGGTGATTCAACTTCTTTTCATCCAAAAAGTTTGATCCAATAAGAAGAAAATTTAGCAAATACGCAATTTAAAAGTTCTTGTTCTAGAAAATAAAAAATTAATTTAATTAACATTCATTAAGGAATTTAAAAACATATCTCAAGAAAAAAGTAGCAAAAAATCCTAATCTGAAAGAAAACTCGTAAAAAGCTTCCAAAAAAATCTCAAAAATTCCTAAAATGATTTAAAACAAAAATTTAATTAAATTTCCAAATGAAACTTTTTATTTTTATTGATGCACAAAATGGATTGTATTCGGATGAAGCTTACATAATATAATTATACTGAGATTAGCGAGCATATCAATTGAGAAGAAAAGAAAATTTTCTCCTCGAATGCAATTGATTTTTTTTTTGGAATGATTTTTAAAGTCATCGCTCACTTCTTGCAGCAGTCATCCTTCTTTCCTTCCTTGCATGGACATTTGCAGTCCTTAGCACACTCACATCCAGCTCCGCATTTCTTGTCTTTGCATGTGCAATCTAGATTTGGAAGAAAAATAACATTTTTAGTCTACTGGATGTTACGAAATGCGTCGTAGATTAAAATTTATTTTCTTTTTTATTATCAAACAAAAATCTTCACTTTTTATTAATTTAAAAATCAAATACTCACTTTGTTGGCAACCTCCGCAAGGCATGATTACTTGTAAGATAAGATTGAATTGATTTACTTTATTGAATTTTTTAATGTTGTCTCAATGACTTTTGAGATACTTATGTTGAACTTTCTACACTTGTGACGCGACTTAAATACGGAAAATACCTTTTTCACCCGGCATTCACAAAAAAGAATTGAAAACATTGGTACTGTGCGCAAAAAGGTTTCATTTTCAACGATGTTTCAATTTAATTCACACAGCACTAAATGTATTGTTGTTGTCTGTTTGTTCCACACTTCACTAATGTGAACAAGCTTGAATGTAGAACATGCCAAAGAATTTATTAGAATGTTCCATTTTTGTATTCAAACTTCCATACATTGCGGCATGATTAAAACAGAAACAAAATAACGTAATTCTATTGTCTGGACTCTATTTATTTACGCTTTGGGATTTCCTTGAATTAATTGAAATTTAAGTCTTGATGGTGAAATTGTTGATGCATTGTTTTGTAAATAGAAATTAGATCATAACTTAAAGTGAATTTAATAGTTTTTGATATATTTAAGATTGCTATTTGTGGAATTCATCAAATTGTTCATCACTTGATTAATTATTTGTGGGATTTTTTATTTAAATCATTTGATGCATTTTAATCTGATTTGTGTAAATATGATTCGGAAATTGAAATGAATCAGATCAGCCTGATCTTGGTAATAGAAATCAATTAATTTGTTTATCAATGTTTGAAGTTAAATTTCTCCAATCATATTCTGACTGAATTCTTAAAGATAAAATTTAAAAAACAAAACAATTTGCCCGAATAAAGTTTTTTGTAAAGCACTCTTTTCAAGCTTTATCATTCACGTATCGATAAAACTTACGTGTTGATATAAAAAAAAAACCTCGTAATTTTCTCATTCAAGATCTTAAAAAACTTAAAATGAAAAAAATCTTTTTAAAATTTGTTTCTATTTTTCACTTCCGACCAACTTCCGATCTTTAATAAGAACCAATTTGTACTTTAAAATCATTGTATTTCAGTCTGAATTTAATAAAAGTTCAATTTAAAATTCAAAACTATTTTTATTTATTCAACCTGATTCATCGCTCAATTGTTTATAATTTTAAAGTTGATATTTCCAAATATTTTTTTAAGGTATTTTGTTCAATTTGTCATGACTTTTGCATTATGAAACGTGCAAGCAAGTGTTTGTAAAAGTTGTACGCAGTATGCATTATTGTGGTTGATCTAATAGAGTAAACAATATTTTATCTTATACAAACTTACTGCTGGTAATCTAAACAGTTTTATGCATTCAATAACAATGCTTTTTACTTCTGTGAATTCATAAGAATAGAGATAGCATAAAACCGAGTAAATACTGCATTTTTCAACTCTGCCGGGTGCAAATATCAACAAATGTTTATAACTCGACATAAGAAATTGACACCTAAGCATATTTCAAATCCATGCATTTTAAGTTGTCTTTAAGACTAATTTTTCTTTTCGGCAAATTCCTTGTTCAACACAAAAAGTGATTTTTCGCTTCTTTTAGAAACAGTTGACATAAAGCTTGCTCTTATCAATAAGTTATTTTATTGAAAATTTTGGTATAGGACATAAATTTGGCAACATCATTAATTGAATAATAAAATAAATTTATTTTAAATTTTTTTTTGTTTAAAAAATCAATTTGAAAAAAAAATTTATTTTATAAAATTCCCAAATTTATTAAATTGCAATTAAGTGGAATAATAAATTAAATACATTTGCATTTAAATCGTCGTAAAGGAATTCACAAATCCAAATTTTTAATGTCCACAGTTCTTGCAGCAATCAGCCTTACTTCCAGAGACGCAATGACATTTGCAGTCTTTTGTGCATGAGCATCCTTGGCCACATGATTGATCAGTGCAGGTACAGTCTAAAAAAAATATTAAAACAATTATTAAACTTGAAGAAGAAAAATAAACCTTTAATTATCCATGCAGCTAATTAACCATACTCACTTTGCGAACAGCATTTGCAACCCATTTTCGTGTCGGTTATTATTTATTTTCTTACTTCCGAATGTATTGTTTCTTGATCGATGTCAGGCTAGAGTTTGTTTGTGACAGACGAAGAAACTCCAACTTATATACAGAAACTATGTTTTTCACTCGGCACTAATGTAAATTTGAGATGCGCGCAAATTTTCCATCACGTTCATATGCACTCTGCACGACTGCTTATTAATAGTTTTTAAAAAAATGTGGACTGTACAGAAAAAACACGTAATTGAAAATAGAATTATTACTGATGGTGAAATTAACTTCTAGAAGATCAAAATGATCCAATACATTGTATAAGTTTTGATAAGATTTTGTGGATATCGAGGTTGTTTGATCAGAAATATGTTTAGTTTGTGTTCTTTTTAATGATTTTCTAGAAGAGTGGTCATAAAATCTACTTTGTATTAAACTGGAATGAAAAAAAATAATCCAAAATAATTTTGAATGTTAATTTGGAGAGTTTGGCTTGAAAAAAAAATTAACAAATTGAAATACTAAAACTTCGAAGAAATCCAATTGAATTGAATTTTTTTTCTTGGTTTAGAGCAGACAGTTTAACTATAACACACATTCTTTGCTATGCCAGCACATCCGCTAGTTAATTTTGTTCATTTAATAATAAATTTCATAAGTTCAGCAAATGTGAATTTTAAAATTTATATGAACAACTTAAAATTTGTTTGTAAATGTTTTAAAGTTGATGTTCAACTTCTTCAGGCGTATTTTCTATTGGCCTACCTCATACATTCATATTTGGACAAGAATCAAAATATTAAATAAATACAGCATAAGTATTTTTTAAAGAATTCAATTTATTTTATAGCAAGGTACAATAAATTAATTTTTTACGGCTAATGAATTGCATACATGACGAAAGCTAGCTCAAAGTATTCAAATTCTTATTTGCAGCAGTTCTTGCAGCATTCATCCTTGCTTCCAGTTACACATGGACATTTACAGTCTTTAGCACATTGACATCCTTGACCGCAAGATTGATCCTTGCAGGTACAGTCTAAATAGTGTAATAAGTCGATAAAGTATGATTAATTGATAGATTAGTCATGCAGTAGTCGTCTATACTTACTTTGTGAACAACATTTGCAGCCCATTTTAGTGTCAATTTTTATTTATTATTTTACTTCCGAATGTATTGTTTCTTTATCAATGTAAAGCTAGACTTTGTTTACGATATTCGATGACACCGCATGTTATATACAGAAAATACCTTTTTCCACTCGACACTACAACATACTTGAGATGTGTGCAAATTTCTTATCGCGTTTAAATGCACTCGGCACCTTTTTCATAAAATTTTATTTTTCACACATCACACAATTAAAAATAAAGTGAAATGATATTGAAAATGATCCGATACATATGAAAAAAAAAATATGTGACGACTTAATGTGACCAGAAAAAATCATGTTCACACGAGAATCGAACAAAGAAATTAAATTAAATCGAGACGATCTACAAATAATGAAATAAAAATTTGTCATAAATTTGAGATTATCATGTTCAGTCCCTTCTTTATGAACTCGAAACTCTTTTGTAAAAGTGCAGTTTACCGGAAAGGCTATATTGATGTATCATTTATTGAAAAATGGGGTGAAAATTATACTCGGACGTTATGCGTGAGTGGTTTTCAAACTTCCAATCGTCCACATCGACCACAGAATATTTCTGTTTACCAAATTATTATTAATTTTGGACTTCTCCAAAGCTACAAACTGATATTGAGAGTACATAAATCAATTTTAATTGCTTATATGCAAATCTATTTGTTTAGTAATGTCTAGTCACGCATGAAATAAGTACTCATGGGAATGTATTGGACTTTATACACCCCTGAATGCATTCAACAATTTAATTTCAAATATTTACATGCTGCAATGGTTCCTTTTGTTGCAAACATTGCAATCTGATAATTTATTGAACTAGTGGACAAATAGAAAAATCACATTTGACACGTGACTAGTAAATAATGACCGAATGAAGATAAATTGTTAACACTCATGTTTAACACATATTATAGTGGACACTAGAATTTATTAGAAAAGGCATAAGCGATGGTCAAAAGGATGAGAATTGCTTGTTGTCTTTGTAATTAAAGTGGGAATATTGATAGACTCGTTCATCCATGAAAATGTCGAATTGATTTATCAGTTTGTTTGGTTATACAATCTTGTGGGATAGTTTTAATTTTGTGGCAATTTGTTTTGATTTAATAGACACTGGTATATTAATTTTATTTAAATTGAATGATTAGTAAGAAAAGAAGAGTTTTATTAAGCTTAATTTATCCTTCTTTATCACTTTTAAACAAAATTCAGATCAAAATCAATGCATTTTAGCCGACTTCAGCTCAATTCAACATTATTCAATTAAATTCAGCACTATTTGGCTCAATTCAGCACTACTGGGCTTAATTATTCCACATTATTCAGCTCAGTTCAGCAGTATTCAGCACTGTTAAGATTACTTTAGCTTATTTTATTAAACTTTCAATAAATAAATTGAACAATTCATTTAAATTTTTATTGAGGTTAAGTTGTAAGAGGTAAAATTTATGAATTTACAAATAATTTCGCGTTAACATTTTGAGAATATATGGAAAAAAGCACCAAGATTTTGTGATTTTAGTTCAAAATCATAATTTGTCTTAAGTTTTTGTAATCTAACACCGCTATTCCCTATTCCACTCTTGCTTTATCATGTCAGCAGCTTTTTCCCCTATCATGAAACTAACAGCATTGATGTGACCTGATGTTGGCTCAGGAATAATACTCGTATCCACAACTCTTAATCTATTTATTCCATAAACTTTCAGCTCATGATTAACAACAGCATTTTTATCATTTCTACTTCCCATTTTACAAGATGTTGTTTGATGATGAATTGTTGATGTTAATGAATGAATCGTACAGTGCCAATAAGCATTACTTCCAAAATGAAAATGATCACATCCTGGTAGTGGAATTTGATGTAAACGAGCTCCGAGTTTTCGAAATGCTTCTGTTTCAAGTAAAGAAAGTGCGAATTTTATGGCTTCAAAGAATGTTTGATCATCATCTGGATGTGATAAAATATTTGGATAGATTATTGGGTAGCTGAATGGATTTGCATCTTTTAATTCAATATGTCCAATAGATTTTGGATGAAATGCAATTGTGCACAAAGTCATTATATCATAAGGCGTAAACTCAAGTGGCTTATAAACTTTATCATAAATTTCTTGCTTTAAATTAAGAACATCTGCAGCAACTCCAAAATCTGTATGAAATCCACCTGACAACTCAAAGAACTCAACATCAGGAACATCACCACCTCTTTCATTAATACTGGTTTTTATAAAACTCAAAGCTTCTCCACTTCCAGGCAATGAAATTTTTCCTTGTCCTTCGGTATAGGCTTTTAAATTTTGAGCACTAAATGAATTTAAAATTGACACAGAATTTCCAGTAGAATTGAAAACAAAAGTAATTCCATAATATGCAAAATGATCTCGTAATTCTTTCCCAACTTGTAACTCTTGAATTAAAGGAACTCGTAATCTTTGTAAATCTTGTCTGTTACCAATGCCCGAAAGTATTAGCAATTGTGCAGACCCAAACGTTCCAGCTGACAAAATCACTTCTTTTCTAGCTAGCATCTTTTGTCTTCGTCCAAATCTCTGAAATTCTACGCCATAAGCTGTTTTGGTTTGTGGATTAATAAGAATTTTTGTCACTTGAGTATTAATCATAATATGGAAGTTTGGTCTGTTTAAAATATCTTTAATATAAGCTCTAAATGCAGTATGTCGATATCCATTCAATGTACTAGCTTGCAAATATGAAACTCCTGGTCGTGAATGGAGATTATATTGAATTTCATCAAATCCTAACTCCTTATGTCCATCAAGAAATGTGTGGGCTAATTTGGTTTTGAAAGGATTATACTCGACATTGACTTGCTTGAGAAGTTTCTTTAAGTCACCGAGAGTTCTTGCTTCAGCTTTTTTGAAGTATTTTTCAATGTTATCAAAAGACCATCCTGGATTTCCAGCTTGTTCCCATCTGTCGAAGTCGTTGTCATGACCCCTAATTTAAGATATGTTAATTCATTAAGTTCTGGTTCCAATGCAAATCTATCTTAAATTAATTCTTTAAACTTATAAAAAATTCATGATTTAAAATATTTTCAAAAATTATGATCTTTAAAATTTGAGAATCTAAAGACTTCTTAAGCCTTTATTACCTGTTATAAATCATATAATTAATAATGGAAGATCCACCAACACCTTTCCCTCTTGGAAAATTGCATTGATTATTATTCATTCCTAATGCAAAATGTTAAAATCATTAAAAAATAATTTTATGATGATAAGCTTAATATTAATTTATAAAGCACCTTGACAGGCATACTTTTGCCGTTCTGTTTTGTAAGCCCAATCATATGAAGTTTTTTGATTTGCTGCAGCAAAAAGTGGAAGATCTTGCATTAAAGTCTCGACCTGGCCAGCTTCAATCATTAAAACATTCCAATTTTTATTTTGTGTCAATCGATTAGCTAAAGCACATCCACCTTAATGTAAATCAAAGAAAATTTTAATCTTTATTATGAAGAAAATTATTCCATCTTACCTGGACCTGACCCAACAATTATAAAGTCATATTGGCTCAGATATCGCGAGGCTGCACGTGAAAAATTTTTCCATTTATTATAAAAAAATTTAATTTCACTTTCATTTAACTTTACGTTCCACATTTTCCTGGAATAACCGCAACTTGAAACTCACGACATCACTCACTATATTCATATGCTTAGCTAGTCTATTTATCAAATTTCCTCGAAGGAATGTTCCATCCACTTGAAATGCAATTGCAAAAATCATTAAAAACTTCAAATATTTTTCCATCACTAAAATCCTTCAAGAACTGATCTACAAACAATAATTTTCTACATCCGATCAACTGAAGTGACCCGAACAGAATGAGATCCAAAAATTAATCAGGAATGGTTCCTCTAAAACCAAAAATAAGATTCTTCATGTGTTCTTTTAAGAATTTCCTTTCATATGTGCCAATATTTATTTCTTTTCGTGTCTTTGACTTTAAATCAGAATGAATGTGTATAGTAAACTTGTTCCTTTATTTGCTTCGTGAATTTGGAATTATGAATAGTCAAAGACTGGATTTTTTTTACTATTTGAATAATTTTAGATTTTTATGATCTTTCTCGTGACAAATATTTGATGTCGGGTCGCTAAACGCTGAGTCTATCAATAGATTGTTGTCGATCAATGACTCAAACCATAAAGCAGTGTTGCAAATGTAGATGTCTACACTAGATGAAGAATGTAGATTCTTCAATAGTTTTCGTCTAGCTAAGAAACTTTCTTCATAAAGATCGATTCTACATGAAGATAGAAAATCTAATCTACACAAAGATTATTTCTACATAAAGATTCTGTCTACATAAAGATTCGATGTAGATGTCTACAATTCTACATTTTTTCTAGGTCTACATCAGAGAAGAATGTAGAATTGTAGACATCTACATCGAATCTTTATGTAGACAGAATCTTTATTTAGAAATAATCTTTGTGTAGATTAGATTTTCTATCTTCACATAGAATCGATCTTAATGAAGAAATTTCTGTCTCAGAATTTATCTGATCCAGACAAATCGCCAGAATTCAACACTGCCATAAAGCTTCGATGAGGAATGAATTTTAAAAATTATCAATTTTCTGGCTGTCTAAACGAGTCTGCAACTTCAACTTGATAATGATGATTTAGAAAGTAAATTGATTCCACGATTTAAACTGAGTTCGAATAAAGTTAAAGTTCATTTGTGAGATCCTAAACGTAAATTTTATTAAATGTTCCTTATTTCGACTTAATACAAAGAAATAAATACCTCTACTTCTTACTCCACTTATCCTTTATCATGTCAGCAGCTTTCTCACCTATCATAAAGCTAACAGCATTAGTATGTCCTGATGTTGGCTCAGGAATGATACTCGTATCAACAACTCTTAACCTTTTAATCCCATAAACCTTAAGTTCATGATTTACGACAGCAAATTTGTCAGTTCTTTTTCCCATTTTACAAGATGTTGATTGATGATGAATTGTTGATGTTAATGAATGAATCGTACAGCGCCAATAAGCATCGCTACCAAAATGCAGATGATCACATCCAGGCAAGGGGATTGGATGGACTCTACCGCCAAGCTTTCGAAATGCTTCCGTTTCCAGTAATGTATGTGCGAATTTTATGGACTCAAAGATTGTCTGAACATCATCCGGATGTGACAAAATATTTGGATAAATTATTGGGTAACTTAGTGGATTTCTATCCTTTAATTTGATATGTCCAATAGATTTTGGATGAAATGTAATCACTAATAATGTCATTGAATCGTACAAAGAAGCTTCAAGTGGCTTATAAACTTTATCATAAATTTCTTGTTTTAAATTAAGAGCAGCTGCAGCAATTCCAAAATCTGTGTAAAGTCCACCAGAGAGTTGAAAGAATTCAGAATCAGGAACATTACCGCCTCTCTCATTAACACTAGTTTGAATAAAGCTTAAAGCTTCTCCACTTCCAGGCAGCGATATTTTTCCTTGACCTTCAACATAAGATTGTAAATTTTCAGGTCTTAATGTCGTTAAAAGTGATACGGAATTTCCAGTAGAATTGAAAACAAAAGTAATTCCGTAATATGCGTAATGATCACGAATTTGTTTGCCGACTTGAAGCTCTTGAATTAACGGAATTCCTAGCTTTTTTAGATCTTGTCTGTTGCCAACACCTGAAAGTATTAATAACTTTGCTGAATTGAACGTTCCAGCTGACAAAATCACTTCTTTTCTAGCAAGCATCTTTTGTCTTCGTCCAAATCTCTGAAATTCTACGCCATAAGCTGTTTTGGTTTGTGGATTAATAAGAATTTTTGTCACTTGAGTATTAATCATAATGTGGAAGTTTGGCCTGTTTAAAATATCTTTAATATAAGCTCTAAATGCAGTATGTCGATATCCATTCAATGTACTAGCTTGCAAATATGAAACTCCTGGTCGTGAATGCAGATTATATTGAATTTCATCAAATCCTAATTCCTTATGTCCATCAAGAAATGTGTGGGCTATTTTTGTTTTGAAAGGATTATACTCTACATTGACTTGTTTGAGAAGTTTCTTTAGATCGCCGAGAGTCTTTGCTTCTGCCTTTTTGAAATATTGTTCGATGTTATCAAAAGACCATCCTGGATTTCCAGCTTCTTCCCATCTATCGAAGTCGTTGTAGTGACCTCTATTTTTAAGGATATAACATTAAAGCTTAAAAGCAGAGAAATTGAATCAATTCAGAATTACCTGTTATAAATCATATAATTAATAATTGAAGATCCACCAACTCCCTTTCCTCTCGGGAAAAAGCATTGATTGTCATTCATTCCTGTATTTAAATTTGCAAATAATTTGAAAAATTATTTTAATCATTTGAAGTCACTGACCTTGACAAGCATGAGTCTGTGGCTCCGGTCTAAAAGCCCAATCATACTCAGATCTCTGATTAATTGCAGCAAAAAGTGGAATATTTTGCAACAAAGTCTCAACATGACCAGCTTCGATCATCAAAACATTCCAATTTTTATTTTCTGTCAAACGATTTGCAAGAGCACATCCACCTTACATGAAAAATTAATGATATTAAAGTCCGGTTTTTGTGATGGCAGAAAATTTAAATTTACCTGGACCCGACCCAACAATTATGAAATCGTATTTCCTCAAATATCGTGGTGCTGAATAAGAAAAAGAATTTTTATTGCTCAAAAGTTCGATTTATTTTCACTTTCATTTAACTTTACGTTCTACATTTTCTTGCAACAGGCGGAAGTTAAAACTTATTATGTCACTCAGTACATTCACATGCTTTGCCAGTTCATTAATCAAACTTCCTCGTAAGAAAATTCCATGAACTTGACATGCAATTGTAAGAATCACTAAAAATTTCAACAAATTTCCCATCACTAAATTCCAAATCCAATATCAACATCCGATCGATTGAACTGACTGTAACAGAATGAGATCTTCAGTGTCCAACGTTTATGATCTCTTAATGCAATAATGAGGTTCTTGAGGTATTTTGTTTGCATATTATTTTGCGCATATTTTTCCATGTCTTTGACTCCAAAAATGAATTGAGAATGACGATGCATATCAGTGTTTTTGAATCTGTGTGTCACGAGAATCTTTGAGACATCTGCTTTTAAGATGAAGAAGAATTTCGATTTCCATGACCTTAATGAATGCTAATAAAGAACGTTTGAGGTAGGTTATGCATTTTTGTAGCTGTTGAATCAGTGGTACCCGAAATATGTCGCAAGACACATTAATAGCTTTGATAGTGTGAATAGCTTTGTAAGCTCATAAAATATAGTTTCTGCTTTATAAACCCTTAATATTTTCAATACTATGGAGCATCGTACAAGAAGGTCTGATAAGCACTGCATTAGAGTATTCTAACAGCTTGTTTTTTCTTTATTTGTTTTTGGAATTTCAGAATTGCGAGCAGTCAAAAACTTGATTTTTTTTATTCCTCAAATATTCTTTGAATTTAATGATCGCATCGCATCGTCTGACAAAAATTTGATATCAAGTCGTTAATTCACAATGATAGGCTGACCATCAATGCTTTTAATGATGTTTTTTGGTAGAATAGTTTTGAAATTAGCAGAGCATTAGCAATGGCTTTTTAAATATTATTGCAGTGCTTGATCGTTTGGTAAGTAGGTGATCCCTTTGGTGTCAGGTTCGAATACTTAGACAATGCAATAAAAATATGAATTAGGGAGAAGCAAGTGTTCCGGAGTAGCAAACCATATGCTAGATAAGGCTCTGTTATGAAACCGTGTCAGTACTGACGAAATATTCAGATGAAGTCATAAAAAATCCTATAAAAACCTCGCAAACCCTGTCTGATGCATCTCTGATTTTGACAATACTTTCGTCTATCCAGCCAACCAAAACAAAAACAAAATCAGAACTCGGAATTTTCTTATCTCAACTAAATTGTTAATATCTTTCATGAATTTTAATTTATTTATTTTTTATGCCTGTAAATTTTCTGAGTTTATATTGACTACTGTAGCAAGGCTGCCATGCGATTATATCAATAAATAATGAAAAACTTAAATATTTTAAAGGAATTTTTAAAATCATAAAATATTTTATTTATAGGTATTAAAATTGCATCAAATTGAACGTTTCATAGTGAAAAGTTGTAACTTTACATTTATTAGATAAATGTTAATTAAGGACTTCTGCTTATATTTAGAAAGTAAGTATTATTGTATCCAGCTAATTGCAGCAAATAAGTCAAAAATATTAAAATCTGATTTGATTGTTGTGACTTGACATAAACTTGTCCATTTAGAACTTCCATTTCCACATTACATCGTCTTAGAAATTCAACAAATTTGCCAATATCATCACCTGGACTGTGATGTGTCTGATTATAAATCTCACGAATTAGTGGATTATCATGAAAATTTGTACGAAGCCAAATCGACAGCTTAAGTGCAATATCTTGATTAATAATTCCATGAAAATTGTGTACGATTCCATTTGACTGTAAATTTCCATTACTAAATAGTTCATTCAGTGTATTATAAATAGATTCGAAGCTTGTTGCGCCATTTGCGACAGTTTGTTGTGGTCTTTGTTGAATTCTTACACGTTCTGAACCGGCACGAAATCTGACTTCATATAACGGAGCACTTATCCGGTTATGCCACGATAATGGTATGCTTGTTTGTTGATGGTTACGCACTGACAATTGATTAATCTGTCGTGTCAAGTTTCTAGTCATACCACCTTGATTTGGTGACACGGAAATACGACTTCCTGCTGATCGATCAGCTAAGAGACTTGGACGTAAGAACATCTTATTGTTTGTCGATTCCTGATGCGACATCATTTTCAGTACCATTGAAATATTTTCTGTTGATAAATCAAATTTTGGAGATGGTGGATCTTGACAGATCAATTTTGGTGGCTGATTATCGAGGTCAGGAACCACTTGATCATCTCTTTGTAATGCTCTAGTCGTTAAATTTGCAGTCCTTTGAATTTTCTCAAATTGTCTTTCCAAATATTCACGAGTATCAGTTGCCGTAAATCGATCAGATGTTGTCAATAAATGATTTTTAATTAATTGCTTTGTCTCTTCAGTAATTCTGGCTCCCTCGGTAGGAAATACTAATTCACATTGACATATCTTTTTAAATAAAGCTGCTGTTGTGTTCTCGACAAATGGAAAATTTGAATAAACCAGTACATAAAGAATAACACCTAAACTCCACACATCTGATGGCTTTCCTTGATATGATCCTTGAATAATATCTGGAGATATATAAGCTGGCGATCCACGTTGATCAAATAAAAGCTGATTTTCAGAACTGAGTAATTTGCCAAGACAAAAGTTTGTCAATATAATTCGTTTAGTCTGATAATTAATAAGGAAGTTCTGAATCTTCAAGTCACGATGACAAATATTCAATTTGTGAATCTGCTCGACTATCTTAACAATTTCATAAAACACAAGAAGCGCTTCTTTCTCAGTCAGTTTATGACGACTTATATATTCTTGAAGTGATAAAAATTGATTCTCTTGATTCACATTCAACCAATTTTCAGAACTTTTATCACAATATGCATCTGTTACAAGTGTTATACGCTTTGCTGGTATCTTTGATCCTCGTTCACTTTGCACTTGATCCTGTAATTATTAATTTCATGATTAATTTGAATATTGCAACAGATTTGATTTGTATTGGATTTAAATGAATTTAGAGGATCGAGTCATGCAGCTTAACTGTCCAAGCTATCCTATCATATGCTTCAAATCATTTTCCAGGGCTTTCGGAGATACTCAACCCTAATCACAATCAGTTTTAATTTATATACCAGATCAATTTATAAGATTAGTACATAGATTTTTTATGCCTTCTCAAACAGTTTAAGTCCTGTTTGAGGAGGCTTTTTCCTTTGCGTCCTTATATCCTTTGTAAGTATAAAAAGTTAAAGTTTTAAATAAAAAAAAAAAAAAAAAAGATTCACGATTCTAGGTAAGATATCACGAGAAGCCTTACAAACCAACCTCAAAGTTATAAGAGAGCCTCTGAGGCAGTGAAGTGATACCAACAAATCATCAGACATTAGAAACGAAGCTCTCATTAAGTTACTATGACTTGAAGTTCCCACAATCCTCACGACATCACAATTCGTCAACCAATAATCTACTCACCACAAAAAGTCCATAACATCTCTCAACTCCTGGACAACTTTTTAATATCTGAAGCAATAAATACTCATTGTGAAGCAAAACTTTAGCCTGAACAATTTCTTTGCTTTGATTAACTTCGTCTGTAAGTTAAGTCATAGAAATAAACAACTACGTAGATTGAAAAAAAAGTATCGATAAAGAACTAACCCGGATTCTCAACAGTCAAAACCTTCAGTCTGTAAAAAGTCTCATCTTTCTTTGCTAGATATGTTCTAATGCAGTTAAGTGGACCAGCATTGCTCTTGACTATTTCTGGTCCAACTTGAAAGTCGTGAATCTTTCTGACATTTCTGGGGATTTAAAATAAATTTATTTTAAAATTATCGAAAGACTTTAGAGGCTTCAATTTGAGCTTGTTTTGGTGTTTACCTCACTGAGGATGATAGGAATGATGTTCTAAAGCGTTTAACAATCGATTTATCATTATAATTATAATTTCTTTTCATTTTAAAACTCTTTGTTGTTTTCTTTTAATTTGTTTTATCTTCTTTTTTAGAAAATTAAATGACGAAAATACGTTAAGCTATGACAATATAGTATTTTAATTTATAAATCTGACATTATCTTTTAAAAGCTAGTTTTTATTAAGTTCTACATTATTTATTAGAATTAATGACAAGTTTATATTTTCGATATGAAGAATTGAAAACTTTGAACATTGCTAATACTTAGTAAACAAGTTCCTACGCCTGATCATAACGGACTTTTGAAACTTGATTGTTTTGCGAACCCTGTTTTGTTCTGTAGATATAAAGTTATGGGATGAAATAAAATAAAATTTGCAATTCAGCATCATTTTAATGGTTTTAAATTTTTTGATTATCAAACAAACTTAGTAGAAATAAGAGTGTAGACCAAACTATCATTAAAAACCTTTTAACTATAGCGGCACAGTTGTTGCAAAACCAAACAACTTTTATATGATTTGCAGCCTCTCAAATTGTGGCTAAGCACTTTAATTGTCTTTTGTTACAAAAATCACAAACTTTTTAAAAATTTATTTTTATTTTATTTTGTTCAATTTTGAATAATTTTATAAAGTTCTCAAATACTTCATTTTCAAAGCACTTAGTTTTAAAGCAACTTCATCAAATTCACAATCCCACAGACAGCAATTAAACTAATTGAGATGAATACTGATTGAGCTGAAGCTGGTGTTGTGGATGGGGAAGCTGTAGTAGTTGGGGCTTGTGTTGTTGTTGGACCTTCTGTTGTTGTCGAGGCTGCTAAACATATTCAAAATTTATTAATTTCATAAACCAAGCCAGAAATATTTTTAAAGTACTTACTTGGATCTACTGTTGTAGGTGCAGCAGTTGGAGTTGTTGGTTCTGCTGTTGGAATTTCAACTCCAAAGTAATCTAAGATATCAAAAATGTTTGTGTCTATCCATTTTTCCATCTCTCCAACCTTAGTTACAATCTCTTCATTAAATTTCTTTGAAATAATTTGTGCAGCTTCGAATTTATTTGCAAGAGCAAAGATCTTGTCAGCACTTCGTTGTGTATTCATGTAATTTATTAAGTTTTCAATAATAGCTGTAAGATTTGTTATTCTAAAAAATAGAAATTAATTAAGATTCATAAAATCAATTTAAATAATAAATTTGCCTTACGGTTTCAATTTCATGTAATTATCATCAAGGAAGCTTAAAGCTAATGTCAATCCATCTCTTGAATTGCTGTATGTGCTAGTCAAAATAGTTTGTATTTCATCGTTTTCAAGATTATTTCCTTCATCTAATGTTATCTTCAATAATTTCTTCAAATTCTCATGATTCAATGAGCATCCAAAGTATTGAATGTATCGACCACGATTAACAAAATCTTTGTCTGAGACAACAATAGCAAGCAACTGACCAAATGTAGTTTCATCAATTGTTCTCATTGCAAAACAGAAGTCAAAATTAGTTGCACCCTCTTGTCCATTATTGTAGAAGTTCATGAATTTCTCATTTTCATGAATGAAACAATCATTATCAAATGCTTGACAATTCCATTGCTTTACATAGCTTCTCAATGATGTACGATTGGAATTTTCTCCATCGAATCCTTCATAGCCTAATACGTTAAGATGTGGCTTTGTAATTTCTTGAATAAGTTCATAAAACTTCTCATGTGCCAATGTGTCAAATAAGTGATTTCTCAAGTCATTAAAAATTCTCTGTCCTCTAGCCCAAGCAAGGAACTCATCTTCCTTACCCATATAGCTTAAAATCTTTATAGCATCAGCTCCACCAACGCGTCTGAATTGTGTCCAGCCTAAATAAAATTCATCCAATAATAAGGCACGGTTAAGTGGATTTATGACTGTACAGTCGTCATTCAATTGCGCAATATTGGCGCGCCATAAAACTGAACTGTAATCAACGCGATAATAACCCACTTGATCGATATTGACAACCATCCAATCACCATCTGTGTATCCTGTTTGTTCAGGTGTGAATCCAAAAGTTGGAACTGGCAACCAAAGTTTTGGAGTTCTTACACTAAAATCAGGATTTGACTTAGTTGCGTATGTAATTGGAATAGCATAAACTTCTCCATTATGTACTGGATATCTAGTTTGTGAGAATATTGTGTTATTTTTACCAACTCTGACAGTAAGTAATGGATATCCAGCTTGATCTTCCCATGAGTACATGATATCTCCAATCATTAATGGCTTTTCGGGGAAAGCTGCATCATAAGCTGTTTGTAGACCTGTGTGAAGTTCTGTTGGTGTAGCTGCCTTCATGTAATTTTCATTTAAATAATAATTCAGCCCTTTAAGGAAGACAGGCGCAGTCATGACTTCCATCATCATTCTCAATACACAACCAGATTTTTGATATCCAATTCCTCCAAACTTATTCCATAATTCATCAGGTATTTCTGTATAATGATTCATAGACCATGCATTAGGTCCATCACTGTTGAATGCTGTTTGGATTGTAGATGAAAAGAAGCTTCTCATTGCTGCTCTTTCAGGATAGACTAATGATGGGATGTAGTTAGCAAAAAGTGTAGCAAATCCTTCATTAAGCCATGTGTATTGCCACCATTTTGGGGAAATAATATCACCAAACCATTGATGTGCATATTCGTGAGTGACTAAGGAAATGATTGAATTTTGTTGATTGTATGTTGCACTTTCACTTAAGGCTGGGTTGAGGAGTAAACCTCTTTCGATGTAAGTGATTAATCCCATATTTTCCATGGCACCAAAGTTGAATTTTGTTAAAGCAATATGATCCATTTTTGACAATGGATATAAAACGTTTAATACTTCCTCTAATTTATGTAAAATCGGTCCGACAACAGTGGCTGCAAAGTTACCTCGACCTTCTTTAATAGCCATTGGTGTGCCAAAGATTCTTTGTGGAATTCTAGTATCAGTTGCATTGACATATTCATAGTCTGAAATGGCAAAAGCAAGAAGATATGTCTGCATGACTGGTGTCGGTGCAAATGTTGTTATTTTATAATTTGTTTCTTCCTCTAATTCTTCTATAAACACTTCCGTATTTGCAAGTGCTGTGTAGGATTTATCATAAACAATAGTTAAAGTCATAATAGCTCTAATGCCTGGTTCGTCATAGCAAGGGAATGCGTGACGTGCGTCAGTTACTTCGAATTGTGTTGCACCATAGAATTTGGTCTCTCCAGCAGAATTGTTGTAGCTTCCCCAATAGAAACCAGCTCCATCATCACGAAGCCTTCCAGAGTACCCAATATGAATCAAAAGTTCAGATCCAACTTCAAATATGCGTGGCAAGTTGATGACTAGAAACTCGTGTGATGGAATTAGATCAAAAGAAGTACCATCAATTGGTTCGAGAGGTTCAGCTACGAACACAGTCACCAATTTAATCTCAATTTGTCTATAATGCAAAGTAATCTTGTTTGTTGCTTCCTTAATTTCAGTTTTTATCATGACATTTCCTTGGAAATCAAAATTTCCTTTGTGGATGTCCGTGACCAAAAAAATATCATAACTAATTGGATATGAATCATTTGGAAGTCTGTAGGTTGTTGGTTCGTCTATTGCTAATACTTTGCTAAATTTTTCAGGAACTCCAAATTTTGTTTCCTCAATTCCATCGTTATGTAATAAATTATCGACTGGATTGCCACGTACTAAACTGATAATCACAAAAACACTTAGAATCGCCACTTTTTGCCACATCTTGAACTGTTTTCCACGCAGTTCGGTAGAGAAAAATCAAGTGAATTTGGGCTGTAATGTTTGATTTATTTTATACTCTGTATTAATCTAATCTTAATAGTGATAACTAAACTCTTAATGGAACTAATCTCTGAGATAAACTCTGCTTTTTATTCCTACATTGTCAAAGTCATTCAGAGAATGATTCAGTACTTTACAGTTAAAACTCAATTACTTCTATAAATTATTGAACTAGTGATATGTTATCTTAGTATGAGTGGGAAACTAGTGTTTGAATTGGAGATTCAATTGTTTTACAAAAATTAGCTATCGTCTGGCTTTGATTCTTTTTCATTGTGTTATCAAGTAGCTAACTCTATCCAACATCTCCAGAAGAATCTGCATTTTCATTTGATTTTTGATCTGTTGATTATTTTGTGGAAACATATGTTTTGTCCTTACATACTTATCTGGCAGTATAGATCAATTGTGATCCAATGAAGCTGGCTCTATCGCTGCTTCCCGTTTGTTAATTACCAATACTAAATGTTAACTGGTTTAAGTCACATAATTCAATGAAAAGGATTTGTCTCCAAAAGTTTATTATCTTTAAAACTCATCTTGCGTACTTGTTATCGTTTGTAATTTTGTTTTTGCTTCATAATCTCAATAGGGTAGTTCAAGTATGATTCTCTTGTATCAAAGCTATTGTTGTTAACAAGTCAAGTTTCAAGTGGCTTAATATTGTAATATTGGCTAATCATTAGTATTTATATCATTAGGCAATTCAAGAGGATGAATGCAGAAGATGAATCAACAGTTATTTGTATGAACTTGAGAAAATCCATCAATTTCTTACATTGATCTTAACATTGATAAGAAAATTCAGTTGCTTAATTAGCCACTTTTTTCTAGATTACAGCAAACCTCAATCAGGATTTGTTTTTATTATTACTAATCAATTGATCATTTGTGTACAATTAATGACAAACAACAATTTGCTGATAAGATACGCGTTTTTTGTTTACCTACGAATCTTAAAGATTTCCCAAGAAAACGAGAAAAATTGATTTTAGTAAGATTTAAGTAATTTTGTTTAATTCCTTCTCATGAAAATGAATCAAGTTCTTTAAGATTAGCGGTTCATGGACGTGAACCTCATTTTTATTCCAAAGTCATTATCATAAAGTTTACAAAAGTTTCAATAAACTTAACAAAGCACAAAACAAAACTAAGCTAATTGATTTGAAAGCTGTATTTCCATTTCCTGGAGTTGTTGATGGTTCGGTTGGACGCTGAGTTGATGTTGTTGTTGAATCCTCTACTTTTCCCGTTGATTCTAGTGAAATATAAATTTATAATTGATTAACTAGATTCAATAAATAAGTCATAGATTTACCTGCTGTTGTCGATGGCTGAGTCACTGAATTTGTTGACGTAATTGATTGTGACGTAGTTCTAGATACTGATGTTGTAGACTCAGATTTTGTAGTTGAATGAGTTGAAGACAAAGTTGATTGCGTTGTTGTTGAATCACTTTTTGTAGATGACGAACTTGACTGTGGCTCAGTCGATATTGGACTTGATATCGATTCAGTCGTAGTCGATTTTGATTCAGTGAATGGTTCAGTCGATATTGGGCTTGATATCGACTCAGTTGTAGTTGATTCTGTCCCTATAGATGGCTCAGTTGAAATAGCTGTCGTTGTATCTTCGGTTCTAAAGAAAATTAAAATTTCTGCGTAATTTTTGTCATTCCATTTCTTATTAGATGCGATTCTTGATGATATTGTATCGGAGTTGTCATTTGTAATTAGTTGTTCTGATTCCAGTTTATTGACGAATTGTAAAAAGTATGGTATTGTGGAGTTTGAATTGACATATCCTGCGATATTGTACATGGTCTCATATAAGTCAATTAATCTGAAAATTGGAAATTTTAAATTATTTTCAATTTTGTTTTTAAAAGCTTTCCAAGGGTTTAGAACTAATCAATTATGTTTTGATAATTTTTAAAACCCTTGAGATTAAGATTGATCTTACGAATTAAGTGTCAAATAATTTTCATTAATGAAATCCAACGTCATTTCTAGACCAAGTTTAGAATTATTATAGATTCCATACAGCATAAATTCTCTCTCATCATTAGTCAAAATATTTTGAGTATCCAACACAGCTTCAAATATTTTATTCAAGTTGTCAGGATATATGGAACAACCGAGATGCTTTAGATAATTCAAACGTTCTTCAAAGTTCCTATCATTTATGACTTTATTGAAGATTTCTGGATAAATATCATCTCCAGCTAATCTCAATGCATAACAGAAGTTGAAGTTAACAGGTCCTGCACCTTTATAGTACGCATCCAATTTTTGATATTCAGCTACAAGACAGTCACCATCATTAGCCAGGCAGTTCCATTTCTTTGTATAAAATCTTAGAAATTCATCTTCTAGACTTTCACCATCAGTAGACTCAAATGTCAAGTTAATCAAATGAGTCTTAGTAAGTCCTTCAATCATTTCCAAGAACTTCTCATAAACTTCAGTTCCAAAAAGATGTTCATTAAGGCCATTCAAAGTTTTCTGTGCTCTTTCCCATGCAAGATACTCTGTTTCCTTATCAAAATAGCTTATTATACCTAATCCATCGACTCCCTCAACTCTATCAAATTCAGTCCATGCCAAATAGAATTCATCTTGCAATAAAGCACGGTTAAGTGGATTTATGACTTCATGATTGTCATTTAATTGTTCAATATTTGCACGCCATAAAGTTGTGTCGTAGTCAACACGATAATAACCCACTTGATTAATATTTACGACAATCCAGTCATTTGAGCTATAGCTCAGTGTTGATCGAGAAACTTGCATTGCTTCACTGTGCAGCCAAATTTTTGGAGTTCTATCAGAAAAGTCTGGATTTGTTGCTGTTGCTAATGTTATTGGAACTGAATAAATTTCATCGTCACTTTCTGGATATCTGCGTTGTGAAAATATCAAGCTTTTTCCGGATAAGCTGACTGATATTAATGGATATCCAGGCTGATTCTCCCATGTGTACATGACTTCACCAATATTTAACGTATTTCCAGGGAATGATGAATTGTAAGCTTCTTGCAGTCCAATGTGAAGTTCTCTTGGTGTAGCTGCATTGAACTTATTTTTTATTAAGTAACGGTTCAATCCATTCAGGAACACATTCTCAGTCATAACTTCCATAAACATTCTCAGCACACATGCTGACTTTTGATATCCAATTCCTCCAAATTTCCCTTGCAAATCATTTGGATGTTCCTTATAAAGATTCATAGCCCACGATCCCATCTCATCGTTCCTGAATGCTGTTGGCATTGTTTTTGTGAAAAAATTTCTCATGAGTCTTCTATCAGGTTCTAGTTGATGTGGAATGTAGTTCTCAAAAAGTGTAGCCATTCCTTCATTCAGCCATACATACTGCCACCATTTTGGAGACACTAGATTCCCGAACCATTGATGTGCATATTCATGAGATATCAGATTTAAGATGTAATTCTGTTTTTTATATGCTTCACTCTTAGTCATGTTTTCTGGAATCATTAAACACTTCTCACAATAATTTATTAATCCAAAATTTTCCATTCCTTCATAATTGAATTTTGACAGTCCAACATGATCCATTTTGATCAGTGGCATTTCAATCCCTAAAACTGTTTCAAGTGATTTCAATATTGGACCAACATAGACAGCAGCATAGCTTATTTGACCATTTTTAACCATGTTTGGTGGTCCATAAATTTTTTGAGGAATTCTTGAACTTCCAATGTGGTTGACGTATTCAAAGTCAGATATAACAAAGGCCAGCAGATATGTCTGCATTTTTGGTGTTGTGGCAAATGTTGTGACCCAATAATTTCCAGTCTCATCTTCTACCTGAATCGCAACGTCTGTATTTGATATGGCAGTTAAAGATTTATCATGAATAATTGTTAAAGTCATTTCAGCACGAATGCCAGGCTCATCATAGCAAGGAAATGCATATCTAGCGTCAATAATTTCGAATTGTGTTGCTCCGTAATACTTTGTGACTCCTTCATCATCTGTGTAGGTTCCATAATAAAATCCAGTTCCATCATCGCGGATCTTCCCATTGTAATTGATAACAAGAATAAGTTCAGTATATGGATCATAAATATTCGGTAAATCTACGACTAAAAAGTCATGCGACTCTATAAAGTTAATAGGTGCATTTGTTCTTATTGGAAATGGTGTAGATCCACTCCAAATATCAATTTTCAGAATATCAATTTGTCTGGAATGCAAAGTAATTTTGTTGGTCGGTTCCATTATTTTCAAACGAATTTTCACATTTCCTGTAAAGTTTAGTTCTCCTGTATGGACATTTGTTGTAATTATAATCTCGTAATTTACAGGAATTGAGTCATTTGGAAGTCTGTATGTTTTTGGTTCCTCTAAAAGAAATTTTGATGCATCGCTATTAAGAGGATTTCCATGAACTAAACTTATTCCCAAAAAAATAATTATCACTTCTAATAAATCCATAATCCACAAGATGGAACTTCACTTTTTCACTTAATTTAAGGTATTAAGCTTTGTAGCTGAAAATTAATACATTTTTATATTGATTATTTATCTAATCACTTAGATAATGAAGATCATAAAAATAAATCGATAAACTGGTTGTTTATAGCGGAAAAACCTAATCATATCAAGGAACAGACAGTGATAATTTTGATTGTGTCAATAAAGTTTGAATTTTTCGGGTTCTTTTTTAAGGAATCCCCTTGTTTATAAAACTCTGGATGTTCGGTAGAATAATCGTAAACGATGATGTCCAATTTTGTGAAATATGAGGAAGGAGGTCTAAAAAGGAGTCTGATCTCTTGATAATTTAATACACAGCACCTTATTCGCTTCCTAATAAAAACTATGACATCTTTTAAAAGCCTTTATCAATTTTATTTTTAAACTAAAATAGCAAGCTGAATTGCCAATTTTTTTTTATGGAACCGTCCGATAAGATTTCGTCAATTGGCTTTAACAAATGCTAAGTGAGACAAAAATAGCTTAGTGATAATTATTTTTAGAAGTGCATAATTTGGATGAATTGGCTTTGATTTAAATCCAGCACCATGATAGAGTCATGCCAGATAGGGGCTGCATTTCTTCCGGACATTTGGCTTTATTATCTTGTAAAAACATTAGAATAATTTCAACAGATTAATCATAGCACATAAAGTCACTAAACTAATTGAAATGATGACTGAATTTCCAGAGTCTGGTGTGGTAGATGGTTCTGCTGGATGCTGAGTTGTTAAATCTTTTGAATAAAATAATGAACATTTAATTAAATTTTTTAATACATGAGCAGGTGACATTCACAGTTGCGTATCTAAGGAAATTTAAGGAACATATGTTAATGGCAACAATATTTACCTACGGTTAATTTCTTATTAGCAGTGCTGGTTGATCTTATTGTGGAAGTTTTCTTTGCTATTGAATAAGGTTTTAATGTTGTCCAGGTAGTTTGTACAGCTTGTACGGTTGTATCTCGAATTATTAATTGATCAAAAAAATTGAGAATATTTTGATAGTTTGCAGTCATCCATTTTTCATTTGACTTTAATGTTTCCGAAATATTTTTGTTATGGCTTTTTGATCTCGATTTGACGGGAATTTTCCGGAATTTTTCTGTCATTTCGTCTCCATGAATGTATCTAGCCATGACGCGCATTACTTTGGGTATTAAAATTATTCTGAAATAAATGCACAAAGATTTGCTCAAAAATGCTTAATAAATAAATTTAAAGAAGATTCTTACGAGCTGATGAGCTGGTGGGATTCATCAATAAAGTTTAATACAGCATTCAATCCTAATTCAGAGTTGCTGAACATGCTAATCAGCAGATTTTCTCTTTCATTGTTTCTCAAATTATTTCCTGAATTTTGAATTTGAAGCAATAAAACATTTAAATTGACAGGATTTAATGAGCATCCCATACTCTGTAAAAATTTATCACGATTTGGATAGGCTCTGTTGGATGTAATAGCATGAACTATTTGTGCATAAATTGATTCATCGAGCAGCTTCATTGCGTAGCAAAAATTGAAATTTAGTACACCACTTCCATTATAATAAGCCATAAATCTTTGATTCTCAAATAAATAACAATCAACATCAAGTGATTGACAGCTCCATTGTTTTGTGTAGTTTCTTAATGATGCATGATCAGGATCTTCTCCATCAAATCCTTCATATCCTAGCTTGTCAAGATGTGTCTTTGCTTTTTGTCTAATAAATTCAGCAAACTTTTTATAAATCGGAGTTCCAAAAAGTCTATTTCTAAGAACATTGTATGTTGCCTGTCCTCTAGCCCATGCAAGGTATTCGTCTTCCTTATCAAAATAATTTAAAATTTTCAACGCATCAACAGCATTAACGCGATCAAATTCAGTCCATGCCAAATAAAAATCATCCAATAATAAGGCACGGTTGAGTGGATTTATGACTTTATGATCAGCATTTAATTGTTTGATATTGGCGCGCCATAAACCAGTGTCATAATCAACACGATAATAACCCACTTGATCAATGTTTACAACCATCCAATCATTTTGACTATACTCAATTAATGTTTGATCAAATGACATAGAAGAACCAGTCAGCCAAATTTTTGGAGTTCTGATAGAAAAGTTTGAATTGGTCTTGGTTGCAAATGTGATTGGAACTGAATAAATCTCTCCAGTACTTTTGGGATATCTACGTTGTGAAAATACCAAGTTACTTCCTGAGACACTGACTGAAATCAATGGATATCCTGCTTGATTTTCCCATGTGGACATCAAATCACCAATATGGAGTGAATTTCCTAGAAATTCTTCGTCATATGCTTTTTGAAGACTTATGTGCAACTCATCTGGTGTGGCTGCTTTCATGTAATTTTCATTCAAATAATAATTCAGTCCTTTGAAGAAGACAGGTTCAGTCATAACTTCCATAAACATTCTGATTACGCAACCAGACTTTTGATATCCAATTCTGTTGAATTTAGTCCACAACTCTTTAGGATCTTCTGTATAATGATTCATTGACCATGCAGTTGGTCCATCATTATTAAATGCTGTTTGAATTGTGGATAAAAAGAAGCTTCTCATTGATCTTCTGTCTGCATAAATAAGTTCTGGAATGTAGTTGGCAAAAAAGGTAGCAAAACCTTCATTCAGCCAAGTGTATTGCCACCATTTTGGAGATACGATGTTACCGAACCATTGATGAGAGTATTCATGAGTAATTAAGGAAATGATTGAATCTTGCTGGTTGAAAGTGGCACTTTCCCCTAAGGCTGGATTGAGAAGCAAACCGCTGTCGATGAAGATTATTAAACCGAAATTTTCCATGGCACCAAAGTTAAATTTAGTCAGGGCAACATGATCCATTTTCGACAGTGGATATGAAACGTTCAATACTTCCTCCAAGGTCTTTAAAATTGGACCGACAACCGATGCTGCAAAATTACCTTGACCATCTTGAATAGCCATTGGTGTGCCGTAAATTTTTTGAGGAATTCTCGTATCAGTTGCATTGACATACTCGAAATCAGAGACCAGGAAAGCAAGGAGGTATGTCTGAATTTTTGATGTTGGTTCAAATTGAGTTATGCATGCTCTATTATTATGGATTAAATTCTTGAATGTAACTTTTGTATTAGCAACAGCAGTAAGCGATACATCATGAATGATTGTCAAAGACATAACAGCTCTAATGCCTGGTTCATCGTAGCAAGGAAATGCAGAACGTGCATTGAACGTTTCAAATTGTGTAGCACCATAGAATTTGGTCTCTCCTTCTGAGTTAATGTAGCTCCCCCAATAGAAACCAGCTTTATCGTTGCGAATCTTTCCTGTATAACCAATATTAATCAAAAGTTCAGATCCTGCGTCAAATGTACTTTCTAAATTGATCACAAGAAAGTCATGTGATGTAATAAAATCAAAGGTAGCATCATAAAAAAGATTATGCATTGATGTTGCATTAGTTATTTCAATTGTAATTATGTTGAGTCCTTGAGAATGTAAAGTGATTTTATTCGTGGCTTCAACAATTTGTATCTTGATAATCACTGTGCTTACAAAACTAAAATCTCCTTTCTTAATATTAGCATTCAAAATGATCTCATAGCTGATAGGAATCGAATCATTTGGTAGTCTGTATGTTGTTGGCTTATAAACTGACGATGTTTCTATAATTTTTCCACCATTCTGGAATAAATTTACTCGTCCAACATAAATTATCAATAAAACACTCAAAAATTGCCACCACATTTTAGTTGTTCACAGTTATTCTTAAGTTTACAAACTAAACTGAACTTTCTTCGAGAAACGATAGATTTATAATAATTTGTAATCTTATCAAAAAACCAGTAAGAATGGATTTTGTAGCAGATGTATTAGATATTATAGGATTTCAAAAAAAATGTCAATCGAAGGACCGGATCTGAGAATTTTTGGTATTTCATAATTATTGTAATTAATACAAAATTCGTAACGTCAAAACATGTATTACATTTGCAGTCATAAATATTAACATCACCAAATGTCGTAGGTATGGCTAATGGATAGGGTTGTCCTGGAGACTTCTTCCTTACTCGATAAGTTATCCCAAAGTTTTATTTAGAGCTTACTCTGTAGCTTAATCATTCACGTACAGTTAGTTTATTTTTGTCATAAACTAAACTCTGCAAGACAAATCCTAATAGCAGCAACGGTGTCACGGAAAGAGGAACAAAGGTTTGGGATAGGGTTTTCATTTAAATTCCGGGATTAGGATCTTCAGAATTTGATTTAAGATTTTTTAATATTTTATTCAAAATGGTTCAAAATTTCACAATTTTTTTTGGAAATTAAGCATAATTATTTTAAATCAGCTTTAGAATAACTTCATTAAATTCATCACAGCACATAAGGCAATTAAACTAATTGAAATGAAGACTGAATTTCCAGAATCTGGCATGGTAGATGTTTCTGTTGGAGCCTGAGTTGTTGTTGTTGTTGTTGTTGTTGTTGTTGATGCTGCTGTTGTTGTTGTAGATTCTTCCTTTGGCGTAACTAAAATAATATTTTTTTAAATGCAAGAATCATGAAAACCAAATTATAAATTTTTTGGCTTAATATTACCTTCAGAAGTAGTTGTGGGAGGAATTGTTTCGGTTACTGTGGTAGTCGTTGTAGGTGCTTGTGTCGTTGTAGGTGCTTGTGTCGTTGGTTCAATAAGTTCAAAGAAAAGTGCAATATCATAATAATTGGCTTTGTTCCATTTCTCATTTGAATCTAATGTGCTCTTAATAGTTGTGTCGTGTTCTTCTGACAACAGTTGACTTGATTTAAGTTTCTCTACGATTCCTCGGAATGCTGCTGTCTTTACTTCACCATTTATGTATCCTGACATGACATTCATTACCGTGGATAGATCAAGGTACCTTACAAATGAGTTTAGATTTTATACAGATTAAAATTAAATGAGAATTGAACTTACGAGCTAAGTTGCATATGGAAGCTATCGATGAAGCTCAATGCCATCTCTAATCCAATTTCAGAATTGCTGAACATGCTGATTAAAATACTTTGTCTTTCATTTTTACTCAATGTATTCACAGTATTTAAAACTTGTGACTGTAGCATATATAAATTAACAGGATTTAATGAGCATCCCAAGTTTTGGATAAAACCTTTGCGATTTGGATATGCACTGTTGGACGTAACATTGAGGACAATTTGAGCAAAAATTGAATCTTCAATAAACTTCATTGCATAGCAATAATTGAAATTTACTTCGCCGCTTCCATTATAATAAGCCATAAACTTTTCATATTCTGGAATGAAGCAATTACCATCAAGTGATTGGCAACTCCATTGTTTTGTGTAACTTCTCAGTGACATAATGTCAGGATTCTCTCCATCAATTCCTTCATACCCTAGATTTGCAAGGTGAGGTGCTGCTTTATTTCTGACAAAATCTGTGAATTTCTTGTATGCTGGAGTTCCGAAAAGTCTATTTCTAAGAATATTATAAGTGTTCTGTCCTCTAGCCCATGCAAGGTATTCATCTTCCTTATCAAAATAATTTAAAATGTTTAATGCATCAACTCCATTAACACGATTAAACTCGGTCCATCCCAAATAAAATTCATCCAATAACAAGGCGCGGTTAAGTGGATTTATGACTGTATTATCAACATTCAATTGTTTGATATTGGCGCGCCATAAACCAGTGTCATAATCAACACGATAATAACCTACTTGATCAATGTTTACAACCATCCAATCTCCTTCAGAATACCCAGTTTGTTCTGTTGTGAATCCCAAAGTCGGAACAGGTAGCCAAAGTTTTGGAGTTCTGACAGAGAAATTAGGATTTGATTTATGAGCAAACGTAATCGGAATTGAATAAACTTCGCCATTACTTTCGGGATATCTACGTTGTGAAAATACCAAGTTACTTCCTGAGACACTGACTGAAATCAATGGATATCCAGCTTGATTCTCCCACGTGGACATCATGTCACCAAAATGGATCAATATTTCTGGGATAGTTTCATCATATGCTTTTTGAAGACTTTTGTGCAACTCATCTGGTGTGGCTGCATTCATGTAATTTTCATTCAAATAATAATTCAGTCCTTTGAAGAAGACAGGTGCAGTCATAACTTCCATAAACATTCTGATTACGCAACCAGACTTTTGATATCCAATTCCATTAAACTTAGTCCATAACTCTTTGGGATCTTCTGTATATTGATTCATTGACCATGCAGTTGGTCCATCATTATTGAATGCTGTTTGAATTGTGGATGAAAAGAAGCTTCTCATTGATTTTCTGTCCAAATAAATAAGTTCTGGAATGTAGTTGGCAAAAAAGGTTGCAAATCCTTCATTCAACCATGTATATTGCCACCATTTTGGAGATACGATGTCACCAAACCATTGATGTGCATACTCGTGAGTTATTAAAGAAATTATTGAGCCTTGTTGATTGTATTTTCCACTTTCGCTTAATTCTGGGTTGAGGAGTAATCCACGATCAATATAAGTTATTAAACCAAAGTTTTCCATGGCACCAAAGTTAAATTTAGTCAGGGCAACATGATCCATTTTTGACAAAGGATATGGAAAGTTCAAAACTTCCTCCAGTGTCCTTAAAATTGGACCGACAACCGAAGCTGCAAAATTACCTTGATCATCTTGAATTGCCATTGGAGTGCCGTAAATCTTTTGTGGAATTCTCGTATCAGTTGCATTGACATACTCGAAGTCTGACACAAGGAAGGCAAGAAGATATGTTTGCATTAGTGGTGTTGGTTCAAATTGTGTTATGTACTTTGTGTTGTCGATATTGATATTTTTAGATGAGACTTCTGTATTAGCAACAGCAGTAAGCGATACATCATGAATGATTGTTAAAGTCATAACAGCTCTAATGCCAGGTTCATCATAGCAAGGGAATGCCGAACGAGCATCGAAAATTTCAAATTGTGTAGCACCATAGAACTTTGTCTCTCCCTGGCTGTTGTTGTAGCTTGCCCAATAGAAACCAGCACCGTCATCACGCAGTTCACCGTTATAATAAATATCAAGTTGAAGCTCAGTTCCTATCTCAACAGTGCTTCCTAAATTGATCACAAGGAAGTCATGAGACGTGACCAACTCAAATGAGGCTTCAACTAAAAGAGGTTCCATAGATGTGGCATCAATTATGTCAATTTTCGTTATGTCAAGTCCTCGAGAATGTAAAGTGATTTTATTTGTGGCTTCAACAATTTTTATCTTGATATTCACTATGCCTACAAGACTGAAATCTCCTTCCTTAATATTAGCATTCAAAATAATGTCATAACTGATGGGAATTGAATTTTCTGGAAGCCTGTAGGTTGTTGGATTATAAGTTTCAAAATAATTCAAGATATCCTCATAGTTGTCATCTATCCATTTCTCATTGGATTCTAATATGCTTGAAATAGATTGGTGATTTTCTTCTGTCAAATGCTGTCCTGCTTTTAACTTATCGACAACTTCACGGAACTTTGCTGTCATTTCATCTCCATTTATATATCCAACCATGCTGCTCATTATCTTCGATAGATCAATGATCCTGAAATGGAAATAAATGCATTACTTTATGTACCTTTAAATTATTACAAAACTTACGTGCTGAGTTGTTCATAAGATGCATCAATAAAGTCCAATGCTGCCTTCAATCCCACTTCGGAGTTGCTAAACATGCTAATCAGTAGGTTTTCTCTTTCATTGTTACTCAAATTATTTCCTGAATTTTGAATTTGAAGCAATAAAACATTCAAATTGACTGGATTTAATGAGCATCCCAAGTTCTGCACAAAGTCTGCACGATTTGCATAGGCACTGTTGGTTGTAACAGCAAGAACTATTTGTGCATAAACAGGTTCATCGAGCAGCTTCATTGCGTAGCAAAAGTTGAAATTCACTCGACCAAATCCATTGTAATAAGCAATAAACTTCTGATATTCCTGAAGATAGCAAGTGCCATCAAGTGACTGGCAACTCAATTGTTTCGTGTAACTTCTTAATGACATTTGATGTGGATCTTCTCCATCAAATCCTTCATATCCTAGCTTGTCAAGATGTGACTTTGCTTTTTGTCTAATAAATCCAGCGAATATTTCATAAGTTGGAGTTCCAAAAAGTCTATTTCTAAGAACATTGTATGTTGCCTGTCCTCTAGCCCATGCAAGGTATTCGTCTTCCTTATCAAAGTAATTTAAAATTTTCAACGCATCAACAGCATTAACGCGATCAAATTCAGTCCATGCAAGATAAAATTCGTCAAGCAATAAAGCTCGATTAAGTTCATTAATAACTTTATGATCAGCATTTAATTGTTTGATATTTGCGCGCCATAAACCTGTGTCATAATCAACACGGTAATAACCCACTTGGTCAATGTTTACAACCATCCAATCTCCTTCAGAATACCCAGTTTGTTCTGTTGTGAATCCCAAAGTCGGAACAGGTAGCCAAAGTTTTGGAGTTCTGACAGAGAAATCAGAATTTGATTTATGAGCAAATGTAATCGGAATTGAATAAACTTCGCCATTACTTTCTGGATATCTTCGTTGTGAGAAGACTAATGTATCTTTACCAGATTTGACTGTAAGTAATGGATATCCAGCTTGATTCTCCCACGTGGACATCATGTCACCAAAATGGATCAATTTTTCTGGGATAGTTTCATCATATGCTTTTTGAAGACTTATGTGCAACTCATCTGGTGTGGCTGCTTTCATGTAATTTTCATTCAAATAATAATTCAGTCCTTTGAAGAAGACAGGTGCAGTCATAACTTCCATAAACATTCTGATTACGCAACCAGACTTTTGATATCCAATTCCATTAAACTTAGTCCATAACTCTTTGGGATCTTCTGTATATTGATTCATTGACCATGCAGTTGGTCCATCATTATTAAATGCTGTTTGAATTGTGGATGAAAAAAATTTTCTCATTGATTTTCTGTCAGAATAAATAAGTTCTGGAATGTAGTTGGCAAAAAAGGTAGCAAAACCTTCATTCAGCCAAGTGTATTGCCACCATTTCGGAGATACGATGTTACCGAACCATTGATGAGAGTATTCATGAGTAATTAAGGAAATGATTGAATCTTGCTGATTGAATGTAGCACTTCTCCCTAAGGCTGGATTGAGTAGTAAACCTCTGTCAATGTAGATTATTAAACCAAAGTTTTCCATGGCACTAAAGCTAAATTGGCTAACTATGGCAACATGGTCCATTTTTGACAATGGATATGAAACGCTCAATATTTCCTCTAATTGATGTAAAATTGGTCCAACAACCGAAGCAGCAAAGTTACCTTGACCATCTTGAATAGCCATTGGAGTGCCGTAAATCTTTTGTGGAATTCTCGTATCAATAGCATCGACATACTCGAAGTCTGACACAAGGAAGGCAAGGAGGTATGTCTGAATTTTTGGTGTTGGTTCAAATTGAGTTATGTATTTTGTATTGTCAGTATTGATATTTTTAGATGAGACTGCTGTATTAGCAACAGCAGTTAGCGATACATCATGAATGATTGTTAAAGTCATAACAGCTCTAATGCCAGGTTCATCATAGCAAGGAAATGCAGAACGAGCATCAAAAATTTCAAACTGAGTTGCACCATAATATTTTGTCTCTCCTTGGCTATTATTATATCTTGCCCAAAAGAATCCAGCTCCGTCATCTCGAAGTTTACCGTTGTAATAAATATCAAGACGAAGTTCAGTTCCTTTATTAAAAGTGCTTCCTAAATTGATCACAAGGAAGTCATGTGTCGTAATAAAATCAAAGGTAGCATCAGATAGAATCGGATCATTGTCTATAACTATGTCGACTTTCGTAATATTAAGTCCTCGAGAATGTAAAGTTATTTTATCAGTATTTTCTACAACCATAATTTTGATATTCACTATGCCTGTTAGACTGAAATCTCCTTCCTTAATATTAGCATTTAAAAGAATCTCATAGCTGATTGGAAGCGAATCATTCGGAAGTCTATAAGTTGTTGGAACATCAACTAAGAGTTCCTTTAAAAATTTTCCAGGACCTTCAAATTTATTTTCTTCAACTCCATCATTATATAATGGATTGCCACGTACAACACAAAATATCACTAAAGCACTTAATATTGTCACTTTTTGCCACCACATCTTATTGTCCACAACTCTACCCAACTTTATGAACTAAACTCGGCTGTTAGAAGATTGTTAAATTTATAGTAATTGTTAATCTTATCTAAGAAATTGGGAAGGAATAAACTGTTTATTGCGGATGAGCTGTATCATATCAGGAACACCATAAAAATAATCTTTAATAAACAAAGTAGTCAACTGTAAATTTTGTCACATTCTTAGACATAAGAACTATATGATAACTAGGGTTAAATGTAAGAAGGAGTTTAATGAAAGTTGAAAAGCCTGGATTGGATTTATTAATTTTTAATACAACAACAACCTGATTATAATGTCGTGAGCATTGTGTGAATGTTTCATGTTGGGAATCGAACCTGCATCCGCATTGATGAAGATTACAGATATCTAGTCTGTTGCCTTACCACTCAGCCACAAAAACTTTATTCTCGGACTGACTAATATGACTAATACAACATTGCTAAGTGTCATAATCTCTAAATATATGATTAAGAGTAGTGATTACGTAGAGCAGATAAAAAAACAAAAGGGATTGGCTAGAAAGCTACTAGTAAGAAGGAAAAACCGATGACTTTTCACTTAAATTTCACTACAGCAAATCCACTTGAGTGTGCTGCAAACATGATAAAGACATAAATTTATATCAATCAATTAAATAATAAAATTAATTCTTCAGAAGACTAATGAACTTTTGGTTGGTAAGACTGCTGAATAGCTGATAATAATGATTAATTAAAAAGTGTTTACCTTTATTTAATAATTATTACTTTATAATCTTTCGATTGTTGATTTTACAATTGATTGATTTAAATTAAAAAATGTTTATTTCACTAAGGTTGTCACGGAAAGTGTAGTTTATGTTTGGGATCGGCCTAAAATGAGGCTGTCAAATGGCTCTATATTTTAAAATTAAATGTAGATTAAATTCAGTTCAAAAATGATGTCAACCTTAAAAAATTCCATTTTCAGACTTTTCAGCATTTCTTTTCTTTTATCTTTAACTGCTTGATTATTACCCGAAAAGCTTAAGTCAGTTAATCGAATATAAAAATAAATCAACTTGATGACCCTATACTATTTAGCATCAATTTACAGCTGTAATTAAATTACAGCTGTAAATTACAGATGACGTAAGTCAAGCTTTACGTATTTTGTAAAAGTAAAGTACAGCTGTAATTTACAGACACACCATACAGCTGTAAATACAGACACCATAATATTATTAAAAACAATTTTTTTCAACAAACGTATCTGTAAATACAGACCAAATATATAGCTATATTTACAGATAAAAATTTATAGATTTGTTAATTTCATGAAGCTAATAAAGACAAATTTTACTAATTATGTGTTTAGTTTACTTTTTCTTTAATCACAAAAAAATATTTGACTACAAAATCTTGTTTCATTGTTAGGCTTAAAAAAATGTGATATGTAAAAGTAAGGTAATTAATATGTTTTCTTCTTAATATTCTTACGGAGCTTGCTCTTGTAAGGTTGCAAATTTTCTTTAACAACAACTGACGTTACACTATTTTTATCTAATTTTAATTTTTTGTACTTAAGCTGCTTGGAAGGTTTTTCAGAACCTGAAGAATAAACTTGTTCTGGTTGTTGTTGAATGTTCTGAACTATTTCAGAGCTGTTATCAACAACAAAATCCGTCAATCATTGAAGATTCTGAAAATCATCAGAACATCCAGCAATTTCAGGACTCTATTGCCAATAACAGCTCTGAAATAGTTCAGAACATTCAACAACAACCAGAACAAGTTTATTCTTCAGGTTCTGAAAAACCTTCCAAGCAGCTTAAGTCCAAAAAATTAAAATTAGATAAAAATAGTGTAACGTCAGTTGTTGTTATAGAAAATTTGCAACCTTACAAGAGCAAGCTCCGTAAGAATATTAAGAAGAACTAAACACATAATTAGTAAAATTTGTCTTTACTAGCTTCATGAAATTAACAAATCTATAAATTTTTATCTGTAAATATAGCTATATATTTGGTCTGTATTTACAGATACGTTTGTTGAAAAAAAATTGTTTTTAATAATATTATGGTGTCTGTATTTACAGCTGTGTGGTGTGTCTGTAAATTACAGCTGTACTTTAATTTTACAAAATACGTAAAGCTTGACTTACGTCATCTGTAATTTACAGCTGTAATTTAATTACAGCTGTAAATTGATGCTAAATAGTATAGGGTAACTTGATGCAGGATTTCTATTCGATCAACCGACTTATGCCATTTGGGTTAGTCTTTCTTATGAATTTATGCTTAGAAGCCCACAAATTATAATCAAATTAATCTGTAAAATAAATGACGAAGCTGAATTGGGTGTTGTTACAGGAATATTTGTTGATAGTTGAGTCGGTTGTGGTTCAGAAACAAGTGTTGTAAATGCAGTCGTTGTCGTTGTTTGTAAAAGTCCAAAATGCACTAAAATATCATGGTAATTTCTTTCAATCCATTTGGTATTTTTGGCTACTCTATCTAATATTTTTTGCTGATTTTCAGTTGAGATTAAATCTTCTGTTTGAAGTTTGTTGATGATACTGACGAATGTTGATGTTTTTGGGTCTGAATTGATAAAGCTGGCTATTTTGTACATTGTTTCGTACAGATCTAGGACACTGGAAGTAAAAATAAAAATTTTGTGGATTATTTCAAGGCACACATTTACAGCAAAATCATTTAATCTGGTTAATAGGACCTACAGACGAATTAGAAAACAAACTTACATGCTCAATGCTGCATAGCTTTCCTCAATGAATTCCAAACTCATCTCCAATCCAAGCACAGACTTACTGACAACTTCTTGCAGCAAACTTCCTCTTTCATCACTATCCAGAATATTTTCTATGTTCAAAATTTCTCCAAATAATTTTTCAAGATTCTCAGGATCTAGTGAACATCCTAGACTTTTTAATATTTGATTACGATATGGATATTTATCATTTGAAGCAACTTGTCCAAGGAGATCCTTAAAAATATCTTTATCAACAATCCTTAGTGCATTGCAAAAGTCAAAATTGGCTACATCTTGATTTTCAAAGAAATCCAAGAATTTCTCATATTCATTATGGAAGCAGTCATCATCAAGAGCCATGCAATTCCAAGTTTTAGTAACAGATCTCAGATCTGACTTCTCTAAATCCTCACCATCCATAAAATCATACCCAACTACCTTCAAATGTGGCTTTGTTATACCTTTAATTATTCCAAGGAACTGTTCATAAACAGCAGTTCCAAATAAATGTTCATTCAGGTCTTTTAATGTCAGCACAGCAGCATTCCACACAATCGACTCCGTTTCAACACCAAAATAGCTCAACAGTCTCAAACCATCAGCCGCATTTACACGATTAAACTCAGTACATCCAAGATAAAGTTCATTCTGCAATACAGCACGATTAATTGGGTTAATGACCGAATGATTGACTAACAATTGATTGATAATTGAGTGCCACAATGATGTGTCATAATCAACGCGATAATAGCCCACTTGATCGATGTTCAAGACTATCCAATTGTTTGGATCATAGCTTATCATTGTTTGTGGAACTTGTAATGATTGCGTACGCAACCATATCTTTGGAGTTTTATCAGTAAAATCCGGTTTTGATTGAGTTGCGAATGTCAATGGAACTGAATAAATTTCATTGTCACTTTCTGGGTATCTTTGTTGTGAAAATAATAAATCACTTCCTGAGACAGTTACTGATATTAATGGATATCCAGGTTGGTTCTCCCAAGTGTACATGAGTTCGCTAATATCCAAGGTATTTGTTGGATACTCTTCATTGTAAGCTTTTTGAAGACCAGCATGAAGTTCTGCCGGTGTAGCTGCTTTCATGTAATTATGAGTCAAATAATAATTTAATCCTTTAAGAAAGACAGGCTCAGTCATGACTTCCATGAACATTCTCAACACACAGCCAGATTTTGAATATCCAATTCCACCGAATTTATCCCACAACTTTACTGGATCTTCTGTATATTGATTCATTGCCCATGAACCCATTTCATCACTTGCAAAAGCCATTGGCATGACAGATGTATGGAAGTTTCTCATAGATCCACGTTCTGGATAAACAATTTGTGGTATGTACTCAGTAAATAGTGTTGCAAATCCTTCATTCAGCCATGTATATTGCCACCATATTGGCGATACGATATTTCCAAACCATTGATGAGCATACTCATGTGAAATTATGGATATGATTCCATTTTCGTACTCAATAAGGTTGATTGGTAAGCTTGAATCTAGCAGTAAACTATTGTGGAAGTAAGTGATCAATCCCATATTTTCCATAGCCCCAAAATTGAATGTTGTCAATGCTACATGATCCATTTTTGACAAAGGATACTTAACATCCAAAATTTCTTCCAGCTTCCCCAAAATTTGTCCAACAACATTTGCAGCAAAGTCTCCCTGACCTTCACGAATTGCTTTTGGAACTCCATAAATTCTTTGTGGGATTCTGGAAGTTTCAGTTGAATTGACGTATTCAAAGTCAGATATAACAAAGGCAAGCAGATATGTCTGCATTTTTGGTGTTGTAGCAAATATTGTGATCCAATAATTTCCTGTCTCGTCTTCTATCTGTTCAACAACATCTGTATTGGATATTGCTGAATATGATTTGTCATGAATGATTGTTAAAGTCATTTCAGCACGAATGCCAGGTTCATCATAGCAAGGAAATGCATGACGAGCATCAGTGACTTCAAATTGTGTTGCACCGTAATATTTGATGACTTCTTCTTCAGTTTTGTAACTTCCTCTGTAAAAGCCACCTCCATCATCGCGAAGTTGTCCATGGTATGCAATATTGATGAGAAGTTCAGTGTCTTTATTGAAAATGTTCGGAAGGTTTATGATAAGAAAGTCATGCGACTCGATGTAGTTGAATGAAGCATTGAGTAGAATTGGAGCTGGTTGTAATCCATTCCAGATATCAATCTTGTTAATTGTAATGCTCTTGTAATGAAGTGTGATTTTATCGGTCGGTTCCACGATTTTTATTCTTATTTTGACTTTTCCTGTGAAATTGAAGTCCTTTTTATGGACATTTGTAGTCAAATTTATTTCATAATTTATAGGGATTGAGTCATTTGGAAGTCTGTATGTAGTTGGTTCTTCCAATTTCAAGTATATTGCGTCATACTCGTTAAACCTGAATTTTCCCTCAATTGTTCCTTTGTTTCTTAATCTTTTATCAACTGGATTGCTACATACACTACTTATTGCTAGATATGCACTTAAAATAATGACAAAAAGCTTCATATTATTCAACTTTCACTGCTGGAATAACAAAAATAAACTGAGGCATTTCTTTGAGACATCAACAGTTTTATAAGAATTTATTATCTTATCTTTTAATTGATAAGTATTAGGCAACAACACAGCACTTAATTAACGATAAGCTAATCTTACTGTAAATAAGTGCAAATCTCGCAATGTTTATTAGGTCAGTTTTATATTTACTTGATTTGACATAATTTTGCAGTTTTGGATCTTAATTTAATAATTGCTGGTCTTGAAGATTTTAAAGTTTTCCAAAAAAAATAAAATTTGAATAGATTATAATAAAACACGAATGTAGGATCTCGAGGATCTCCCTATAACTGCTCCATAATACACATAATATAAAACAAGTCGAAATCAATTAGAATCGAACCCACGACCTCAAAAGAGACGATATCTGAGTCCACTCGATCAGAGATCACTGCCACTCGGCTACCGAGTTACTTATCTCATTCAGCTATACGTCATACACATACAACCAGTTTCACAGTGAACCTTATGGTAAGGCCTACAGATATGTTCTGAGCCATCGACTTACGTAGAAAGGCACGATTTCCTCTACCCAACAAATCTTCTTAATAGAATTAGAAATCAGAGATGTAGCTAGAAAAACTTGATTGATCCACCTACCTATTCAGATCAATTGTGATCCAGACGTGCGCTAGGGCGTTTCGCAGCTAATAAGAGTTTAACGAGTGATGATGCACCAAACCACTACACTCAAACCTAGACTTACAATTTATTGTGGTATCCAAACCACTCTTTTGATGACTGTCTGTAGCCTACAAAGGAAGACTGTGAGCCTCATTTCCAGTACATATGGTTCAAGAAAGGACAAGTGAAAAATTCTCCATACCCAAGTCTCGAGCCCATGATCGCTGAGTCGGTAATGCAATAATTAAGTACCGAAGTATTAAACCATTCCGCTACCGAGCCACTTCATTTCACAACTTAATAAGGGACGGATAGACAAGACTGTTCACAGACTAAATCACTTAATGAATTAATTTTTCTATAAATTATGCATGACTGCATGAACAAAGCAATTCTTAATTCCAGTACATCCTCATCGAGACAATTTATACAGTTTATCGATTGATCACAACAACAAAAGAAATGAAGCGCTAATTGCAGTCAATTAAATTGCAACTTAAATTTCGCAAAGTCTACAAAAAGAGAACTGAACTTTTAGGCCCTACAATCAATGATAAATTGCATGTATTACGTAAAAATATTTAAAAGCAATGGAAACAAAAATTTTTTAATATTATTTAAAATGGCATTTTACTGATGCAAGTAGAAATGAAGGAAAATAAAGTAGAGAGCCAATCGTGATATGTTAATAAGTAAGGCGATACATTTTCGATGCTGAAAGAAGAACAGAAAGTAGACGATGAGGAATAAAAACAATTTCTTTTCAAATAATCCGCAAATGTGCAAATAAATTTTATGGAAAATTATTAAATTAAGTTGCTGGACGATACTCTGTTGTTGCCGCACCTTTTATGCTTTTTACGGATCTACAAACTTTAGGTGTTTATGCTCTTTTTTAGATGTGAACATTAATGGGATTTAATAATGTCAAATGTGTTACAATAATTGACTTAAAGAAGAACTTCCAAGTGTTATGACAAAATTTATGATGAGCATAAGTTCTTAGTCGTAATTCCCTTCCATTACAGCCTTTTTTTGCTAGGTATTGTGTGCTTCATAATTATTGATGCATCGAAAATAACAGCAGGGGAAATTGATGAGTTTGAAAGGAATTTGAAGGGTTGTAGGCGCATTTTTTGAGGAATGTAAACAACACAGAACCAACTTGAATAGCAAAAGTCGGTTAATTGAATAGAAATCTGGCACCGAGCTTAGGGGCCATTCACTTATTACGTAACGCTTTTAGGGGGAGGGGGGGGGGTCTAAGATTTTGTTACGGTTCAAACAAGGAAATTTTTTTTTCATACAAATTTTGTTACGAGGGGGGTCATGAGAAGTCATTTTTTCGCGTTACGTAATAAGTGAACAGCCCCTTAGGTAACTTGGGCATGTTTCTAGACTTAAAAGACAGAGTTTTGCCAGCTTAGTGCCTGATTTCTATTCGATTAACCGACTTTTGCTATTCAAACTAGTTTCTTGTTTAATGGAACGAGGAAGACACTGCTGAGGACGTGACCTATTGTATGGGCTCATGTCATATTCGGTTGTTCAGATCCAATATTTTATGCTTATGTGCTTCATTTAAGTATGCAAACAAACGTTATTTACACTATTGACTTTGATACCTAAATTGAAGATTAGTCAATCATTAATTTGGTGGTTAATGCAATACTGAATCCATATTAAACCATTGCATACTTAAACCACCAACTCAGTCCAAACTGCTTACAGTCATAGAAACTGCATTCAACATTTTATAAGAAAAAATTGGAAAATTTCATCAATGATGTTATTTTGTGTTTTTATATGTCATCGTGACTTAAATCCGTATTGAATAATAGAATACTATTGCCTCCTATGGCACAGCATCAGTTCCATCAAATTGCATTCTTCTTCTCCTCCTCTCTATGTGCAACAGCATCGAATTCTCCTCTCAATTCGCGGAATTGTGAATTTGTGTAAAAAAAATATTTTAATCTAATGCACCTAGTTCTGTTTTTTGAAGGTATATATAAACAATGTCTCACCATTTGAAAAGCGTCATTTTACTGGATATTGTCTTACAATTAAGAAGGTCTCGCGATTGTTTTTTTTAAAAAAAAATAAAGTGCATTTGTGAATATTTTTTGTGTTTGTGGCTTATTCGAATCAAATGAAAGTCAATTTCTGAAGTTTAAGTGAAAAAGAAATAAAAGCTAGCGAAAGAAAGGAATCAGAAAAACGAAAATGAAATTGGTACGTGTCAAAAATCTGTGTTAAGTGCACGACTTACATAAGCTTCAGTAATTTTTTGGAGCTGATTAAATGAAAAATTTATAAATTTTTGATTCTCAATTGTGTGGATTAAAGATGTTCCAATTACATCTACCCCAAACTCGACATGATTTTAATTGACTTTAGAACCATTTTATATGTATACAAAAGTACTGTGGTTCCGTTCACTTATGATGTCAAGGAGGGGGGGGGGGGGGGGTCAGCAAAAAAAAACAATAGAATTCCTGAAAATCCATTGTTCTTTTTTGAAAAATGACCGGTAATTTGAGACGTCATAAGTGAACGACCCCTTGGCATTTATATAGATTATTATAATGAAGAAACTGTCAAAATTCAATTTTTTTTCTCGCAAATATTTTTTATTGCATTTCAATGTGTTGACTCGATGTTAATGATTTGTGTAGCTTTAATTATCTATGATGTGGTTTAGATTGATCTGCAAAATATTAAAACTCGGTAATTTTTGCTCTGTTTAGCAGTCAATTCACAAAAATTCGTTCCTTAATGTTGAAATTTTGCTACGTTTTCTCAATAAAAATTCCAATAAATGAATTATAATCCATTAAGATTACGAAAACAGCATGTGAACCTGTGAGATCATTCATGAGATAAGCATCATTGGCTCAGAAGCATTTCACGTCACTTTATAATTCTGTTACTATCTTGCAAATTCCTCATATTTAATCTCTTTTCACTTTTTATAACATTCATACAAAAGTGAGCATGTTATAGGAAATAAGAAGAAGAAGCTTTCAAAACAATTTCATTTCGTGACTTAAAACAACTGTAAGCATTATACATTCTCAGCGTGCTGTCCCATGCAATAAATAATATAATGGAAAAATAAAATAAAAAGCAAATAAACTCATCTGGGAATGAATTGAATTGAATCGAAGATGCATTAAAAAGGTCAAAATAAATCATAGCAAATATAAATTATTTATGAAATCAATTAAAATGAGGATTTATGGCTGATTTTTGAAAGCTGAATGTGCAATTTAGATGATTGTTTGAAATTAATATTAAGATTCTGTTTTAGATTTAAATTGGAACTTTTGAGATCTTGACATGTCTCTAAGATCTTTTCTTGCCATCTTTTTAAGCATGTTAACATTGAAATTTTTATTGTATTTTGTGTTTAAGTATTCTAAAATCGAGAAAAACTTTTCGAAGTGAGAAAAAATTTCCACTCGATTTCAAACTTTAATAATCCGTTAAATTTTCAAGTTGAAAATGAAAACTTTTTGAAGCTTTTTCGACTCAGAATGAAGAATTGTACCCAAAGAATACACAATTGAGTCTTTTTTACCTGCATCCTAATCCCCGCATTCCCTTTTTCATCCAGTAGAGTATAAAGTGATCAAATCGTGATCAATTTGACATATCTTCCTCATAATACAATATTCAATATACAATGTATGTTATTGTGATGTTTTTCTGCCAACATATATGGACATGGTAATGAAAAATATAAATAAATGAAAACAATGACTCGTGTGCATGACTTCATGTTTCTCATTGTTTTATGATGTTACTCACTTGCTTGTTACTTTTTCAATTCACTCCATTATTGTTTCAAGTTTAAATTTCATTTTCATTCATAAAAGGCATCAGCATTAACAGATGCAACAGAAGCAACAAATTAAAAGTTGATATTTTATAAAGGCGCTTGCTTATTTTTTGAAATGTTTTAGATTGACTCAATTAAATGAGTTATTAGTTGAATGCAATTAGGGGTTCTAAAATTGGTAATATTAAAATTGGATATGAGATTCTGATTAGTGCTTGGCGCCTGTTATGACATTTATCTTGAGTAGAATTCGAGCAGAATATTGTCACATACTTTAACTAAATCGAATCATTCTGCTTAAATGCTTGAATTTATTTTCGCAACTCTATAACTTTCTAAATGAGACCATAAATGTCAACCAATCCCACAACTTTTAAAATTCCATAAAATTTACTATAAAACTCAAAAAAAAATCTATATTTGCAGTTCATCACCACTTTATTTGTGGCGGCATCAATATGTTCAATAAACTGTGCACAATTGAACAATAATTATTTGCCACCAGCTGGAGCAGGTCAAGCAGGAGGCGGTCCAGGCTTGCAAGCACCAAAAGGTCCAGGTAATAATGCATTAGGAGGAATTTCTCCTTCTTTTCCAGGAGCAAATCCTCCACCAGCACCAAATCGTCCAGTACCTCCCTCTCAAGGACGACCTGCTTCACCAAGTTCAGGATCTCCAGGACCAACGATTGAGATTATATCGTATGAAAATGTGAACAATGGAGACGGATCATATAAATGGAGGTAATATCGATAAAATCTCTTAATTCCATTGATTTTACTCACCATAATTCAATATTAAAAATTAAGCTATGAATCTGCAAATGGTATAAGAGCTGAAGAAACAGGAGATGTAAAGAATAAAGGATCAGAGAATGCCATTCAAACTGTTCAAGGTTCCTACAGTTACACGTCACCTGAAGGTCAAGTCATCCAGGTATGGACATTTTTTTTAAACCTTGACATTTTATGGACAGGAATAACTCTTTAGATTACTTATACGGCTGATGAGAATGGATTCCAAGCTGCAGGAGATGCACTCCCAACGCCAGTTCCACTTCCTGAAGAGAATTTGAGGGCTATTGCTGAACATGAAGCTGCTCTTGCCACGGGTAATTTTTAATGTTGATTATGTCATTGCTTTGTTGGGATGTAAAGCATTGACCTTTAGTCAAACCTTTAAAAAATCATTTAAATATAAAATTTAATTGCAAAAATAAAATTAGCTGTTCCAGATACAGCTGGATCTTCAGGAGTATCATCTCCAGGTGGTCAGAGACCTCCATCTGGACCAAGCTCACAACCTAGACCACAATCAGGACCTTCTCCACCTGCAGGCACATCATTTGGAGGCACACAACCCAGACCAGGATCTCCATCACCTCCAGCATCACCAGGATTTTCAAATCAACCAAGACCAGGTGGTGGTAGTGGAAGTTATAGTCCACAATCTGGATATAAATACTAAGAAACCAAAAAATAATGACGAAAATGCAAAGAAAAGTTCAAAATGCTGTGAAATTGAAATTTTACGTGATGTCTCTCTGACCTTCGTCTTTAACTGCACACAAACTAATTTTTTCATGCACACTTATTTCCTCTATTAACAATTAATTTACTTAATTAAGCTCTTTTTATTTATTTATGATTGAATTGATGCAAGAGAAATAAATGAAATATCGTTTAATAAATAAAAATATTAAAAGTAAAATATGACAATTTTATGGATGTAAAAATAAATAAATTGGAACATGAAACACGATGCAACATGACAGCATTATTAACATGGCATGACAAATATAAAACATTACAGACTAGCTTTTATTGAATATGATGCGGTTTATACTAGGAGATGTAGTCTTGATTTTCATTGGGGTTCTAGAAGGTACTTGGATGTTGTTTACGGCTTGAATTTAGAAGGTTTTGTGAATTTTGCGTTGACTCTAGTTATTTTCGTTTAATGCTTAAACTTAGACTTTGGAACCAATTAATCCTAGAAGTAAACTCAAAACCCACTTCAAGTTCACAAACAAAGTAAATCACAAAGCATCCATAAAATATGTAACATCAAAATCGTTTGATGTAGTGCGCAACTAATTCAATGGGATTGGCATGTCTATGATTTCTGCTCAGTTTAACTTTAAACATGCTTGCACATTCTCAATTGTATCCGAGTCATCGATCCAATTATTTTATTGTCTTAATGACTATGAATGCAAAAGTATCTCGTTTAAATTAACAGCATGCGATTGAACTTGAAAATGCTGCAAACTTTTCTTTTTTACTCATATCTGCAGATTGAGATGAGATAAAATCATATCACAATGAGATCGTCCATGAATGGGTAATTTTAAATGCATTTTTAAAAATTAGGGAATTGATTGCTATCTTCTGGAATTTTTCAATAACTTAAATAGTAAAAGTTTGAAACAAAATCATGACTTTTCGAATTTTTAAAGATTTGTAAAATTTCAAATTTTGTAATCATAGTAAACATTCTTGAAGTTGGCTCAGTTCAAAGAAAATCCTGTAAATTAAAATTGATTTAAATGTGTGAAAATTATCAAATTAGTGAATTTAAACGGTTTTAAAAAGATTCAAAGTAAAGTAAGCTGTTTTTAATGTATTTTACAAGATTAAAGGTTTTTGAAAGGCAATTGGAAAATTTTTTGAAAATCTTCTGTTGTTTATTCCAGAATTAAATATTGTGAGCATTTAATAGCCAAACCTAGCAGAAATTTACTGGTAATTTCCTAGTAATTTATTGGATAACTTTCCATTTGCTACTTGCTATTTATTAGTCAAAATCCAAGTTCAAATAATTAATTGAAAGTCACATACAAATTTGGATCGAGCTTATGAAGGTGATTTCTGCGCGCTCTTGTGAAGTATATGCCAAATGCCAAATTTAGAACAAAATTTTTTATGACGCAAAAAATTCTTTTTTTCATGATTTTTCGTAAGATTCGAACTTAAGCAGATTTGATCAAACATTTTACATGGTAATTTGCTAGTAATTTGCTATTAAATAGTAAGTGTAATTTACTAATAGTAAGTTGTTTTGATAATAACTAGTAAATTGCAAGTAGTAGAATAGAAAGACTAGCAATTTGCTCTGAATTTTTGTTAAAAGACTTTTTCATGTAATTTTAGCTATCAATAATATCAATAATATTTTACAAACATCTCAATCATTTACCAATAAAAATTTTTCAAAAAAGTGAAATATAGGAAATAGAGACATGGAATCTAATCTGCTACTGCAAGATAAACAGTTCTGTAGTTGAATGGTTAAGCAATCAATTTCTAAATATCGACATGTTAAGTCTTTCCACAACCATACAAACAATTACATAAATTATTTCCTTCGTTGTCTTTTTGAAATGCTAGCTTAAATTATTTTCCTGATATTAATTTATTAACTTTTTATTAAAGCTATTAATTTAATTAAGTTGTAACTGCTCATTTCTATTAGAATCCTTTTCAAACTTAGCAAAGAGAGCAGAAGCAACGCAATGGACATAAAAATATTTTCGATGATTTTATTGATCCCATTTATATTTGGAATGAATATATCAAATCCAGAACTTTCAAGAGAGCTTAAAAATCTTGTGGAAGCATTCAAGCTGATTAGAAATGATATGAGAGAAACTTTTAACACAAAGGGTTGCACCTTGATAACCATCGCAGATCCACAATACAGAGAACAACATGAAAGAATCAAATTGGATATCCTGAAATACGTTTTTAATCATGACACTATAAGATTAAGAGATACAAAGTTGCTATCACGAAAAATAATTACATTTTCTGTAATACTTGTAGATAATATGAAAGTATTTCGAGAATCAGCAAATTACATTGATACAAAGAGATTTCTGTACTCAGGATACCATATTGTTATCATGCTGGATGCAAATCTTATCGAAGTTCAAGAATTATTTGAAATTTACTGGTCCAAAAATATCTACAATGTCTTGATTTTCATCAATATGTACGAAGAAACCTTGCTGTTGACCTTTGAACTTTTTGACAGCACAGAAAATTGTGGAAAAGTTTCCGTCAAAGTCATTAATAATTTTCAAAATGGGAAATTTATCAATAAAATCGGTTCCTGGAAGAAGTTCCAAAATATGAACCAATGTCCTATAACAGTAACAACTTATACAGATAGTATTGCGGTTTTCAAACAGATTTTACCTAATGGATCTTCTGCCCTACGTGGATATGAATATGAAATGATTCAGTACATTGCTAATATGCTTAACTTTACATTGGATTTAGTCTATAAAGAAGGAAAGCAGGAATGGGGCGTGGTTTACGAAAATGGATCATGTACGCGTGGATTTGAAGATTTAAAAAATAGAAACACGGATATACTATTAGGTGATCTATATCTTAAAGAACTAAGAGCAAAATATTTTGATCCAAGTGCACCGTATCTAAATTACCCACTTTTCTTCATCCTATCAAAACAACCGAGGCTCAATATGTTTCAAAAGATGCTAAGTCCATTTCAGTCTACAGTTTGGATATTGATAGCTGTGACTCTTTGTATTGGAATATCTGCAATTTTAATGATTAATTTTAAGTTTAAGTTGATTAAGTTAATTGTCTTTGGAGAAAATGTAAATCATCCAGTGACCAATCTTTATACTTCTTTCTTTGGTCAGCCACAAACAAGGCTACCTTACAGAAACTTTTCAAGAATACTTTTGATGACATTTCTCATATTTTCCTTAGTCATCAGAAGTGCATATCAAGGTTCGTTATATAAATTCTTGCAATCCGATGGGCGACATAAAGAACCACAAACAATTGCTGAGCTTATTGATAAGAAGTATAAATTTATTATAGCCAAGACGAATATAGACATTGTAAAGGATTCCCATCCGAAAATGTACGATGCATCATATATAATGGAAGAAAATGACGAAGTTGACCTGGATGTAGCACTAAAGTGGTTCAAACGAACAGCCTCTTTTGCTTCAAAAACAACTCTAATGAATTACAGTTTGGCTAATGACAATTTTCCTTACAAAATCTGCAAAGAACAGTTTCTGACGTTTAATATTGTCTTGTTCTACAACAAGAATTTTTTCCTGAAATTGGCAATTGACGAAGCTATTCAAAAGATATCAATGCACGGATTTATGAATCATTGGATGAAAAAATATGACAAGACTGATAAATGGAGATTCATTGACAGGAAACCATCTGTCATGACTTTTGATCACCTTTCAGGATCATTTAGTTTGCTATTGACTGGATGTGTTTTGTCAACTTTTGTATTTGTATTTGAATTAATATTTTAATGATATATTCATTACAATATCTATGATAACAATTAAGGATAGTTGTTTACCTTAATTAAATGTAATGTATCTTTACCTAGCAAATAGATTAGGATTGTGCTAGATTCTAAATACCACTCATTAGAATAAGGAACTGAAAAGGTAAAATGGATTTAAGAATACTCTACTTTATTATTTTCTTTGGACAAGTTTCAAGCTTCAAATTGATAAATTTCGAGCTGTCGTTTGAAAATAAAAACTTAATAGAAGCATTCAAAGCGATCAGAAATGAAGTAAAGAAGAATTTTGCAGCAAAAGGCTTCAATTTATTGTCAATTGAAGATCCAGGACTTGTAGAAATACACGAGGCAGTGAAGCTTGAGATCATTAAATTCGCATTTGAGTCAGAAAGTATTGAAATGCCAAATATTAATTCTTTATCACCAGAACCCTACAGGTACACAAGTTTGATTATTGACAACATTGCTGCTTTTAAGGCACACAAAGTTTTCATAAATTCTTCAAAGTTTAAATATTCTGGATTTCATGTTGTAATTTTATTAACTGGAACTATTGATGATGTTAATGAGATATTTGCTCAGTTTTGGTTGGAATCAATCTACGATGTCATTACTTTGATCAATTGTAATGGGAGTTTGCTGTTGAATTTTGAGCCATTTAAGGAACCTCAAAAATGTGGTGACACAAGTCCAAAGATCATTAATCGGTTTGTGAATGGAAAATTTTCTAAAATTATAACTCTGAATAAAAGGTTTAAGAACATGAACCGATGTCCTATCAATGTCATAACCTTCGAAGACGCTGTTGCTGTAACAAAAGAGACTTTAACAAACAAATCTTTCATTCTACGTGGACACGAAGTTAATATGATCTATACTATTGCTGAAATGCTAAATTTCACATTAAAAATAATATTTAAAGAAGGAACTGGACAGTGGGGATATATTTATAAGAATGGAACTTGCACACTAGGATTTGCAGAACTTAGAGATAAGAAAACAGATATTATGTTTGGAGACATGTACCTCAAATTGTCAAGAGTCAAATATTTTGACAGCAGTGAGTCTTTTAATAATTATCCAGTGTTTTTTGTACTTTCGCCTGAAAAGAAGTTGAGTTGGTTACAAAAGCTACTAAAGCCATTTGATTTGATTGTTTGGATTCTGCTGCTGTTAACTTTTTGTTTTGGAATTACAGTGGTTTTGATCATAAATCGAAAATTCAAATACTTAAAACCATTAGTCTATGGTCATAGAATCAATCATCCAATTATCAACATGATTAGTGTCTTTGTTGGTCAAGCACAATCGATTCTGCCAAAAAAGAATTTTGCCAGATTCATTCTAATGCTTTTTATGATATTCTCATTTGTCATTCGAGGAGTTTATCAAGGATTCTTACACAAATCCTTACAGTCAGATGGAAGACTTAAGGAACCGCAAAGTGTTCAAGAATTGATCGACAAGACATACAACTTTATAATAAGCGAACCAAATTTGGATTTCTTAAAGAATTATCTACCAAAAAGCTATGATCAAGCTAAGATTAAAGAAAATAATGAAATGAATTTGAATATATTTTCGGGATATTCCGAAAGAACTGCAACGCTTGCATCAAAATTTGAATTGTTAAGATACAGCTTGGATCATAACAAATTTCCTTTTAAGATCTGTAAGGAAAGTTATATAACAATCAATATAGTCATGTACTATTATAAAAACTTTTTCCTTAAGTCAGCAATTGACGAGGCACTAAGGAGGATCCTAGCTCACGGATTCATGGAACATTGGTCAAAGGAATTTGATAAAACTGACAGATGGAAGATAAAGAACAAAAAACCAATAGTTTTGACGTCAGAGCATCTTTCAGGTGCTTTTAACTTATTGATAATTGGATATTTTGTAGCTTTTTTGGTGCTTCTCGGAGAAGTTTATTTTCATAAATTGAATATTCAATAAACAGCACAGTAGAAGCCGTACTTATGCACTGCTTATCAATTTTAGAATTGAGGCATAAAACGAAATTAATTATTAATTCTCAACCAATCAATCAAATTAATTAATTGAAATATTTACTTCGTTATCAAACTTCGATCAATTATTGATCAAACTCAAACTGAATTTATGTTTTGATGCAAGTGTGTAGCTTCAAATCTAAAAATGAAGTTAATTTTAAAAGTATTTCTAATAATTGCATCGTTCTATTTTGCATCAAGCATTAAAGTGTCAAAGTTTGAATTAAATCAAGAGCATAAGAATCTAATTGAAGCATACAAAATAATAAGAAATGAAGTAAAAAGAAACTTTTCAGCCAAAGGATTCAATTTATTCGTACTTGCAGATCCAGTAAATAAAGAAGAGATTGTAGCAATGAAAGATGACATTTTGAGGTTCGCATTCGTGACTGAAAGTATAAGAATGCTTAATTTTACTTCATCAACGAATGATCTTTATAGATACACAGTATTGATAGTAGATGACATTAAATCTTTTAGAATAACAAAATTCTTTATAACAGCAGAAACATTTAATTTTTCTGGATTTCATGTGATTATTTTGATAAATGGAGCTATCAGTAATGTCCACGAGATATTTGATCATTTTTGGACTAATAACCTTTTCAATGTTATGGCTCTGATGAATTTAAATCAAACAACTGTGCTTTTAAACTTTGAACCTTACAAAGATCCGCAGAAATGTGGCGACACAAGTCCAAAAATCATCAACACCTTCAATTTTGGCAAATTTGTTGCTCCAATTGTACTCAAGAAAAGATTTTACAACATGAATCAATGTCCAATAACTGTAACAACCTTGTCAGATGCTGTTGCTGTTTTAAAAGAACCTCGTCTTGATGGAACTTTCAGTCTACGTGGTCATGAAATCAACTTCATCAAAACTATTGCTAACATGCTTAACTTCACATTGAACCTTAAATTTCGTGATGGAATTTCACAATGGGGAATTATTTACGAGAACGGAACTTGTACACTTGGATTTGCTGACTTAAAGAGCAAGAAAACTGACATTTTGATGGGAAACATGTATCTTAAGGAATCGAGGCTGAAATATTTCGGAAATAGTATGCCGTACATGAATTATCCACTATTCTTTGTACTTTCGCCTGAAGATAAGCTTAGTTGGATTGAAAAACTATCAAGTCCATTTAAGATTGAGATTTGGATTGTTCTGCTGCTGATGTTTTTATTTGGAATTATTGTTATTTCAGTTTTAAACCTCAAGTACAAATTATTGACAGTATACGTATACGGCAAAGGAGTCAATAATGCAGCACTAAATATGATTGGTGTCTTTTTGAGCCAACCACTTCCAATTCTCCCTAACTTGAATTTCCCACGATTTATTCTCATGATGTTTATGATTCTAAGTCTTGTAATCCGCAGTATCTATCAAGGATCACTCTACAAATTTTTACAATCAGATGGACGTCATAAAGAACCGCAAACAATTGCAGAACTACTAGAAAAAGACTACACCTTCATCATGAGTGAATCAAACTATGATTTTGTGATTAAATATCATAAAAAAATGTACATAAATTCGAAAACAGTTGAAGAACATGACGGAATGAATTTGGATAAATTTGCTACATTATACAAAAGAACTGCATCATTTGCATCGAAATTAGAACTAATGCAATATAGTTTGACTCATGAAAATTTCCCCTACAAGATCTGCAATGAGCACTTTTTCACAGTTAATGTTGTGCTGTATTACAACAAAAACTTCTTTCTCAAGAGAACGATTGATGAAGCAATCAGGAAGATATTGAATCATGGACTGTTAATCCATTGGATGAGAGAATTTGATAGAACTGATAAATGGAGATTTAAAGACAGAAAGCCATCAGTCATGACATTCGATCATCTTTCTGGGGCATTTTATTTACTTTTGATTGGAAATGTGTGTGGATTGATTGTGTTTTTGGTTGAAAGATTAAGTTGCACACGTGGTTTCTAATTTTGATATTTATACGCACTTGCTATATAATTTAATTAAATTGAGGTAACCACTCATATGATTATATTTGAACCAATGTATTATTCATGAGATTGTACACATAAATTTGATGTTTCGATGACTTGTTTATGACTGAGTTTACTATTTATATTTATCAATTTGTTAAGCAGAGTTGATTATAAATTCTGATGTGACAAAAACCATAAATTATTGGTCAATGAAGTACGTTAGTTCATTCACGTTTTAAATCAATATCAGTTCTTCATACTTACTATCGATGTCATTGAAAATAATCGCTATAGCTTTTCTGGTTAGCTTTGCATTCGCAATTGAAGTCTTAAAGTATGATTTATCAAAAGAAGACTCAAATCTCATCGAAGCTTTCAAGACAATGAGGATTGAAGTTGTAAGAACATATTCCCTAAAAGGCTACAACTTTATATCAATTTCGGATCCACAAAATAGAGAAATACACGAAACTTCAAGATTTGAAATGATCCATGCTGCATTTGAAGCTGAAAGTGTTCGAATTTGCTACAATGACTTCTCATTTGTTAATCAAAACAGGAATTCAGCAATTTTGATTGACAATATTAAAGTTTTTAGAGAAACTGAGAATCGAATTAATGCAAAGGTTTTTAAATCTATGGGACTTCATATTGTGATATTGCTTGACGGAAATTTCGATGATGTCCATGAAATATTCGAAAATTTTTGGATTAAATCAATTTTCAACATTATTGCACTAATGAATAACAATGGAACTCTTCTCTTAAGCTTTGAACCATTCGCAGATCCTCAAAATTGTGGCGACACAAGTCCAAAAGTCATCAATCGCTTTTTAAATGGAAAATTTGTAGACAAACTTAATTTAAAAAAGACATTTGACAACATGAACCGCTGTCCAATCACTGTCACAACATTTGTCGATCCAGTAGCTATCATGAAAGAATCTTTTGCTAACGGATCCTTCATTCTTCGAGGACATGAAGTACAAATGATTAAAACAATTTCTAAAATGCTTAATTTCACTTTGAATCTTAAGTTTCGTGAAGGTTTGCAGCAGTGGGGGATAGTTTATGAGAATGGAACCTGCACCAAAGCATTTAAAGTGTTGAATGACAAGAAAACTGACATCTTGCTGGGTAATTTGTATCTTAAGGAATCAAGATGTTATTACTTTGACAACAGCGCTACCTACTTGAATTATCCTGTCTTTTTAGTGCTGTCACCACAGGAAAAGTTGAGTAGTTTTGAAAAGCTGTTAAGTCCTTTACAAACCTCAGTATGGTTAATGGTTCTACTGACAATTGGCTGTGGAATTGTAGTCATTATGGCTATAACCTTAAAATTCAAATTTTTAAGGCAATTTGTGTACGGCGAAGGAGTTCATTATCCAGTCACAAACTTATTTACTGCTTTTATTGGGTTGCCACAACCAATTATGCCGAAGATGAATTTTTCGCGATTTATTTTAATGATGTTCATGATGCTAAGCCTAGTTCTTAGAAGTATCTATCAAGGATCACTTTACAAATTCTTACAATCCGATGGACGACAAAAGGAACCGAAAACAATAGCTGAACTTATAGAAAAAGATTATACATTCATAACCAGCGAATCTAGTCTGGATATGATCAAAAAATATAATTCAAAAATGTACACCAGAACAAAACCAGTCGAAGATAATGCTGAAAATGATTTAGATGCATTTGCTGGAACAGCACAAAGAACAGCATCATTTGCATCAAAACTTGAAGTTCTGCAATACAGCATGAATCATAGCAATTTTCCTTATAAAATATGTAAGGAGCATTTTGTAACTATTAATGTTGCAATGTTCTTCAATAAGAACTTCTTTCTTAAACGAGCTATCGATGAAGCACTGCAGAAAATATTAGTTCATGGATTTATGAAGCATTGGATGAAAGAATTTGATAGAACTGATAAGTGGAACTATAAAGATAAGAATCCGACTGTTTTGACAGTTGAGCATCTTTCTGGTGCTTTTCAATTACTTTTGATTGGAAATGTTTGTGGATTGGTTGTGATTTTGGTGGAAATTATGGTTTATAGATTAAAATTGGTTCATAGTTTTTGACTGGAATGTCGTTCTTTCTGATCGGTAGAGGTGTGAAACTGCGTTAAGATCGAGGGTTTGAAGCTACGGTTACTTTTTGAATGGATATTTAATAGTGTGAAAGTTCAATAAAACAATTTATTACATTTAAGTATATTTAAACTGGATCAAGACTCTACATACTCTAATCGGAATCAATGTTGTCACTAGATAAGGTTGTTGATTTGTGGATTGGAGCCCGTAGCCTAGCTCGTTAAAAAAATTGCACCGCTCAGACATCAAACTTCCTCACTCATAAAAATATTTTTAATAATTTGTTACTAAAATCTTATTATAAAGTTTTTAATGAGAATTATTAAAATTTTAGTAAACCTTATCAAACTTTTAATAAAACTTATCAAATTTTAATAAAAGTTTTTAAAATTCTACAGCGTTGTAAAACTGTTGTAGGTTTCCAAAATTGTAAGGTTTTCATATATTTTATATACTTCACAAATGCTCCAAGAAATGACTTATACAAAAGAATGTCTTAGTTCTCATACAAAGTCATATAAAATTATAAATTTCTTATGAGGCACATTAAGTGCCAAAAATCATGCAAAGTCTTAAGCTTTGAGAAAGCATTTTAGTTAAGACTTGAAAAAGCTCCATACTATAAATTAATAATACTATAAAGCTGTTTTTGTAAAAAAAATAATCCAAGAAATTTTAATGACTTTTTACTAAAATCCATGAACAAATTTAATAAAAATTATAAAAATACATCTTAATAACTTTTTACTAAAGTTTAGTAAGAAAATTATTAAAATTTTAACAGTTTTGTAAAATTTGAATGTAATTTTGTAAAACCACAACTTTTAATAACCCTTATCAAATTTTAGTAAAAGTTATCAAGATGTATTTTTATAAACTTTTATTAAACTTTTTCATACATTTTTAATAAAATTTATCAATTTTTTTTTATGAGTGCTCAAACCCTGAATTCACTCAAATGACACAGTTCCTTCAAAAATGATTTATTGCCTTTACAATCATCACTAATCATAACAAAAATAATCGAATAAATTAGTTCTATTTTTATAACACACTTCGAACTGTAACTTCGTCATTCATTTATTAGCCATAAACGAAAATGGCAGTTTTATTGTTCATTATTGCATCACTTCCAATGATACATGGAATCAAAATCAAAGAATTTCAATTGTCTCAAGAAAATCAAAACCTTGTTGAGGCAGTCAAAGTTTTAAGAAATGACTTGGTAAAAAGTTCTTTATCGAAAGGATTTAAATTAACGCTTGTTCCAGATCCAGTGCAGAAAGATATTCACGATTTAATAGCATTTGAAATAATTAAAAACTCATTTGAGTTCGAAAGCCTTCGAGTTTGTCACATAACTGCAATAATTGCATTTCCAAATCGATACTCAGTTGTTCTAATTGACAATATTAAAGTTTTTAGAGCCAGTAAGCATCGGATTGATTTGACTAATTTTCAATATGCTGGATTTCATGTTGTCGTCTTGTTGAATGGAAATTTCAAGAATATCCAAGAAATATTCTCAGTCTTTTGGAATGAAAACATTTATAATGTCATGGCACTGATTAATCAAAATGGAACCGTGTTATTGGATTTTGATCCTTATGGAAATCCTGAAAAATGTGGTGAAACAGTTCCAAAAATCATCAATCGATTTAAAAATGGAAAGTTTATCAACAAAATTGAAGCAGAGAAGAAATTCAATAACATGAATCGCTGTCCTGTCACAATCACAACTTTTACGGACACAATTTCAATTTTTAGACAGGAATTTAAAAATGGGAGCTTCATTCTTCGAGGATTTGAAGCACAAATGATAAAAACCATTGCTGCAATGTTAAATTTTACAATTAATTTGAGATATCGTGATGGAGCACAACAATGGGGTGCAATTTATGACAATGGCACGTTTACTCGTGGATTTGGTGATTTACATGACAAAACGACTGACATATTGCTTGGAAATCTGTACCTTAAACAGATTAGATTAAAGTATTTTGACACGAGTTCTTCATATTTAAATCAACCTGTGATTCTAGTGCTGTCGTTGGAACCTAAATTTAATATGTTTGAGAAACTTTTGAGTCTACTCCAAAGTGCTGTGTGGATATTCTTGATAATTACAATTTGCATCGGAATCTTCGTAATATTAATGATAAATCACAAATTTAAATTCTTAAAGAACAACATCTTTGGAACTAGAGTTAATCATCCAATTATCAATATGATTTCGGCTATTATTGGACAGCCACAAACTATCCTACCTAAGCAAAACTTTGCACGATTCATCTTAATGATGACTTTGATTCTATTCCTTGTCATTCGAAGCATTTATCAAGGATATTTATATAAATTTTTACAATCTGATGGACGACATAAAGAGCCACAAACTGTTGAGGAACTTATTGACAAGAAATATGTCTTTGTACTTTATGAATCGAATTTGGATCTTATAAGAAGTTTTCAACCAAGAATTCAATACAGAATAAGACCAGCAAGTGGAACTAAAGTCATAAACTTAGAAACATTTATTGGCACAACAGAACGAGTAGCTTACTTCAGTTCTAGAGTTGAGTTAATCTTCTTCAGCTCAAGACATGAAGTGTTTCCATTTAAAATCTGTAAGGAACAATTTGCAACCATCAATGTTGTGCTGTATTACAATAAGAACTTTGTCCTTAAAAAGACAATTGATGAAGCAATCAATAAAATTTTAATTCATGGATTTATGAAGAATTGGATGGGAGAATTCGATAAACGAGATAAATGGAAATTCAAGGATATTAATCCAATTGTTATGACTTTTAACCATCTTTCTGGTGCTTTTCATTTGCTATTGATTGGAAATTGTGTAGCTTTGAGTGTCTTTTTGATTGAAATTTTGGTTAAAAAGTTTAATTTTCTTTTTAATTGAATGTTGAGGTTCTATAAGGGTTATGGTTGGAACCTAGAGGCTCTTTAACAGTAGAGCTGGAATTTTTTATAAAAACTAAGCAACTGTAGCTCTCTAATTTAATTAATTTAAGGATAGTCGAAGCATTTAATAATAGATCAACTTAATTAAGTAATTAAGCTCCAACAAAAGAAAATAAATTAGTAAAATTATCGTGTCAAACGAAGTAAGATAAATAATAATCAATATCACACTTTTTTTGTGACTAGTCATAATGTTAGGTAAAGTACTACTAAGTATCTTATTACCAATACTTTCAATAGTTGCATCCATTTATCCTTTAGGGACTTTAGAATTCGGATTGTCACAAGATAACTTAAATCTTGTAGAAACATTGAATGAATTAAGATCTGATTAAGTAGCAACACCGTTTACCGTTGAATATAAGCTGGTTTCTATTCAGGATTCAATTTTAAACGATATTCATGATGCAGTCAAATCAGAAATACAGAAAAACATTTAATTTAAAAAGCATTAGAGTATCTAATGTCAGTGAAGCTGTTTTTTATTCTAGTAGATCACGCGCGTAGCCAGGAGAGTCCTGTGCTCTTCTTAAGCGTTTTAGGCTGTGCTCTCGCTGCGGTTCAAAACGTTTAAGGGGGGGGGGGGGGGGACAAGACCCTCCTGGCTAAGCACCTGTAGTAAATTATTAACGATACATAAATAAAAGTTACAGCTCTATATAGGGGCGTAAATAGAAATTCGAGAACTTCATTTCAAATTAATAAATTAATTGTCATGCAATATGATACTCAAAAATTCATATAATCCTAACAGCAACAAGTAGAACACAAAATGTTTCACTAGGGATCAAGTTTTAATCAATCTTAATTACATCGATGCATTTGAATAATTTAAATTAATATCATGGATCTATAAAACCTTAAATAAAGCATAAAATATACATTAATCAGTCAGTCATGATCGATGGCTTCAAAAACTTTGTTCCTAATTTTGACGCTCTCTTTAGTGAGCAGCATAGAAGTAACAAAATTTGAATTATCCAAAGGAAATAAAAACTTAATTGAAGCATTTAAAGCGATTCGAAGTTTCTTAATCAAGAAATCGTCTGCAAAAAGATTCAATTTGATGTCAATTCATGATCCAGACCACAAAGACGTTCACGAAGCTGTAAAAGATGAAATAATTAAGAATGCATTTGATATGGAAAGTATTCGGATGTGTGACATAGATTTTTTAATCCCTGGTTTAACCAGATACTCGGTGCTGCTTGTTGACAATATAGAAGCATTTCGAGATGTTGAGGAGCAGATAGTCATAGATAATTTCCAAAAAGCTATTTTTCCTATCGTTATTCTGCTTAATGGAAATTTTACGGATGTCCATGAAATATTTACTAGCTTCTGGTTTAAAACAATCTATAATATTATGGCACTGATTAATCTAAATGGAACCATGCTGCTAAGCTTCGAGCCTTATGAAGATCCAATGAACTGTGGACACACAACACCAAAAGTCATCAATAAGTTTGAAGATGGAAAATTCTTAAAGAAACTGACTTTGATTAAAAAGTTTAACAATCTTAATTTATGTCCAATAACTGTCACAACATTTGTCAATGCTGTTGCTGTTTGGAAACAAATGCAGCCTGACGGATTCTTCAAGATTAATGGATATGAGATCAACATGATTAATACTATAGCTGAAATGTTAAACTTCACATTGGACTTGAAATTTCGTGACGGAATTCAGCAATGGGGAGTTATTTATGAGAATGGAACCTGCACACGTGGATTTGCTGACTTAAAAGAATCAAAAACTGATGTTGCGATGGGAAATCTGTTCCTTAGAGAGTCAAGAATTAAATATTTTGATAGCAGTGCTCCATACATGAATTATCCAGTTTTTTTCGTGCTGTCACCGGAAAAAAAATTCAATAAATTTGAGAAGCTGTTAAATCCATTTGAAGCTCCAGTTTGGATAACTTTGTTGATGACATTCTTTTTTGGCGTTGGAGTCATTCTGGTTATAAGCTTAAAATTTAAATTATTAAGAAGTTTTGTGTACGGAGATGGAGTTAATCATCCAATAACAAATTTATTCCTTGTTTTTATCGGTTCACCACTGCCAGTTCTGCCTAAAAACAATTTTGCAAGATTTATATTGATGATGATCTCGATTCTATGCTTGATTATTCGAAGCTTGTACCAAGGAAGCCTATACAAGTTCTTACAATCTGATGGACGTCACAAAGAACCTCAAACGATTGCCGAACTTGTTGAGAAGGAATATACATTCATAATGAGTGAATCCAATATGGACCTAATCTATAAGTATAGATCAAAAGTTCATATCGCTACAAAACCAGCAGATGGATATATTGACATGGATTTAGACGAATTTGCAGGAACGACAGAAAGAACAGCAACATTTGGATCAAAAGTTGATTTAATGCAGTACAGCCTGGATCATGACAATTTTCCGTATAAAGTTTGTAAGGAAAGCTTCTTTACCATTAACATCGTGTTGTTCTACAATAAGAACTTTTTTTTGAAGGAATCCATCGATGATGCTATTCAGAGGATATTAACTTACGGATTTATGGAGCATTGGGTAAGAGAATTTGACAAAACTGATAAATGGAAGAATGAAGTTACGCAACCAAGTGTCTTAACGTACGAACATTTATCTGGAGCTTTTCATTTGCTTTTTATTGGAAACCTAATTGCTATTATTGTATTTTTGATTGAGAATTTTATTCATTTGAAGAAGTTTTACTTCAATACATGGATATGAATTATTTAGATGGGGATTTGCGGGATAAAAAGTTGTTTTTATTCCTATCAGCTTTTTATGAACTTTTTGTTTGTATTTCGAACAATTCATGTTCGACAGACTTATAGAAAGTCTAGGGGAGTTATAATATGCACGTTCGAAAAGTTTAAATTTGAAAGAAACCGTTACAATTTAAGTGTTTTTATTAGAATTTTTGATCGTTTTTAAAAGGATTTAGCTATATTATGCTTATCATTAAATGACTACATAATATTTTCATCTAAATTTCATATAAAACTTGATTAATTTAAGTTTTTAATTTTTTGTAATTTTCGAAAATTTTGAACAGCAGGGTATGAAACTTCGAATTTCGTACAACAGCCAGAGATATAAGATATTTTCACAAGTTTTCTTCTTGAATTGTTCGTATCAGGTATTTCGTTCATAAATGTTGAGCAACTAAAGACATATATGAAAATTTTTGTCGAAAATTGAACATATTTGAGATTCATATGATGATATTTAGATGCTTTTATTGTCCTTAATAGAATAAAACTTATTAAACATAAATAAAATGCCTTAAAAACAAAACTTTTTCTCATTTTTTTTCAATTTAGTTTACGATGTAAACATTCTGAGACAAAAAAAGGCGTTGAGGGTTGCCTAAGCTATAAAAACGAGTTAGAAAGGTTTTGCTTTTTATAGCGCGAAATTTGAATTTTTCCGTTTTGTTTTGTGCAATAATAGTTTAAATGAATAATTTCAATAGCAGAAAAGGGCAGGTTTCAGATTCAACCCCCCCCCCCCCCCCCAAAAATATACATGTTCCATTTAACTTTTATGTTGACAGCGTTATTCAAGCTATATTCAAACTTAAATCAATATCAATTTAACAAATTAAGTTCTCATTTAAATTTTTAATTTGATTATTAAATAACACGAATTTAAATGGTTTTTAAGGAAATCTTCAGATAAATATGTTTGAAAAGCTCTTAATTTCTTAAGGATCTTGAGATTTTCTGTATGGCTTTAAGGAGAGTGATGAATGAGTGACTATGATCAAACTTATACATAACCTTGCATTTTCTCGCAATAAATTTATGGAGCACAGGTGCATTTTATTTGCTTTTCATAGGAACTGTGTGAATTGTTGTCACAAAGTTTGTTTTTTGAATTTTAAAAAATAATGAGCAAAAGTATAATGAACCCACAGCCAGACGTACATCATGATAAATTGTTTGTCGGTTCTAAGACTTACAATTTTTTAAAACGAAACTGGTTAGGAAGAATTGTGGAGGTATTGACTAAGATTTGGGTGACTATAAAACTTTCTTTTTGTTTTGTGATCAGGGGTGTCGACTGAATTTCAGGGAGGAGGGATTAACTTTTTTTTTGTGGACTGAAACATTCATAGTAGAGTTTTCAAGCCAAATTTCAGGTTCACAATAATATATTATAGCCTAAAAAAAAGGTCATATAGTCACTCAAAAAAATACATGAATGCAATCTCGACAAAATATAAAAAACTAGTTTACGACTTTGCTCAATTATTCCCCGTATTTTGTCACACAGCCTTTTTGGTTTTCAGTTTTTTGTGCACGTTCAAAGCCACAACAAGTTTCAGATTATGTTTGGTTAAAATATTTTTTAAAAATGAATTGTTTGGAAGTGATAAAAGCCAATAAAAGTTACAAATTCAAAAACGAAAAGGAATTTGTGTTAAATGATTTAAATTTTGCAATTCCGCTTGGGAGAATGTAAAGATTATTTTTTTAACTACTAAAGTGTTCTTTTTGAAAGGAATTTTTGGTTTGTTAACCTTATTTATTTATTTTGAAGCTACTGCCTGCTCGGTTCATCTGGATGTGGCAAAACGACATTAATTTCATGCATCTTAGGAATCAAAAAATTAGATTCTGGGTCTATAAAAGTTCTACAAGAAAAAGTTTCTCACAAGCATCTGCTTAGCTGTGTTAATTCCATTGGATATATGCCACAAGAGACTTCACTTCCGACAACAATGTCAATTAAAGAAACTTTATACTTTTTTGCAAATATCAGTCAAATGGATATGACAAAATTTAAGGAACGATATGAAATGTTGATGAACTTGTTGGAACTAGAATCTACAGATGCATTGATCGAGGATTTATCAGGTGGAGAAAAGAGACGAGTTTCATTTGCTGTAGCTTTAATTCATAATCCACAATTGCTAATTCTTGATGAACCAACTGTTGGACTTGATGTTGTAATTGTGCAAAAAATTTGGAACTTCCTGCGAGACTCAATAAAACTGAATGAAAACTTTACAGTCCTAATGTCAACTCACTATCCACACGAAGCAGAAAAGGCAGACATTTGCGGATTTATGAGGAATGGGAAGCTTTTGATTGCTGATTCTCCAGAAAATATTTTAAAGAATTTTAATGCTCAAAATCTTGATGAAGCTGCACTAACATTGTGTTATGAAAGGAACTCGGTAGATTTAGATGTCATTATCCAAAAAGAGGAAGTGGATGAGTTTTTTAATGCTGAATTGTTAGACCAGAATAAGAACTTTAAGTCAAAACGTAGGATATGGGAACCAAGGACTATTAAGGCGTTGATGTTGAAGAAATTCTTTTGGACTAAAAATTCAAAAAGGTAAGCTATTTATGACTTATTTAGGGAGGGGGGGGGGGGGGGGAGAAATGGCAGTCAGCAACAAAAGAACAACAGAAATTCCGAACGTCATAAGTTAACGACCCATATGTACTTTGAGAACCAAATTGAAGCGTGCAGCTAGTAACAAGGTCTCCATTAAGTCATTCTAAAATGTCATCCAGGTGATCTCAAACTTAGAAACTAGATGTCATGTGCGAGAATCTTTTTAAAATTTTTCTAAAATTCTAGTTTCTTACCTATCATCTGACATTTGCGTCTAATTATCATATCGCAGTCAGTTAATAATTAAAATAAATCTTTTCATTTTAGCATCATCTTAGCAACTCTACTACCTCCTTTATATTTATTCGTGTTGCTAATATTCACCATAGGTAGGGATCCACAAGGCTTAAAAATCGGAATACTTAATGAAGAAGATGTAGATTGCAAGATATTAATTTCCAGAAACAATTCCTATGATTGCAAAAACGAAGGACTTTCATGTCTTTTTATCAACTCAATTCCAGATCATAAACTTCATAAAGTTTCATATGAAAATCTTGAAAAAATTAAAAATGACACTAGAAGTGGACAAATTGAAGGATATATACACATCCCTCAAAACTTTTCAAGAGATTTTCTAAACATTAAAAATATTTTCGACATTCTGGAACTAAGGAACAGTCACATAAGTGTGTATCTAGATCAAGCTGAAATTTATAAACAAGGATTTGCCAAAGCTACTGTAGCAAGTGCCTATGAAGATTTTATTGACGAAACCATGCCAAAATGTAATCGAAAGCCTGAAATGTACAAAAGCAACATAATTTTTAGAAGCTACAAAGATGAAAAGTTGAAGATAGACTTCGAGAGTAAGAGATCAACAATTCCAGCTGTGTTATTGCTGTAAAATTAATTTTAGGACATACCATGTGTTCCTTACTATCTAAATGCTTTGTTACATATTTTTATAGCTTCACCGTAGCTAGTGGAATCAACTTACTGGTCTTTTCGCTGCATCAGTACAAGCTTGAAAAAGTTTGGGATCGAATCCTACTTTGTGGCGTCAACATTCATCAGCTGTTGATCATTGAAGTCATCTTAAGCTTAATCATAGCTTTATCACATGTTGCACAAACTTTAATGATCAAAATAATATTCTGGGACTTTATATACATTGAGAACTATGTGGCGCTAATTGCATTAGTAGCACTTATAAGTTTAGCTGGAAGCATGAATGGATTATTTGTAGCTACTTTAATCGACAACTTTTTTGCACTTTCATCCATCTGCTTTGGTTTGATGATGATTTATTGTCTATCTGGAGGTTCTGTACTGTAAGTTGATTAATTTTATGAAGGATATGCAATTAATGTATAATTTTTGTAGGCCTTTTGAAAGAATGGATCCATATCTGAAAATATTCATGAGGTATTTACCTACTGGATTGCCATCAATTGCATTTACTAATGTTGTATTTAAAGGACATGGATTTAATGATTTAAATGTTAATTTTAGCATTTTGTTATTGATTTTGTGGATTGTTGTATTTTTTGTGATAAGTTATGTACATTTATTAAGGAATAAATATAAAAATTCATAGATTAATGGCTACTATAGGGTGGTTCATAAATGAGGTTTATCACAAACTTGGACATTTTCGTCCCATCCTTAATCGGAAAAATTTTCTTTTACCTAAAGTTGAGCATCATTAAATGAACCACGAATTAAAATTAGCAGGTTCAGTAAAAACCCCTAGTACTAAGAGTGACTCTTGCAGAATTAAAAGATGGCAAGACATCTAGAGGAAGATCAAAGAACACCTGGATTGGTTGTGGTGATAAGGATGCTGGATTTCTTAATATCCTGAACTGGCAGAAGGTCTCCAAGGATAGAGCTGTATTTAGACAATCTCTGAACGCGGCATGTGCGCCCCAGCCAAGTAAGTAAGTAAGGTTCAGTTGAACTAGATACAAGAAATAGCATTATGTGGCTTGTGGAGGCTCTAAAGCAACTAAATAGCTCTCGTAAGGAAGCTAGGAAGTGTTGTACTTGATATTTATAATTAGCAAGCGATAGCAAGCAAAATAGCTAGCTTATGACGACATCGATCACAATTGATATGTAAGGCCATCGAAGGAAGTAAGTAATTAATACATTTAACGGTAAGCTGGTTATTATTCATGAGTATTTTAATTATGAAAATTATTTCTGAGAAAGCATTAATTTGTTAATGACATTTTCTGCATTTTCGTCATTAAAAGTCTACTATAAATCCTAAAACTGCTCCTACGATGGCATTAAAAATTATTTTGTTACTAATGATGGCTTCTTTGGGACTTAGCAAAGAGATATTTGAACCTAAGCTGTCTAAAGAAAATGAAAATCTTATTGAAGCCTTAAAAGTTATCAGATATAATTTGATACATTCATCATCAGCTATTGGATTTAGTTTAATATCAATCGATGATCCATCATCAAAAGACATTCATGAAGCTGTGAAGCAAGAAATTGTCAAAAATGCCTACAAAATGGAGAGTATTCGTTTAAACATCCTACGCATAACCATGCCGACTATTGTGAGATATTCGGTAATATTGATTGACAACATAAAAGTATTTAAATCTTCAGAAGAGCAGCAAATTGACTTCAGAAAGTTTCACAACGCAAAACTTCATATTATCGTCTTACTGGACGGAACTCTCGAAGATTTACATGAAATTTTCACTTTATTTTACTCAAAATCGATATTAAATGTCTTGGCGCTGATGAATCTCAACGGAACCTTATTGCTGACCTTTGAATCATTTGCAGATCCAACAAAATGTGGCGACACAACACCAAAAGTCATCAATAGCTTTAAAAATGGAAAATTCTCTAAAGCTCTGAAGTTGACTAAAAGGATTAACAACATGAATCTATGTCCAATAACTGTGACTACATTTCTAGACACTGTGGCAACCATGAAAAAAACTTTCGCCAATGGATCTTCAACTTTACATGGTAGTGACATCCACATGATTCAAACTATCTCAAAAATGCTGAACTTTACACTGAACTTAAGATTTAGGGAAGGCGCACAACAAAATGGAGTTATTTATGAAAATGGAACTTTGACACGTGGATTTGGTGACATAAAAAATGGAAACACAGAAATTTTGATGGGTAATTTGTTCCTAAAAGAATCAAGAGCCAAGCATTTTGGTTACAGCATTCCGTACATGAATTATCCAGTTTTAGTGCTTTTGTCACCTTCACCTAAGCTAAATATGCTTGAGAAACTGTTAAGTCCATTTGATACTACTGTCTGGATCCTTTTGTTGCTGACTATTTCCTTTGGAATTGTTGTAATCTTAATTATTAATGTTAGATTTAAATGCCTGAAAACTATTGTTTATGGAAGTGGAATTAACGACCCAATGACAAATTTATTCCAAATTTTTGTTGGCCAGCCACTAGTCTTGTTGCCAAAAAAGAATTTCGCAAGATTCATCTTAATGATGTTCTTGATATTAACCCTTGTCATTCGTAGTGTCTATCAAGGATCACTTTATAAGTTCCTGCAGTCAGATGGAACTCATAAAGAGCCACAAACTATTATGGAACTACTTGATCAGGAATATGTCTTTGTGGTCAGCGTATCAAATTTGGACATAATGAAAAAGTATCAATCAAAAATTAAGTACATTACTAAGCCACAAGACGAAATGGCTTATGCTTATTCAGATCTGGATGCATTCATTGGAGGAACTGAGAAGAGAGCTGTGTTTACTTTAAAATTGGAGTTAATTTATTATGGATTAAATCACGACAAGTTTCCTTATAAGATTTGTAAGGAACAATACTTCACGATTAACATTGCACTTTTCTTCAATCAGAACTTTTATCTACAAAAAGCTATTGATGACGCAATTTTGAGGATATCAGCTTATGGATTTATGAAACATTGGCTGAAGGAATATGACAGAACAGATCGATGGAAGTTTAAAGATAAGAATCCTGCAGTTATGACTTTTAAGCATCTTTCAGGAGCATTTTGCTTGCTAGTCATTGGCAATGTCGTTGGAATTTGTGTTATAATTGTTGAAATACCCTAATAGGCAAAGAGCATGCTCACAAATTTGAGCACATGCAAGAGCATACTCAATTATAGAAATTTATGTGCTCAAATGAACATACTCTCATGAGTACATAATGAGTACAAAAACGTAGTATACTCAGTTGAGTACATTCATTGAGTACGCTCTCTTACATACTCTAAGTACATCAACATGATACAAAAAATTTTCTTTATGTGCTCTCTTGAGTATACTTATTGAGTATGTCCTCTCTCACATTGTGAGTATGACAAATGTGAGTGTAATTTCAAAGACAGTATACTCTCGTCAGTATACTCTTCAAGTGTACTCAAGAGCATATTCAGAGCATATCTTTCTGATAACTCACATTTAAATACATTATGCTCATCTGAGTACACTTTCTGAGTGCACTCTCAAATGTACTCTGAGCACGTCTTTGTAATAAGTTTATGTAAGAAACATTATGCTCATCTGAGTACACTTTCTGAGTGCACTCTCAAATATACTCTGATCACGTCTTTGTAATAAGTTTATGTAAGAAACATTATGCTCATCTGAGTACACTTTCTGAGTGCACTCTCAAATGTACTCTGAGCACGTCTTTGTAATAAATTTATGTAAGAAACATTGTGCTCATCTGAGTACACTTTCTGAGTGCACTCTCAATTGTACTCTGATCACGTCTTTGTAATAAGTTTATGTAAGAAACATTATGCTCATCTGAGTACACTTTCTGAGTGCACTCTCAAATGTACTCTGAGCACGTCTTTGTAATAAGTTTATGTAAGAAACATTATGCTCATCTGAGTACACTTTCTGAGTGCACTCTCATTATACTTAAATTCTCACTCTTAACAAATATTTACTTACAAGAATCTCTAGGTTTAATTTAAAAAAAAAGTTTATAAATATCAGTTTGAAATCGTTTGTATGCTTCAGCACTGTATTTTTGTATTGGAAAAAAAATTGTCGAAAAATGAAATTTTTGCAATACTTCCTTCCGATGCAGTTTATGACCAAAATTTTGATTGAAACTGATGAGAATCATAATTTAAGACCTTTTGACATCTAAAAAATTTTACTTGGATGCTTCAGTTCCTTTAAATTTTACTTTTTCAATTTCGTTTGTGGAGTACTTGGAAATTTCATCACAGTAAACATTTTTGGGTTTTCACGTGTGAATTTATTGAATTTGTTCAGATTAAAAAATCAGTTTTTTGAATTTTGTGAGGATATGGAACAAGGTAGCTTAAAATGGTCAGAGATGAAAAGTTTTATACCTGGAATTTCACATCTTTTGCAAAACACAGATTTCAAATTGATTGCGGCATTTCTGAGAAAATCGCAAAATACGTTTTCTGTAAGCAAACAAGCCAGCAAGTTAATCAGCATGAAACGAGACATCGTAGAGACTTCTAGTTTTTTACATTTGATTCGTGCTGCTCTATAGAAGAGCTGCATTGTTTTTAGGCAAGGTAGAAACAGCCGTTGCTTCAGAAAAAGCAAAAAACTTTCCTTTCTTACGAATTTTTCAAAACAAAAGTTCACTGTGATTTTTATAAAATTAAACTTTTGATGAAAAAAAAAATTTAAAAATCTTTCAAAGAATGTTCGTTAAGCTTTAAACCTTCAAACATATGCTGAGCGAAGCTCAGCTGACGCGCTAGCTTCATACCTTCAAATTTATGCTGAGCGAAGCTCAGCTGATTCGCTAGCTTTATGCCTTCAAACTTATGGATAACTTGGGTTTCTACCCGATACACTAGTTCTTAGCAATTTTTGCTTTATTTTTGCTCCTTAGAATCCAAAATGGCATCGGTTTCACATTAAGAAACAGTCAATTAACCTCTATGCCAAATTACAACTTATAATCACAAAAAAGTTCAAAGTTATAGCTAAAATAAATTATACATAGGTTTCCAACCCTTAGAATCCAAAATGGCGTCGGTTATATATTCAGGTTATATACCACTTAACCTACATGCCAAATTTCAGATTAAAAGTTTAAAAGATACAAAAGTAATGGCAAAAAAATAATTTGGTATGAAAAATGTATGGAAAAAAGTGAATAACTCCGTGAAAAGCTCGGAAAACGCGTGGAAAAATATGAAAATTGAAAAATTTATCATAAAACATCATGATCTATCAAAAAAGTGTAAAAAGAATGAAAAAAAAGTTACTCACGGTGAGGCCTGAACCCGTGACCAATGAGTTGTGAGAAAATTCACCTTTTTAAGGGCTACGTAAAAATACGTATGTAAAACGTAAGATAAAATTTCAGAAAAAGTTAATTTAATTAACCTTCCTTTCAGACGGACGGACAAAACGCAAGCAATAGCGTCATTTAAATTTTAAAATTTAAAATCAAAGTTAAATGTGTTATTTGCCAAAAACTTTACTTAAGATAACACAACTCGGTGGAGTAGAGGTAGCAACGCAGAATTTATCTAAGAACACAGCGGTCAGAAGTTCGAATCCCGGTAAGATTTATAAAATTTTCATTAATCATTTCTTCTTTCTTTCTTTCTTTCATAGCTTTGTAAATTAAACAGCATAATAAAAAAAAGTACTCATTAATTATGTAAAATAATAGTAAAAAAAAGTTTCAAAAAATAATAATTTTTATTTATTACGTCCTTTAAAGTACACTCAAAGTATACTCTTTTGAGTACATCAATAGTCAGATTAAGATGTACTTTTATGAGAATATTAAAAGTATGTCAAACTAAGTATGCTCATTTGAGCATATGTTTTATGTGCTTAATTGAGCATAAAGTGTGTCACATGTGACATGACACATAAAAAAATGTTTTATTTCAAGAGTGTGCTCAAAGTATAACTGAGTGAGTATGCTCTGGTGAGTACACTTTTAGGCGTAAAGTAGTGGCACAAACTTTTGTATGAAAGAGCATACTTTTTAGAGTACACTCAGCAAAAATTAGAGTGTGCTCTTTCTGTGCTCTTTGCCAATTAGGGATAGTTGGATATAAATTGCATTTAAAGTACATGAACACTTAATTATTAAAATATTGGATCTATAATAACAGTGGTGACAAACCTTTTTTAACCTCCACAAAACACATTTCCAATCAGAATATTTTACACAGCCCAGTTGAATATCCTCTGCGTTACATTAGTGTATCGCATCACACAGATTGAGCATTACTGATCTAAACTGGTAGAAGAAACTATTACTAGGCATAGAACGGATGTAGCATGAGCACTTAGCGCTATCGCTTTATTTTGAGGTACTCTGGTAGGAAAACTTGGTTAAATCTACGTAGCTACGCCACTGAGGTGTGCTTAGACGATTCTTAAAGAAAGGGAAAAGCTTCCATAACGCAACCGCTTATTTTTGCTAAAGCAACAACTCTGAATTAATGTTTATTAAATTTCCTCAAATAAAAATAATAAAGTATTAACCGAATGATGAGGTAATTTGATGCAATCAACACCAACTTACATGTAATACAAATTTAATCGATAATTTTATCGCTGATAATATTACTGGTTTGGCTGACAAACACGATTGTGACATTTAATTAATCAAAAATTAATCTATTAAAGCATGTTGATGACTGATATGAAGGGAAAAAGTAAGTCAATTAATATAATGAAGTTGAAAGCATGTTTGATATTAATTGTTGGTTATGGTCAGTTGTGTAGCTATGGCGCAATTGGAGTATTTGATATAAATTTAAGGTTTTTTCAAAAAATCAATAAAATTTTTAAAAAATTTTAATTTTATTTTTTTTTCAACTTTTTAATTAAGTTTCTACATTAACTTTATCAATTTTTCAAAAAATTAATAACTGTGCAGACAAAAACTAAACTAAGCGACAGAACCATTGAATTTCCACTGCCTGGTGTTGTTGGAGGTGCTTCTGTTGTTGTCGTTGCTATTTAAAAAATTAAGAAAAAGTTTTAATTTGCTTATTTTTGTGCAAAGTATAAACTCTTTGATGTTTATCAGGAAGATAAGAATCTTAACAAGGATAAATAACTTTACAGAATGAAACTTTGACTTTTCAGCAGCTTAAATGAGAAATTGGAGTGCGGCAACATAGCGATCCTTCTCTTATGAGAGAATTGAGACCTAATAATCACTGCTAAACAGCCAAAGACACCCCAAATAGAAAATTATTACTTACTTGCTGGTACTTCAAGTCCAAGGAAGTCCAAAATATCATAATAATTTGCTTTAAGCCACTCCTGATTTTCTTCTACTGCTTTTAAGTACACGTCCTTATTATCTGTATCAATAACATTAGTTGTTGATAATTTGTCTATCAAGTTTTTGAATTTGGTGACCATTGCGTCATCCTTAACTCTTTCAGCTATAAGTGATAGACGGAACTCTCCAGTCCTGAAGAATAAATTAAAAAATTAGGAAGTTAAAAATTCTGTGTAGGGGAAGTGTAGGCATTATTAGTCCCAGTTGAACCATCATTATTATCTGGAATATTGGGTATCGAACCATTTGTAAGAGAATCTTTCAGTTGCAATAGTAAAGCCTCTGTGACGAAATGGTAAAGCCACAGATTAATTGATTGAAACCTCTTTTCAGAGAACGTGGGTTCGATTCCGACCAGAAGCTAATCTATCAATCATCACAAAAGAATGTTGTCGAAATGACAGCAATAAATGTTGCCAAACGAGGTTTTAAGGTTATTTCAGTTCACTGAAGATTCTGGGACAATGACATTACAACCGACTAATAATCCTCAACACAACTTAGTCCAATATACTCACAGATTATAAAACTTCACATAATTCCTATCCAAGAAGTCTAAACTCTTTCCTAATCCAATGTTACTTTGAGTCGACATCGTATCAACAAAAGACCATCTTTCAAAGCTCATCAAGCCATTATCACCATCCAAAGCTGCTTCCAACAATCTATCCAAATTATCAGGTACTAAGGAACATCCCATGTTGAATAAATAATTATTTCTATACGCTACATTCCTATCAGTTATGATATCATGGAGTATTTCAGCATAAGTAGTTCGGTCAGTGACTTTTAATGCATTGCAGAAATCAAAGTTAGCATCAGCAAGTCCCATTCTGTGCACCAAGAGAGCTGATAAATCTCTAGCAACACAATCGCCATCAACAGCAAGACAATTCCATTGAACTGTGTATCCTCTGAGTGCTATAGTATTTGAATCTTCTCCATCACGTCCTTCATATCCAATTTCGAGAATATGTGGCTTTGTAATGTTACGAAGTAATCCATAGAATTCATTATAAGCAGCTGTGCCAAATAATTTGAAGTTTATGTCACTTAAAGTGGATTGAGCTCGATTCCAAATTGTTGAATCTTTTTCCTTGCCTAAGTAATTGATCATGCCCAAGCTATCAACTCCATAAACACGTTTAAGCTCACTTCTCGCCAAGTCAAATTCTTGGAACAGAACTGCTCGATTAATTCGATTAATCACATTGTGGTCGGCATATAGTTGGTTAATGATTGCACGCCATAAGACTAAGTCATAATCAACTTTGTAATATCCGACTTGATCAAGATTCACGACCATCCAGTCACCAGGAGTAAAATCTATCTGAACTTGAAGAACTGACTCAGTTTCACTGTCAAGCCAGACTTTTGTGGCTTTACTGCTGAAATTTGGTTTTGTTTTTGTGGCAAGTGTTATTGGAATGGAATAAATCATAGCCTCAGTGTTTAATGGATATCTTCTTTGCTTGAATGTGATTTCATTTCCATCAACTGATACATGAACGACTGGATATCCTGGCTGATCTTCCCATGTACCCATGGATTTGGCTACATTCAATGGTGCTGTAAATGCTGCATCGTAAACTGACTGAAGTGCTGCATGAAGTTCATTTGGAGTTACTGGTTTCATTAAATTATCTGTTAAATATTTATTAAGTCCAATGAAAAAGACGTCGTCCGTAATGACTTCTTTGTACATTCTAATTATGCATGCTGCTTTTTTGGACACAATTTGACTGAATTTCATTCTAAGTTCATTCGGACTCTCGACATATTGGTTAAGGGGCCATGGCTCTCGTTGATCAGCATTAAATGCAGATGGTGTGAAGTCTTCAAAGAACATATCCATCGAGTTCTCTTCTGGTGACAATAAATAAGGAAGAAAAGCTTCAAAGAATGTCGAGAATCCTTCACTGAGCCACACATATGTCCACCATTTTGGTGATACTGTATTTCCAAACCATTGATATGAGAACTGACCAGAAATTAAGGATATCATTCTGTCTTCAAGTGGACGTCTGTAAAATTCTGGATATGCTGGATCTAACTGTAATTCACGTTCATAATAAGTAATAAGACCAAAATGTTCCATAGCGTAGACCTTCAACCAGCTCATTTGAGTTAATGCTGCATGATCCATTTTACTGAGTGGATAATTGACTCCCAAAGCTCTTTCATAAATGTTTAAGATGCTTCCAACTTTACTAGCTGCAAAGTTAAGGTAACCTTGCTGAACAGATGCTGGAGTTCCATACAGTTTTTGTGGAACTCTCGAATTAGTTGCATTGACATATCCAAAATCAGACACAATAAATGCAAGAAGATATGTTGGAATGGCTGGAGTGTCTGCAAACTTAGTAATGACATAACTTCCATCTTGGATATACTCGGCAACATCTGTGTTAGCAATAGCACTATAAGCACGTCCATGTCTCACTGACAGCCTTACAATTGCTCTCATTCCAGGCTCATCAAAACAAGGCATTGCATGACGTGCATAGTCAATTTGGAACTGTGTGGCTGCATACCATCTTGTGACATTTCCTTCCACGTAACTTGCACGATAAAATCCAGCAGCATCACTACGAAGAGCTCCTTGATAAGAAATATCAAGTAATAATTCTGTACCTGCTTGATAGACTCTCGGTAAGCTGATAACAACAAAATCGCGTGATGCTATTAAATTAAAAATAGAATTAAGGATCACTGGAATTCCGTTGGCCAATAAAATGTCTATTTTTAGAATTTCAATCTGACGATAATGCAGAGTGATTGAGTTTGTAGGTTCAACAATTTTCACATAAATTTTTACATTTCCCTCAAATCCAAAACTGTTTGCGTGGATGTGCGTGTCAATTTGTAAGTCATAGCTTATTGGCACTGTATTATTTGGAAGTCTATAGCCTTGCACATTATTCGAATCTATTAATGGATTAGCACTAACACTGATTAATAAACCCAACAGCACTAAAATAAATTTTGAATTCCACATCTTAAAATGCTTCCTCGCTTCACAGACTGCCGAAAAGATTCTACTAGTTCCTTAATTTTGCTTGTTACACATTTTTATAGTAGCTGATTATCTAATCAATGGAACTAAATAAAAATGATCCAATTTATTACTTCTGATAATGACTGATAAGATTATTTTCGGAACCTCTGGAAAATCAAGTCTTTGGTATGGCATTTTTGATTGGAATCAGAGATCGGCGTGGTTTGAAATTCTATTGAGTTTATTTATCATCAATCTTGGTGTCTTGATGTTTGGTTAGGAGTTATTTTAATTAATTTGTGTGTTAATGCTGCTGGAATGCTCGTTTGTCAGACCTGAGGTCAAATTAGTGCAAATTGCGGTTCTCGTGGTGAATTTGGTGCTTCATTTGATGGGAATTTCTTGCTTTTCTGTCATTTTGTCCATTTAATTGCTCTGAACAGGCGCGTAGCCAAGAGGGTCTTGTCCCTCCTCTTGAACGTTTTAAACCACAGCGAGAGCACGGCCTAAAACGCTTAGGAGAGGGACAATACCCTCCTGGCTCTGAATCAAGCTCTTAGTCATCAGATTGTTTACGCTCCTGAACAGTGTTACCTAACCCCTGCACTCCCCTCCTCCCAATTTAAGATAAAATGCTCAAGCATTGAGATTAAGCTTGAATGCTTAATTCTTTGAATCTTGGATTCAGGATCCATATCCCTTACCTAAATCTTCTTATTGAAGTCCATTCCCTTAAAACTGAATCTTTCATTTAATCTTTTAAAATCTTTAAGCATTAATGCACTCAATACAAACTCAATACAAACAAAAGCCTTGAAGTAAATCACATTTTATAGAGATTGGAAAAATCACAGTTCAATCAACATACTCAATCTTATCAAAGTACTTAATGTATTTTTAAATTGATAAGACAAATAATTACTACTATTGACGACAATTCATGACTCAATGGTGAGTCAGGGGCGTAGCCAGGGGGGGGCCATTGGGGGCCCGGGCCCCCCCTACGAAAATCTGATAATTGTTTTATTAAGTATTTATAGAGAAGAACCAGTTAATGTTAATGATTTGTCCTCTTTAATGGCCCGTTAATAATTTAATTAAGCACTCTTAATATTTAATGTCACTTATTTTACCACTTTGCAATATTTACATTTCTTTTTAGTACATTTTAGAACTTAACGTTTTCAAATCTTTTTCAACCGTTACAAAAGCTCAAAACCTCAAATATTTTTTGTAATCACTTATCAAAATGTTTATATTGTTAATTATGTTCAACCAGAATGGTTAATAAACATATATACAACTAGCTAGTCTATGAATACGTCTCTAGACTAGCTAGATTGGTATGTTTATTCTTTACAAATGAAAAAAAATGTAGAGGAAATGATGAAAGGAATTTCAAAATCAGCACGAAAAATTAAATTTAATGTATGAATAATGAATTCAATATTTAAACTTATGAAGAATGAATATAGATTTAAGGATACAAAATAACGGTTTTTTAATTTTCGAAAATGGGCCCCCCCCTTAAAAATTTTCTGGCTACGCCCCTGTGGTGAGTAAAGGGTTGATAATTGAGTCAAGAGGAGCTATTTTGGTGATATTTTTAAGATAATCTTGCTCAATAAGAATCATTTTTTTATGAATCATTAGGTTCCAGTGACGTCAAATTGTTTTACATGATTGAACTACTCATTTTGATATTTTAAGTAATTTATTTGATTTATTGCCAAGAAATTGGCAATTAACTTCCATTAATTTCAAAACATTTTCATTATTTGGATCAACAAACATACAAAAATTAAGCTCACAGATAAAATAATCGAATTTCCACTTCCTGGTGTTGTGGCTGGCTCAGGTTGGATTGTTGTTGATTGGATTGTTGTGGACTGAGTTGTTGAATCCGATGCTGTTGGAATTGATGATGACGTTGTCGTAGATTCTGTTGTGGTTGTGGTTGTTGGCTCAGTAGTTGTTGTCGTCTCAGTAGTTGTTGTCGTTTCAGTAGTTGTTGTTGTTTCAGTAGTTGTTGTTGTTTCAGTAGTGGTGGTCGTTGTGGGAACTGTAGCTATTTTGAAAATCAGATTTTAGAGTCATTAAATTGCATACTTTTAAATTTTAATGATCCAGATGTTTTGGGTCCTCAAAAGTTCATTTGATACTTACTTGTTGTTTCCATTAGACCAAAGTACAACTTAATGTAATCATAGTTCTTTCCCAACCATTCCTGGTTTAAGCTTATGAAATACTCATACATAGATTGATCAGATGAAGTTATGATACCTGCTGCTATCAATTTTGTCATTAAATTCTCAAACTGCTCGACCATTTCCTTCTCTTTAACTCCAATAGCAATCAACATGAGCGGATTGCTATTAGAATTGATTCTGTGGATAAAAAAATATGTTTATTAATGCATGTCAAACTTAAAGCAATTGCATAGCAAAGAAGCATTCCGATTCTAATCATATTAATAATGCAAAATAGAACGTTTGCTACACCAAAAGAACCCTTACACTTCAATAACATCCAAATAATGTTCGTCAAAAAAGTTCAAGCTCATTTCCAATCCTAGATTGCTGGTTGTTGCCATTGTCTGCAAGAATATTCCTTTCTCATCATTTGTTAATCCATTATCTCCATTTAAAACAGCTTCTAATAATGTTTGTAAATTTACAGTAAGAATCGAACATCCCAAGTTATAGATGTATGAGGAGCGATGATTCAGATTTGGATTATCAATAACAGCATTTAATATCTCCTGGTATGTTGTATGGTCGGTAATTTTCAATGCATTACAGAAATCAAAATTTCCATCGCCAAGTCCGTGTCGGAATAAAACAAAAAGTTGAGTAAAATCCCTTGCTACACAATCGCCATCAATAGCTATACAGTTCCAATGCTTTGTAATGCTTCTTAATGTTTGGTCATCAGCAGAATCACTGCTTGAGCTGTCGTATCCCAAACTTATAAGATGTGGCTTTGTGATTTGTTGAAGAAATTTAAGGAACTCATTATAAGCAACCGTACCGAAAAGATTAGTTTTCATATAAACTAGTGCTTCATTTGCTCTTTCCCAAACAGCTGAGTATGACTCGTTGCCTAAATAGCTGAGTAATGACAATGCATCACCGCCATTCACACGATTTAGTTCCATCCATGCCATTAGAAATTCATCTTGTAAGACTTCTCGGTTTATTGGGTTTATGACTGTATGATCATGCTTAAGCTGGTCAATTATTGCATGCCATAATGTTCTATCATAATCAACTCGATAGTAGCCAACTTGATTGATGTTTAATATAATCCAGTCACCTACTGCAAATCCTAAAGATGCTTGTGAAAACGGCATTACTCTTAAAGGCAGCCAAGTCTTTATTTTTGGAGTGAAATTTGGATATGATTTTGTTGCGAATGTAAGTGGAACTGAATAAGTTTCTCCATTATTTGTGGAGTATTTATTTTGAGAAATAATTAAGTTGCTTCCTGAAACATTAACAGAAATTAATGGGAATCCAGGTTGATCCTCCCAAGTCTCCATAATAATGCCAATATTTAATGGATTCCCTATATTTGCCTGATCATAAGCTTTTTGAAGGCTTCTGTGGAATTCAGTTGGAGTCACTGACTGCATAAAGTTCTCAGTCAAGTAATCATTCAATCCTTCAATAAAAACATCTTCAGTCATCACTTCCATGATCATCCTTAATATACATGCTGACTTTGAAATTGTTATAGCATTAAGTTTACCCCATAAATCATTTGGATGTTCTACATATTGATTCATGGTCCTATCAGTCAGGCTATCGAAAGAAAATGCTTCTCGTGTGATGGATGTAAAGTGCTTGTCCATTAAGTTTTTATCGTCAAAGTATAAATATTGAAGATATCCCTCAAAAAATTTACCAAAACCTTCACTCAGCCACAAATGTTGCCACCATCTTGGGGACACTGTGTTGCCAAACCACTGCATGGATACAGCGTTGGATATACGATTTATTATTGCAAGTCTTTGATATTCTTTTACAACTTCTGGCATGCTTGAATCCACAATTATTGCATGTTCATCGTAGGTAATTAACCCAAAGTTTTCCATTGAATATTTTCTTGGATATTGGACAGCGACGTGATCTAATTTATTTAATGGATATGCAGTCAACAAGAATGTCTCATAAATATCCAAAATCTTTTCAGCCACACCAGCAGCAAATAAAAGGTCACCTTGTTGTATTTTTTCTGGTCTTCCATAAAACTTTTGAGGAATTCCTGAAGTATTTACATTAATATTCTGAAAATCAGACACAATAAAAGCCAGCAAATAAGTTGGCATGGGTGGTGTCTCTTTAAACGTCGTAATGACATAACTTCCATCTGTAGTCACACTATCAACATCTGTGTTTGAAATGGCATTATATTCACTTCCATGTTTTAAAGTCAATTTCATCAGCTAATAAGGTAGCTGCTTCGATAAAAGCCTGCATTATCATCACGAAGGTTCCCGCGATAAGAAATGTCAAGAAGCAGTTCCTCATTTGCGTTATAGAATGTTTGTAAATTGATGATAAGGAAGTCGTGTGACTCAACTAGCTTATAAGTAGCATTCATAATTATTTGACTTCTATTTGGCAGAAAAACATCAATATTGTCTATCTCTAGTTGACGAGCATGCAGAGTTATTGAATTTGTCAGTTCCACAATATTTACAAGAATTTTCACATTTCCACTAAAGTTGAAAGTATTTTCATGAATATTTGTTTCAATTGTTATGTCATAGCTTTTTGGGACTGTATTATTCGGAAGTCTATAGCTTATCAGCTCATCTGCATCGCCAAACCCCAATTTTAAATTTTTATTAATTAGATTTGCAGCGACACTCAATGAAATTATTGATAAAATTAACACTTTTAATTTCCACATTTCTTAAAGTCTTTCTTACTTCATGATCCACCAAAAATATACTACAGCTACTGTATTGCTTGTGCAACTCAATATATAACAAATTAATTATCTAATCAGAATCTTGATTAAAATTATCCAATTTATAATCCCGATTAGATTATTTTTGGGGTACTTGTAAAATAAATAAGAAAGTTGAAGTTTATATCAAGGATGACAGAGTTGGGTTATTATTTGGAAAGTCCTGACAGGCAAGATTACGTCCCAAAATTCTGGTAATGGCATTAATGGAGTCACAAAATTTTTTTAAATAGAGGCATATTCAGAGGCGTAGCCAGGGAGGGGTTTCCGCCCTACACCCCCCTCTAAATTTTTGGATCCAAACAAAAAGTAATCAACTCCCCTTACCTTCCCCCCATCTAGCTACGCCCCTTTCTAGATTCCAAAAATTCCAATTTTCAATTTTATAACAACTCTGTTAAGCTTTTATATATTTAAAAACCTTATCATGACTGCAATAAATTATGCAGGATTAATTAAGGTGTATAGAGTGATTGCAATTTATTGATTTTGGAGAAATTTATAATTCTATCGAAGAATTTGCGACATTTTTCTTACATTAGTAATTGCACTCCACGTGCAATAATGATGATAAAAATTTCATGACAATTAAAACTTAGATTTCTGTGGGTGGAATTTGGGGTATCGAGTCATATGTAAGTGATTCTGCCAGTACGAGAGGAAGGTTTCTGTAGCGCGAGTGGTTAGGCAACAGAATGGAAAATTGTAACTCTTTTATGAGGACGTATGTTCGATTCCCAACAGTGACCGATCTCTTAAACTGCTAAAAGGAATCACACAATGCTCACGACATTATAATTGCAATAAGGACATGACTTTCTGGTCCATTAAGCTTTAAACATTCAAATATTTGTTATGAACAGTTTGGTCTTTACGCAGAGCTAGGGCTACCATCTAATTTTCATGAAAATACAGGACTTTTGGTAAATTTTTTCGAAAAATACAGGACATAGAGTAAAATTCGAAAATTAACGGAAATTTTCGTGAAAAAAATACAGGACCAGGAACAAAGTTTTCAAATTTATACAGGACAGGGTTTTAAAATACAGGACTGTCCGTTGTAAAACTACGCAGATGGTCACCCCGCGGCAGAGCTTTCATTAGCTGTTGCTTGCAAGATCATTGGATTTAAACACACTCTTGGGATGATTTAAAACCTTGATGTTGATACAAGTGGTTTGGATGCCACTATAAACTATATGTCTAAAGGTGTGGTACAATAGATTCTTTACAAATTGAATAGCAGTGCCGCCAGCTGAAAGGCTGAACACTACATATAATATATCAATGATGTTGAGGATCTTTGTTATTTGACTCTTGATTAAGCTGTCCATCGGTTTTTGTCGATTTTTACCAGAGCAGAGCGAAGTTAATGATTTTAGGCGGGGATTTGTTCAAAAAAGCGGGATTGTCCCGTCAAAAGTTTGCAATTGGACAACTTACTCTTTATGCACTAGCCTCATATTGATTAATGATCAAAGGACTGTTCTTTTATTTTGTAAAGTTTCGAACGAGGTGATTTCTGTTTTCCTTACAATCTTTGTTACAGCCAGGATGAAAGAGTGTCAAATATGGAAATTTTTAACATTACGAAATATGTGATAAACCCCTAATTTACACTCAAGACCCCTAAAGCAAGCCTTTGTTCTTTTAATCCAAATCTCTAGAATTCGTCCTTAAAAAATCTACATTCCAATTAAAAAAATCATTTCAATTTAATAAGCGTTTCCAAAATATTTCCTTATATAACATCTAGAAAAAAATTTCTATATTTACATTTCCGAAAATCTAGATGACATCGATGCCTTTCAGGAGAAAACAAAGGTCATTACTTCATTCATAGATTATTTTTGTTGTATTTTAAGAACCTGTCTTTGAATTAAAAACAACTTAATTTTAATATTTTATCCCGATTTCTATCTGTGCATGTGTCAATGAGTCATAAAGTTGCTCCTGCACGTCAATAATGTAACACGTGAGCTTAATCTCCTTACTGAATTGTAATTTTACAACAACTCTAGTTCCTATTTGCAGAGTTTAAAAATTCACGCGACTCAGATCTTGCAAAAATAATTCTCAGATTGACTCAGAATCAGCTGTGACTCTCTGAGCAGATAAAATCACGTTTTCTCATTTTTTATTTGCATGCACGTTTAGACGACTAAGAAGGTAAGCAAAAATATTTCTCTGAATGATCTGCAAATAACTGAGAAAAAAAACTTGTTTTATTCTCTTCGTAAGTTTTGATAAATTGCCGGTTTTACATTCATTTCATCTCAGTACTAGCGCAGCCTTCGTCTTGTATGGAGTGTGCTTACTTTTACGTCCTCAATTTTTTGTGATTTGTTAAGAATTTTTATTAGAAATTTGAAAATTGAGGAATCTAAATTGAATTTTTGAGTTATTAAGGAAATATTGAGAAAGTTTAAATTTGTGATTGTAAAAAAATTCTAGAAAAAGTTGAAAAGTTTTTAAGAATCTGCAAAATTTAATTAAAGTTCAAAGAGTTCTTAAGAGTTTTAGGAATGTGAAGCTGTTGCTGAAAATTTTGAAACAAATTTGAGATTGAACAAAAAGCTGACATTTGAAAAAAACTTTAAATTTCATTTTTTATAAAATTTGAAAATTTAAAAATTGGAAAATAAAAAAACTGTTAATAAATTTTAAAACTTTGAAAAGTGAAAAAATTTCAAACTTCAAATTTGAAAGTATTAAAGTTTGAAAATTGTATAAGTGTTAAATTTTTAAAATTGAATATTTAAATAATCTATAAAAATTTGAAAAGCCAAAAAACTTAAAAACTTCAAAAAGTAAAAAAGTTTTGATATTGAAATATTACAATTTGAGAAGCTTACAAGGTTAAAAAAAATTGAATATTTTGAAAAATTATTTTTTTAAATTGAAAATTGAAAAAAATTAAAACTTGAATTTTATAAAATTGAAAAATTAAAAAAAAAAGTTGAACTTTTGAGAATTGAAAAATTAAAAAAATTTTAAAAGTTGAGTTTTTTAAAATTGACAAATTATAAAAAATAAAAACTGAAAAACTGAAACTTTAAAAATACAAAAACATTAAGTTGCAAACAAAAATTAATAACTTTACATTCAAAACATTAAAAATAAAACTTGATCATGCACTGAACAGCTTAACAAAAAAGTTTGAAAATTTTATAAATCCATAAAAATTTAAAAAGACATTCAAAAAATCTAAAAAATCAACAAAACTTACCAAAAAGTGAAAAAAGTGCAAAAAAGTATAAACTTAAACAAAATCCATAAAAACCTCAAAAAACTCCATCAGACATCCACAAAACTCATCATTTTGACGTCACATCACCAAACCATTATCATCCCTGCATTCATCAAGCACTCGATAATCTTCGCATCAACACATCAAGCCGCAAGCAGTCTACAACGATACAAAACAGCTTAAATATCTCCAACTCAACAATCAGTTCCAATAACAACAACAAAAAAAGGTAAATTATAATGCACATCGCCAGTGTCATCAAATGAGGTTTCGCATGTCTAACATGCATTTAAAGCCAAGCTTCTACCACGATGCAATTTCCATGTCATCAATGAATAATATATTTTTTTGAATTAAGGTCTCATCGTCATCAGTAGCCTTCAATTCACTTCTTATAACATTAAAAAAAATATATAAAGATCTTTCCTCATGACTAGTTGCATTGCTGATTCACAAATTCTTATGAATTTTTCATTGACTCGTCATGTTATATTTATGAGGTGTTATGAGCCACTCACCTTTTGGAAGATTCTCATGATCATCAAATTGCATTAATTCTGTTTGAACTTTGCCTTCCTTTCAAGTCAAAGAAATGCTCATTGAAAAATAATTATGATAATTAAACGGAAATTTCACATCAGACGCTTTAATTAAGGATTTTTAATTTTTTTTGACATGCATTATTTATGAAGTACAGTAAATGGCTGGTGATGATAAGTATCGGAATGGTCATGTGATATTCGATTTTAATTAGTTGAATTTTCGGGGGTCTTGTTTTCTGAGATTGATAAAGATCTAGTGAAAAGTTTATTGTCTGGAGTTAAGGAATTGAACTTTCTATATTTGAATTCTCAGTGAAACTTGCCCAACCGACACAAAGCATGTCTTTATGTGTTCAACAAGGATAAAACAAAGGATCTTTGAACTCGATGCATTAAATTAAGGCTTCTGTGGTGATAAAGTATAGGGGGGCTATTTCCTTGCTATACGCTTAGTGTTACCGGACCCTCCCCCCATCCTTCTACTATTGGCTACGCCACTGTAGTCTTGGCATTAGGCCATTTTCAAAAAATGGTACCGATATTTCTATTGTCTCCGTTTGCCAAGCCACTTGAATTTCTACAAGACTTCCTTGAGTGTTGTTTAAGGAATAATGTCAAAGAATGTGGTTAATATGAATTGAAGCAGTGGTGGACAACCTGTTTTGAACCTCAGCACATCTTGAAGTTGAACAAAAATCAAAACTGCACACAGCGAACGGTTCGTAGGATTTCCTGAATTTTTTGGCGGCATACAAGTGTGCCGCGGCACAAAGTTTGAGAATCACTGGTCTATAGAGTCAATTTCCATTTTATTTAATAAAGCAATTTTCCAACAAGCTACAACTCTTCCATTACCCCTATGTATAGCAAAGCATAAGTCTAGCATCTTGACACCAAAACTTCGCCATGCTCTATTTAATCAGCAGTGAAACATCTTCTTCAAAACGAAATCTCTTGTCGTCAGCGTCCAACTGTGAACAATTTACAAAAACATAAAAAGCCCTTTCGTCTCTGACATTTTTAAGATTCACAGACAACAATTCTGTGTCATCACATCGAAAAAAATAGTCCATTTGACCTGTGACTGGTGTGAGAAATTGCCACAGACTACAAAATTTTGTCTCTATTTAATTTAACATGATTAGTAATGGATTGCTTGATGTCTTAAGTGGTGCTGAACTATTAACAATAGACTTAATAGTTTGCATGTCATGATCTCTTTCACAACTTTTCTGTCCCTTAAAAAAGACTCTCAATTTTGCTCACTTTTTCAGATGTCATGTGGGATAAAATAAAAAATGCACAGACATGATTTAAAAGTTGATACAGTTTTTTTTTTCAAAATTATCATGAGCAAAAAATGAAGTTTGTTATGCAATCGTGTGCGACTTATGAGGCTGAGTGAAGAAATTGTGAAATTTTTAAAAGACACTACAACGCCCACGGCTGACTTTTATTTACATTTTTTTTTTTGCAAAGATTTGTTTCGTTGAGGTAAAAACCCATTCCATTGACCTATTGCACGTAAGCTGGTCTTCATCATTTTGGTATGCAGGCGATTTTGATTGTAAGGAGGTCAGTTAGATGCAGAGTTGCGAAACAGGCACCTGTGACAGGTGAGAACCCTACAATTCCTTGATAAGTAAAAAACGTCTGGCGTCACCTCCATAATGGAAAATCACAAATTTGATGCTCCCTCATGAGTCAGAGTAGTATTGCAGCCTTGATCATCTTTTCATTAATATTCCACTCTTTCTGACTGCCCTAAAGTCTATACTGATCATTGTTGACTATACATAACCTTAAATTTTAGAAATAACAACAAATTAGTCCAGCATATCCATCTAAAGAAACCCAAATGACAATAGAAATTACGAAATCGTGCAAAATCTATTCAATTTAATAATTCTCAAAAACACAAGTAACAAACATTCCACACATCACATTCACAAGCTTGAGTGAGAATTTCAAATCCTATTCTAGCATATCCGGATCAACAATAATAATTGTGAGTGAAAAAAGGCGTTAAATTGGTGAATTAACTCAATAAACTTCATGACGCAATCGAATTTCAATTTATAGCGGTTAATATTCGATTATACTCAAAAGACAGCAGCTATTATTGTTGTTAAACAAAAGAGATATAATACTTACTGGTTACAAGCACGTGCGAATGTTAACAGCCGGTTCGTTGCTTTGCCTTTTTCTTCTTTAGACAGTTTTGGAGCATTTAATGGGAAATGTGGAGCTTAATAGTGCATATTGACTGATTTGTTGCAGTTTTTTGAGAATTTTAAATCTAATTCAAATTTTCCGTTAAAAAATTTGAATTTTACAAACCCTATTAAAATTTAAATTTCAAAAATCGTTAAAAAATTAGAATTCTAGAAAACTGTTAAAAATTTGAATTCTAGAAAACCGGGAAAAAATGTGAAATTCAGAAAACCATTAAAAAATTGAATTTTAAAAAGCCGTTGAAATTTAAATTTTAGAAAACGGTTTAAAATTTGAATAAAAACATTAGTTTAATCTCCAAATGGTTTATCACCTCCACTTGACAATGTCAATTGATGCATAGACTCTCATAGTGCTTCAATAATGCGCTAACCCCTCAATCCATGTCATTTCCACTTCATTTTCGTTAATTGATTAAAAGGAACGAGAAGAGAAGAAGTGAAATGAAAGAGAAGTGCGATTGATTATTAAAGTTTCATTTACCTCTGCGTCTTCTTCTCATTTCTTCTCTTACATTGGCGCCAACCATGACCTTGACATGATTTTTATGCTTTTTTGATTCGTACACGGTCTTTGGACTGCTCGATGGGATTTTTTTTTTATATTTCTTCTTTTTTCTTTAATTTCGCGGTGATTATTGAAAAATAAATTTCAAAGTTATGGCCAACATGAATTTTATACGATAATGATCGGCTATTATTGATATGTTAAGCATGTAACACTTGGTTTGGATGTGACATTGAGGATGAACTTATGGGATTTTTAATTATTAACTGGTAGAAGTAAAATGATTTTTAATTAAAAATAAATGAAAATTGAAGCTAATGTAGAATTGATTGGAAACATCTGAAATTGAGATTTAGAATAAGAATTTTGAGGTTAAGATCGATTTGAGGTTACTTTAGACTCGACTGCTCTCTATTGCTTGAGATTCGTGAGCCAGATCCATCTTTGATCAAGTCGGAGCCCATTCCACTTCTACAACATCTGGAATTGAGCTTTTCAATAAGAATTTTGAGGTTAAGGTCGATTTGAGGTTACTTTAGACTCGACTGCTCTCTATTGCTTGAGATTCGTAAGCAAGACCCATCTTTGATCAGGTCGGAGCCCATTCCACTTCTGCAATATCTGGAATTGAGCTTTTGAATACGAATTTTGAGGTTAAGGTCGATTTGAGGGTAGTTAAGACTCGACTGATCTCGAATTCTTGAGATTCATATACCAGACTCACTTTTGATGAGGTCGGAGCCTATTCAACTTCTAAAAATGCGTTTATTAATGGGAATCGAACTTATGCTTGAACAAATTTCGCAACTTCTGAGTTCTGACCAATCAATCTTCGACATTTAATTCTTGACAGCTGTAAACTATCCCATTTCTGCAATTGCCACTGAATTCCCACAGCAACAAAATCCGTCAAATAAGAATATTGAAATAATTTCCGTTCCTGATCTTTGATCAACTGTCTAGACTTCCAAAATTACTTGATTGCAGATTTAATCAGATTTTAATATAAATTCATGATTTGGCGATTTTAAAATATTTCAAAAAATTTCCATTAAGGATTAATGAAGTACGTGCGAAAATAAAGAGATATTTATCAAAAAATAAAGAATTCCGATTTACTTAATCCACACATGGCATTAATGTCTCAACTTCATTAGTCGGCACATCCTATTCTAAAAATAACGTCATCGCATTCCGATTGATGATCCATTCAATCATTTAATTATTCGCAGATTGTTACATCTGTCTGTCGATGTCTATTATATTCTCATCATCATTGACTTCATTCGGATATATTTTGTGTATCTTTATTACAGTAGCTAAACTTACCGTTTCTTTTAAACTATTAAAACAATAAAATGACTGAATTATTTAGCATTTTTGGGATCTTCCGTGAATATAAAGTTCTTGATTAATGGAAAACATGTTTACCGAGCACACACTACTAAAAGTTCATTGACTGTAGAGCGCGTTTCTGCCTACTTATTGAAAACTTTATTCATTGTCAACACTCTTGGCACTAACACAATAGACTAGTCATATATCTGTCTTCTTTTATTTTACCTGTCTTAAAAATTTTATATTTGTGCGAATTAAATTCTTATTCCCGGATTTGGTAGATATTTTTAAGTGCCGTAAAATTAGCAAAGATATATGATGGAGGAAATGATTTGGATTTCAATTTGGCTTAGTGGATTAATTCAGCTTGAGGTGTAGAGCTGTAGAACTGATGTGAAAATAATAGTATTATATTTACTAATGCGGTAATAGTTTATTTTAATGTTTTTAAATTTTGACGGGAAAAGTCACGTGCTTTTTGTTTGTCCACTTCGAATGTTTCTAATCAAAATTTGAGTTGAATATGAGTCTTTTTAGTTGTTAAATAATTGAATTGGCTTTAAAATTTGTGAGCAAAACAATAAATATAGAATTCATTGAACAATTCGGTCTTTAAAACAGCTTTTTCAAAGAAATCAATAAAATAAATTAAACCAAATTTCTTTTCTTCCAGATGCATAAAGGAAGCACCACAAACCTCGACGTATCTAATCATGTCCGATGGCAAATACCACGAGCATCACTCTCATCTGGTTCTCGATCAATTTACAGTTCGACTGATTCAATTCAAGGAAGTATCAATAGATCCAATCAGCTAGAGAAGCTTTACAAAAGAAATATGAGACGTGAAAGTTATTCAATCCAAAGTGAAGGAACAAAAAAGAAATTGAATGAGAGACGAGATGAAGGACCTTACTCCATGCCATCATCATCTGTCTCATCACTATCATCAACAATGCAGCCAAATAAAAAGTTCAGTCGAAGGAAATTCTCAGAGAATGTAATCATGAATGGAAGTCAAATTGATGAATTAAAAGCAGTGGCTGATGAGAGAGTTCATGGCAGTTCATCACGTTCATCTTCACAAGGGTCATCAGCGAATAGTTTACACGTAAGTCTCACATTGATATGACCTTGTCATGTACTTTATATACTGACTATAACTTCTTGTAAACATCTACAGAGCGCATCCTCGTTGCTACTTAGTGTTCAGAATCTAGAAAAATTTACTCGAATGACAAACAATCAAGATAGAATAAACAAATTAAGAATGATTCCCCAAAATGAATGTGATAATGAGAATAACAAACTTCAGTCACCAGCAGCAACTAACAATCATATGATAATAGATATGAATAAGATAATTGATGATAAGACAACAAATGGTAATAACAATGATGATATAGACACAGCATGTAGCCAGAATTATCAATTAAGGCGTAAAGATCACGATCAGCTATCAATTGCATCATCGACACACTTTACTCTCGTCAATGGATGCGGACGATCATCAAATTTGAAAGCACAAAACTCATTTTGCCGTCATGGGCGTCAAATTACTATTCTTATTGTGACAATGACTATTTTCTTTACAATTGGCATCCTCTTTGTGCTTTACCTTATGGATCGTAAGTTACTTGATATTTTTGCAAAGTTAGCAATGAGGATTAATATCTATTTCTTTGAATTCTGAACAGGTCGAGCTAAAGCGATGCCAGCATTTCATCAGTAGGGAAGCTGAGATTGAGAAAGGAATGGATTTCTAAAGAATTGATGTGAATTTAGATTAATTCTTTCGAAGAAGTTGAACTAGCACAGCTAGGCTGGAAGATATGTAGCATTAAATTCTAAAGTTATGGACAGTCTATGAATAATCAAGAAAACTCCACAAAAGCAGCTACTATAGAATTCAAAATCCTTCAAATGACCGACTTGTTTACGCAGCAACTTAAAAAAAGATTCTTAATGAAAATAACTTAATTCAACTTTTCAATCAAATGTCGATAAAACACATGAGGACAATCGTCTTTATTGCGACAAGGAGAAAGACGATATAAACAGCGAAATGTCAGCACAAAACCCATAAAAATCAAAATATCAAAACATTTATATAATTTTGTACAAGAAACTTTTAAAAAGTTTGTAATATAATTTTGTAGTTTCTTTTCAAATTGATTTTTTTCTTTTAAACTAGTCAATTAGAAGTTTAAGCTATGAGTAGTTTTCTATAATACTTTACTTAGTTTCTGTGAATTTGAAGTAAGTTTTTTGTGTGAGAAAATTTAATGAATCGAATTTAAAATTTTACGCTTGTATAAAGTGAGTTTGAATAATTGGTTCGACTTGAAGGCTTTTAAGAATGATAATCGTTGCTAGCCAATTGATAATTATTTAAAATCACGGTTCGATAGCTTAAATGTTATTGTTCTAGATTCTAGTTTAATAAATCAGTAGGTTCAAATCTCATCTCGAATTTAGTCTAGTGATTAAGTTTAAACTTAGAATCTTGGACATTTAAAGAGAATCTGGGTATGGATAGATGCTCAGGCACTCAAATAGACTTACTATTTATTGAAAATCTTACCTTGAATAAGGGTCGTAGTCAAAAGTTTTTAGAAGAAAATTCGAAATTTTTCCAAATTGATTTCCATCACCAGGGAGAATTTACATCCTCTGAACCATCTCTTAGCTTCGCCTTTACCAAAACTTGGTCAACTCAAGAATGATTCAGTCGAAAATCAGCTTGATCCTCAAACAAGACACTTTATGAAAACACCTGTGTCCAAAACACCATTCCAGTAAGTCTTCAAGTCAACCGACCATAAATTAACATTAATCCACAAGTGTGAGTGTTTCCTTCCATCAATAAAATAAATTTATCATGAAAAATAATTTTTACGAGACAGAAATTAATGCCAAAAAGCGCTAATTTTCTTTAACACTATTATATGAGACTGACAAAATCATTAAAAAAAAGTTCCAAACTGAGAATTGACAGTTGTCAACAAACACTTTCACTATTATTAGAATTTAAGTTAGACATGTAAGATCATCGTGTGAATGTATTTAAGGAACACGTTTTTCTGTGAGTTGATACCATGACCTATCGTCATAAGTGTACAAAAAAATCAAAAAAGATGTGAAATAAAGAATTTTTTATTATTTTTTATTCAAAATCAAGCTAAAATTAGAATTTTATAATTTTTGGTGTTTATTAATAGGTTTAAGGAGGTTGGTTATAAGTGGCGTCCATAGGATAATTGTATTTTAGATCCTTCTCTATTATTGTCGCAGCTTGAAGGATGTTAAATTGATCAAAAATTATCAAAACTAGGTTGACTAAGACTGCATAAAACTCCACTCATCCCTCAACCTGGAGACACGTCATAATTTAATGTTCCCCATTGCAATTTGAACCTGCCAACAGCCTTTGTTGCTGTTTTTACAGATTAATGACATCTATTAAGTCTTTAGAACAAGCTGCAATGTATTTTAAGAACAGGATTCTCGTTTAAATTGTTTTTATGGACGATTCTTTGTTGTCTACCCGAGCTGCACATTAAATCCATCTGAAAATATATTTTAAAATGACATGACATCTTATTGCTGTTCCCATGCTATCAGGCGCGTAACAAGGGGGGGGGGGGGGGGTGGGGATTTGAGGGACAAACGACGTTAACAGAAATTTCTTCATTTTGCTAAGAGTTTTATGAAAAAATCATAAAACTCTCCCCCTTCCCTCAGAAATTTCCATATAAATTTTATTTTGTCCCCCCCCTCTTTCAAATTCCTGGCTACGCCCCTGATGTAGTTCGAAGTCCCTGCAACAGAACCTAATACTATTTATTGCTTGCAACTCGGGCTTTTCACCTGTAAATGACTGTCTTATTTTCAGTTCCATTCCCACACACGAATGTTTTTGATTTCAACTCCCGATTAATCTATTTCCATCTTTCAGGTTGTTTTGTTTCTTAAATTTGAAATGTTTTGGTCACGTAAAGCAAGATGCAACGCCGCAAACGATTGATGACTAAGTCTTCAAGAATAAAATTCCAAGAACCAGCAAGACACTCACTTCTTTTTATTCCGTTATAAAAAGTTCTCATGTCTATAAAATTAATGACATAGTTTTGCTTACCTTTTTTTTCTCTGTTATGATTCATTCCGCAATGTCGAATTGTTTTAAGTTCTCAGCTGAGATATGGACATTAAAATAATCATTGCTATTATATTTCATATTGACACACGCGTGGAGGATGTTCTGTGTCTAGGGAATGAAACTGTCTTGTTTTTGGGAGAGAATTTAATTGGTTGACGAGTTGGGTTTGGTGGGAATCGAACCACATTCTCTTAAGAATATTTTCAACTATTGACTACTTATCCCTGCCACTCAGCGATCGAGGTACTTGCGAAAATCAAAGTTATTTTCGTCAAATTGTCTTTTTTTCTCTCTCACAAAGAATTCACCACTTGCAAATAAATATTCCAAGCATCCAAAAAAGAATCCTCAACACTTAAGTCAAATCTCTTAGAAAAAGATAAAGAATCTCAACTTAAGTTGACAGCAGTATCTCCAAAAAAAAAAGTGATCAGAATTTATTTATTTTTATATTTGCAGAAATCAGCAAAATTTATTTCCAGATGATGAATGTAAATTTAAATTCGAATAAAGCTCCATAATTTTGATTTATATCGAATACTGTTGTGTATCTACAACGGAAGTATTTTAAGTCATGTCAGATACATTTTAGAGTTGTATAAATTGTGTCAACATCTACGCAGTTTTGAGTTACAGGAACTGAAGAAAACTGGATGTTGTAAAAGAATTAAAGCAAAAATAACTGTCAAAAATATGTGAATAAATAACAGTGAACAAATAATTAAAGAATAACTGCCAAAAAATATTTTAAAAATAAAATGTCAAAAAATATTTGAAAAATGATCAGCTAAAATCCTTCGTAAAAACGCGCTTATAACTTCATCAATAATGAATGATATTGCAGTTCCAAATGATCAAATTTCATCATGTCCTCATAAATATTAGCCACTTAAATACAATATGAGATGAGTTGAAAAAAAAAATGTTAATTAAACATTGGAATGCAATATACTCACCACCTTGAATATTTTTCCTTCAAAAGAAACGCGTTCAGGTGCAAATAACTAAAGTCACATTTTCTGCTTGAAAAACATACCCAATTCTGTCAATTGCTAATGGAAAAATTAAACATCAACAATTTTTATTTAAATTGAAGAGAGAAAAAAAAACTTCGTGAAGAGAAAAAGTGAAAATATTTCGCATTTATGCATGGCCATGCCATTCACCTTGAAATCAAAACTAAATTTAATTTAAAATTCCGATCATGTTTTGTTATTTTTTTTTCTTGTACAAGAAATAAAAAAAATAACAAAATTGTCAATCGAATGCTAATATCTTTAATTTAACTTCTTCAATGAGAAACGGAATCAATGAAGTCGAAAAGTTTCTGTGGAAAAAAGAGTTGCATAATATTAGCGTCATTGATTTGTCATGACATCGGCATGGATGATGAACTTACTAAGGTCAGATATTAATTGAAATGCTAGAAGCTATTATTAAATTTCTCTCGTTTTTTCATGAATGAAGATAGTTGTGTGGATTTTTAAAGGAGCGCAGCTTATTACAATTCAGCTATTTTAACTTAATTCAGCTAGCTCAGCTTAATTCTTCTTGTTAAGCTTAATTCAGCTAGTTCATATCAATTCAGCTGGTTCAGCTTAATTCTTCTTGTTAAGCTCAATTCAGCTAGCTCAGCTTAATTTTTCTTGTCAAGCTTAATTCAGCTAGTTCATCTCGATTCAGCTTGTTAAGTTTTATTCAGCTAGTTCAGCTTTTTCAGCTTAATTCAGCTAGTTCAGCTTAATTCTTCTTATTAAGCTAATTCAGCTAGTTTATCTCGATTCAGCTGGTTCAGCTTAATTCAACATGTTCAGTTTAATTCTTCTTGTTAAGCTTAATTCAGCTTGTTTATCTCGATTCAGCTCGTTCAGGTTAATTTAACTAGTTCAGCTTGTCCATTTCGATTCAGCTCGTTCAGCTTAATTCAGCTAATTTATCTCGATTCAGCTGGTTCAGCTTAATTTAGCTATTTCAGCTTAATTCATTTGGTTCAGTTTAATTCAGGTAGTTCAGTTTAATTCAGCTAATTCAGCCCAATTCAGCTATTTCAGCACACTGATTCACCTACTCACATTTTTAATAAAATCCTCACCAAATACAGAACAACAATGTAATATAAGCAGCAAAATAATACCTCTGATTCACGCAAAGCAGCCTGAAGTACATTTAAAGTGTGCATACACATAATTTAAATAAAATAAAAACTGGAAAACCCAAAGAATTTTGCACGAAGTCGTCACCGAAATCAGTTACGTAATTTAATATTCAACGCTTGCATACACAATAAATATTTTTTAATGTGACAACTACAAAGAATTCCGTAAGTCCAAAAAGACGTTTTATTTTAGCTGTAATCATTTTATTTTTTGTTTCTGGCATCAAAATTGTACAGTTTTTTTGTGAGATCGTCTATAAACTTATAATTTTTCTTCTTCTTGTTAGTTTGTTTATGGAAATTAACTGATGGCAGTAAGTCACAACACAATAAGACAAGACATAACATTTTGAAGACTATGGGAAAATTATAATCACCATTTGATCAAGCTTGAATTATCTTAATAATCGATTAGGGGTCGTTTTGTAAGTGATGTCTGTTAAATAATTGGATTTTCGAGTAGACACATAGGAGATCGTGCACTTATAACATCCATGATTGAGAGGAGAGACCTATTTGAGATTTTGACCCTCGTGCCTTCAATCTAACCATCCCACTATGGGGCAAAATGAAAAAAAAAGGGACTTTCACTTTGAAAAATGGACTTTTCCGATTTACACTTTTTGGGTGATTTTTTCTTGTAGAGGACATAAAAGTAGATAGAAATGCCAAATTTCAGGTCATTTGGTGCTGATTTCGCGATTCTAGAGCTGTTTGAAGTTGAAAACTAGTGAAAATTCTGGTTTTTTCATACCATGTTTGAACCGGGAAATATCTTAACTGGTTTAAGATATTGCAAAACGGTTTTCAGTTCCTATTAGTAGTATATAAGAGCTTTATTTTGACATATAACAAAGTTTAGGTTCTGAATGTTTTCGTGCCATTATGGTAGAACATATGTGAAAATTTCAGGAAAATTATCTTCAAACAAGCCGCAACTATCATAAATGAAGAGTTTCCAGGCAAGTAAAAACGCAGTTTTGTAGCCCCATATATCTAGTTTTCAAAACTGTATAAACTTTGAAAAAGTAAGCTAACGTAATTGAGTTATGTTGATTTTAGTAGGTCGTTGAGTATTTGGCCAAAAACTAATAATTCTTTTAAAAATACGAAAACATAGTTTTAAAAATAGTTTTTTGGTGTTTTCTTATGAAAAATAACAATTTAAATGATTTTGTGAAGAAAATTTTTCAAAAACTTCAAAATCTTTCGAGATATAGGGGGTATGTGCTCTCCATCGATTTGGCCATTTGTCACCCTACTTAAACCACTAT